AGTGCTGAGACTAACCCCTGAGCAACCAGGGACGCCCATCCATCTTGTAGTTTAGATGTCCAGACAGACTGGAAAGATTACATAGAAAGAAGGAATCCATGGCCCAGTGATTTTTAACTAGATCTTTTAGAATCCCTGTTTCAAACAAAATCCCGAAATAGCAAAACTGAACTGTGCTGTGTGAATAATGGGTCCAAAGATGTCCACAGCCCCCCCCCGCCATGACTGTTGCCTGGCATGGCAAGAAAGCCCTTGAGGTATGATTATTAAAGACCCGGGGGGCCCTAATGTCCAATTGGGTCCTCCGAGGAGCAGAGGGAGGTTCAAACACAGAAGAGGAGGTCAGGTGACTCCGGAAGCAAAACTGAGTGATGTGGCCACAGGCCAGGGAGAGCTGGGGGCCACCAGCAGCCTCCAGAAGAAGCTGGCCTGGGCACCCTGACCCCAGGCCTCACCTCTGGCTCCTGCCTCCCAATCCTGGAAAAATCCACTCAGCTCTCAGTGAGGTTGTTCGCAGGGCTTGTGACGGCAGCGGCAGGACATTCCAAGCCAGCGTCAGGTGGGGAGAGCTTCCATGCCCGCCTTGCCCTTCCGTGCTGTTGCCCTAGCCATGAACCTCAGCCATTATGTTAACAGTCAAGAAAAAGAAGGGAGAGCCTCCCTGGTGGCGCAGGGGTTGAAGACACAGCGCTATCAAGATACCGGCAGCCACTGCAGCAGGAGTTCGATCCCCAGCGAGGGAGCTGACCCACATGGTGCAGCAGACCTCTCCAGTCTCTCTGCTGCTCCCCTCAGCAGTGTGTTTCAGTCCGTCTGCCTGTTCTGCTCCCCACTCTGTCTCTGGTGAATCCTCTCACCTCCGTACCTCTAGCCCTCACCCCAGTTCTTGCATGCACAAATAAATCACTAAAAAAATGAAAAAAGGGCCTCCCCTGGTGGCGCAGCGGTTGAGCGCTGGGTTGTAAAGCTGCCCGCAGCCTCTGTGGTGCCGGTCCGATCCCTGGCAGCCGGCGAGGGTCCCACATGGCGCGCAGCCCTCTCCTGCCGCCCGCTGCTCCCCTCAGCAGTGTATTTCGTCAGTCTGCCTGTTCTGCTCCCTGCTCTGACTCTGGTGAATCCTCTCACCCTCCCGCGCTTCTGACTGCACGCAGTGCTTGCATAAATAAATAAATAAATCTTTAAAAAAAAAAATGAAAAAAGAAGGGGGCTGTCCAAGAGACCCAGGCCCACTCCCGGGGCCCACCCAAGCTTTCCTGGTTGTCATGGTTACACTGTACCCCTTCTGCCCCTGCCCAGGCCCCTGGACGGCCCCAAGGCCCCAGCATCGCCCCCACTTGCCCGCACAGGTTCTGAGGTGATGGGACCCCACTCTGCAGGCACATGTGTTTGGCCACCCCTTGGGGCTCCGGGGAGGGGGGCGGCGCTAAGCCCGGGAGGCGGAGCATCCCTTCAAATCCAGCTCTTGTGCCCAGAACCCGGGCTGGCCAGGGGCCGGCCCAGGCACCTCGGCACCCCATGGGGATGGTCCTGCCTGCCTTGGGGCCCGCTGTCTCCTGTTCCATCCCCCAGCCAGTCCCGCCAGCTGCCTGTGCCACAGAGACCAGGACACTCTGGTGGGGCCTCCGGGGTGGTGGGGTGCAGGCACCTCAGATGTGCTTTTGGGGGTGTTGGTTCTTCTCGCCTTTGGGGAAGGCGCTTTTGGAGGCTGCAGCTCATGCTGCGTCTCCATGGCAACTCTCCCGCGGATTCCACAGAACATAAGGTGTCTTCTCGAGGGGACCTCCAGCCCAGCTCCTCCGCCCTCACGGCACAGAGAGGGGAGCAGGGCCACTGAGGCCACGGCACCCACCCAGGCCACACAGCAAGCCCCGCACCCCCTGCGGCTCCTCTGGCCCCAGCCAGCCCCCCGTCCCTGAGGGCAGACAGCTGGATCCCACAGGATGGCCTGCTGTGGAGATGCCCCAGGGACACAAGTTTTGCTGAAATACCCCTGAAGCCCAGTGCTGCTCTGTGCTGCTCAGAGCCCTTCACTTGGTGCTGGGGCACTTCCTCAGGGGGCTCAGGGCTGCATGGGGATGGCATGGTCCCTGGGGAACACTGGGGGTGTCTGTGCACATCCATGGAGCCAGAAGTGAGGGTGGGAAAACCAACACAGTTTGGAAGGTCAAGGAGGTCTCTCCTTCCTGCCTGAGTGAGCCAGCCTCGAGGGCCAATGCTTGGGGGTGATTGAAGTGGGGTAAAGCTGGAGGGCGTGGAAAATGGGAGTCCAGAGAGACAGCCCAGGCATCAGGCCCAGGGGGCTGTTGTGTCTGCAGACTTGGGGCACACTCCCTGCCCCTCACTCGGACAAGAGCTCACCCCAGCTCCAGCCCCTCCCTCAGGGATATGCTGTGGCCACAGGGGCCTGAGATTCCCCAGGGCCTGGGCATCCCCTGCTGTGGCCAGGACCACCCTGGCCCCTCCTACCAAAGCACCCCTTGTCTGCCCTCCCTGTGCAGGCCACCACGTGCTGGTGTGTCAGGGACACCTTCAGACACTCCTTACTGCAGCCCGGGCCATGCGGTGTGGACAAGAGGTGAGACGCATGGAACCTGGGGCTCCCACCATCCTGGCGTCCTCGTGGTGGCAACCCCCCCCCCAACCTCCCCCCAGAGGGGCTGCTCTCCAGAGGGGCAGCTGCCTTTCTCACAGCGCCCCCACTGGGCACCGAGACGGAGTGTCTGTGGCACAGGAGGGACAGTGGTCGGATCGCGAGGTCAGGGCCCTGATGCAGACACAGGGCCTTCCCAGCGTCCGTGCTCAGCAGCTGCAGCGCCACCGGCCAGAGGCCCTGGGCCAGGAGCTGGGAGGCGTAGGGAAGAAGTCCCCGCAGGAAGGGCCATTCCAGCTGCGGGCTCTGCCCAGGGCCCCCGCCCAGGCTTGCAGGTCCTGTCTCCTGGAGGTCCGGTCCCTACACCACCCCGTCACTGCCACCGCAAGCTCCCTCCCTGTCTACAGGACACCATTCACGCTGCGCCATGGCCGTGTTCTCGCAAGTGCCGCTCAGGAACCACCTGCTCCCGACTCCCAAGCGCCCAGACAGAACCCCGCCTCGCCCACAGCTGCCCCGTCCCCAGCCCCCGCCTCCCCTCTCCTCCGGCCCTGGTCCGCTCTAGCCCCTTCCGCTCCAGTGCCCGGGACAGGCGCTCGGGCTGCTGCGCCCATGCCCTCCAGGCCAGCTTGGGGCTGCAGGCCCCTCCCCACAGGCCGCCTCCTCCCCCAGCCGCCGGCTGCTTTCAAGGTGGGGCACTTTCCACCTCAATCCTCGTGAGCAAAGCCGAGTCCTCCTCAGGCGGGGCCTGTGCCGCTAAGGTTACTCTCACCAATTTAATGACTGTTTGTGGAGGCCCGGAGCCAGCTGCCAGGGGCATGGTGACCAGGACAGGCTGCTTCCGGAGCCCAGAGAGCTCACGTTCCAGAGGGGGCGACAGATGGCGCGCAGGAAGCAAGCTGTACCACGAACAAAGACTGGAGGGCCGCTGAAGGCAAGGGGGTGTCACAAGCTCCCTGTTTTCAAGAGAAACCAGACACATGGATTTTGACATAAACGCCTAGTTTTAGAGGCTGCAGGGACAAGCCTTTCCTCTCTGCTGCTCTCTGCAGGTGCCAGCCTCCTTCTCTGTCACTGGCCACCCCAAAGCACGCGTCCCCTCTCCCCCACCCCAGGCTGCCCACTCGGAGGGTCCACCCCAGGGCAGCTAAACTCCTCTGCGGTCCCACATCGGGCATGATCTGGGCAGCCCCTGGCAGGAGGACAGAAGGAGCCAACTGCCTAGTATCCTGGGGCCAGGGGTCCCCAGCTGAGACCCCCAACCAGTCACCCTGAGGCTGGCCTTTTGGGGTGGGACACCTGGAGCCATCAGGGCCATGGCAGGTACTGAACAGCCCCAGCCCAGGCCCACCCAGGCCTCCGGGCATCAGCCTGGAAGAAATGAGGCCAGAGGAGCAAGACCAGAAAGAGGCCTTTTCCCCCCCCGTCGTGGCCCAGCTCTGTAGGGCCCGGGGCACAGGCCTTTAGCCAGCCCCCGCTGCCCCTGCCACGCCCTCGGCTGCCCGCTCCAAGGGCAAATCCCGCCTCTGCCCCTTCCCAGCCTGGCAACCTTGGACAACTCCCATCCCCGCTCCGGGCCTCAGTTTTCCCATCTGAACACTGAGGATCACAGCCGCACCCACCTCAGGACAGTTTTGACGGAGACAGGATGGCAGTGACCCAAGGCAGCTCTCCACGGCCTCTCCGGCCAGGCCCTCCCAGGAGGCCCTTGGCCCCAGTGTCCCTCCGGCTGTGTTTCCCCGGGCCTCTGGGCTGGGAGCGTCTGTCCATTGTAATTATTTGCGCCCTGGGCACTGCCCACAGATGCCACATGTCAGGGGTCAGCCAAGCCACCCCTCCTGCGCCCAGAGGATCTCAGGGGCACTGAGCCCCAGCCTCGGATGAGGGGGCTTCTCGGGCAGGCGGGGTCGCTGAGAGGCCTGGTGCTGACAGTGACTCCTGCCCCCCAAAACACCCGCCAGGCTCCCGGGGCTCCAGCGCAGCCAGCGGCGCCGCAGCGGGTCGAGCTCCTGCCCAGCGCCTGGGCGCCTGCTCTGGCTGCCCGACCGCCAGCTGTCAGGGCCCAGCGGGCACCCAGCGCCGCCCTCAGGCCACGGCCTCGGGCCTCAGGGGGCGCCTGGCATTGCAGGCCCCGAGGTGGGGTCCCGCGACGGCCTTTGGGTGACCGCGAGCAGAGGCGCGGCAAGACCCGGGACGCGCCCGCCCCAGGCTCTGTCCCGGCCGGAGGGCGGCGCCCCTGGGCCGCCTGACCCCGCCCCCGCCGGCCCGCTCATTTGCATGGCCCCGCCCCTGCGCGCCCATTGGCCGCGGCGGCGGGAGGCCGGGCCTGAGTGGCGGCGGCCGCGGGGCGGGGCGGGGCGGGGCGGGGCGGGGGGGGCGGGGCGGCGGCAGCAGCGCCCGGGATGCCGCGGCCGCGGGCCGGGTTCGGTTCCAGGCCGGGCTCCGCGGGCGCGGGGAGCAGGACGACGCGGGGCGCGGCGGCCGCGGCGGGAGCGCCCTGAGCCCGCCCGCCATGTCCAGGAAGAAGAGCCCCAGGAGCAAGGGGGCCGGCGCGCCCGCGGCCTCCGCACTGCCCGCCGCCAACGGGCCCCGCGCGGCGCGCCCCGGCCCCGCGACGCCGCCCAACGGGCCCCCGCGGCCCGGCCGGCCCTCGCTCGGCGGCGGCGGCGACTTCTACGACGTCGCCTTCAAGGTGAGCGGCCCCCCGCCCCCCGCGGGGCGCAGCAGGTGGGGTCCCGCCGGGCCGGCGCGGGCTCTGGGGTCGGGGCGCCGGGCTCGGGGGACCCTCGGCGCGCGGCCGGCGGAGCGGCCCCCTCGGCGGCTCGGGGCCTCCGGGCGCGCGCGCAGCTGTCGGACCCGCCGCGGGACTCCCAACAGCTGGCGAGGCCGCCGGTGCCCCCGCCGTCAGCGGCCTGGGGCGGGGTCGCTCGCTGGGCGCCAGAACCGGCAGGTGGGCCCCGCCCCAGGCCGCCGTCACTGGACCCCGTGTGCTGCCTCTCGGCCCGGTCTAGGGGGATGGAGACGGGGCTGGCCAGCGGGGCGGTGGGCACCGGGTGTCTAGGCCAAGGCAGAAGCTTGTGAAGTATGTGGGGCCGGCAGGACTATCTCTGGGCCTGCGAGCCTGTGGTGCTGGGGGAGGGCGGGCTAGGGGGAGGCACAGAGGCCTGTCTGCCCGCCCCTGTCCACAGACCTGGCCTAAGTCCCTCTCAGGTCAAGAGCCGACCTTCATTTGACAAGTTCCTCCCGTCTTGCTGGGACCAAAAGAGACTTTCTGGCACAGAGGCCCCCACAGGTTTCTCTGGAGCTCCCCAAACATCCCCCCAGGGTCTGCTCCCCATGAGCCCCAAGTGTCCCTTCCATGAAGCATGGTGTCCAGAGCCAGGGGGGCCGGGAGGAGTCGCCCCACCTCTCATTGATTGCTACGAGCCACAAGGGCAGAACCTTCTAGAGGTGAAGGTGGGGTCAAGGCCAGCAGGGACTGCAGCCACCGTCTCCCCCAGGCCCAGCAACACCTCCGGGCCTCTCCCACTTGCCTCTCACCACTGCCCACCTGACCAGGCCGACTCTGTTTAAGCCGCACACCCTTCTGGGTGGGCCAGTGGCTTGTCCCCTCGGCCCCAACGCTTCGGTCCCTCCCACCCAGGTCATGCTGGTAGGGGATTCGGGCGTGGGGAAGACCTGCCTGCTTGTGCGCTTCAAGGATGGGGCTTTCCTGGCGGGGACCTTCATCTCCACCGTGGGCATCGACTTCCGGGTGAGAGCGGAGTCTGGTGCCCCAGTCCCTGACCGGGCCAGCAGCAGGCCGGGCCCCAAGTGTCCCCATCGGCCCACTTAGTGCTCCTCAGACCCTAGCAGCAGCTTCTCCGCCGCCCCCGGGACAGGCTGCCTAGTGGGACACTGCAAAGCAGCTGCCTCCCCCCACACTCCGGGGTCCAGGAGATGGGGGTGGCCACATCCCATGCCAGCAGAGACAGGGCCCCTGGCCGGCTCCCTGTGCCCAGGGAGGCGGGTGCTGCGGGGGGCAGGGAGGAACCTCGTGGCCCACATCCACTCAGAGGCCTGCGCCCTGTCCCGCTGTCTCGAGGGGTCAGGCACCCTGAGGCAGGCACTGGTGGTGCCCAGGGCCAGGGTGTCCCCTGGCGTCAGGCCTTGCTCGGGAAAGGGTCCTGGCCCTTGGGTGAGAGGCTCAGGGCAAAGGCTCCCACCTGGCTGCACTCCCCTGACGCCACCACCCGGCCCTGCCAGACTGAGGGCTGTGTCCTGGGGTTCTGCTGGGGAGTGCCCAGAAACACTTGGCTCCCAGGACCCACGGCACCTGCAGCAGCCTGTGGGGTCAGCAGGGGGTGACGGGTCCCGACACTCGGGCCTGCCACCTCTGCCCTCCCTTGCAGCCCACATGCTGAGGTGCTGGTGTGTTCCTGGCAAGTCCTGATTTTGCATTTTTCTCACCCTTTAATTAGACCCAGTTGGCAGGCACCTGGGAGACCCATTCTGGGGACAGGAAATGGGGCTCTTTGGAGCCTGGGGAGTCATTCCCTATCCTGTTTGGGGGGGGCCAGGTCCCCTCGAGTGCTCTGCAATGAAGTAGGCACAGAGGGGTGCAGAGGGAGGCCCCCGGTTCTGGTCCTTTGCCTGTTTCTGCCCCAAGTCCCTCCTCCCCCTCCCCTCTGGGCTCAGGGGCAGGTGAGGAGGGAGGTGAGGTCATTTGGCCCACACCCCTGTTCTGGGTGCCGGGGAAGGCGGGGTGTCCTCCCAGCACGGCAGATGGCTGCGCTTGTTCCCCAGAGACCGAGAAGCACCCTGACAGCGGGAGCCTGGGGGAGGGCAGGCAACGCCCCTGGGCCACCCCCACCCAGCAGATGGGAAGTGGGGTGGGCCCCTCCCCTGTCCTGACCCACAGGGAGCACCCTCGGGCACCAGGCAGAGTTCTGGCCCCTGGTTATCTGCTGCACCCGCCCTGGAGCTGCGGCTTAGGAGGAGCCGGGTCCCTGGGCAGATGCCCTCCCAGCAGCTGCTCGTGAGGCCAGCGGAGCAGCCACAGGACGGGCCCCAGGTCTTTCCCACTTGTGGTGGGGAAACTGAGGGACAGAGCCCTGAGCACGGGGGCAGTGCGGGCCTAGCGTGCGGGTGGGCTGGGGCAGTCCGGGAGGGGTGTACCCCAGGGCTCGGCTGGGCTGGCAGGTGGGCACAGGGACGTCTCCAGGCTGGTATCACGGAGGGTAGGAGAGGGGCAGGGTGTGGGGGAGAGCGACAGGGGTGGGCGGCAGCCAGGGGCCCCGGTGGCAGTGGGGCTGGTGGGACTCAGGGCCAGGCCTCCCCAGTGGGCAGGGGAAGAAAAGCCCGACCCAGAGCTGGCCGCGGAGGACAGCCGAATGTGCGGGAGAGGGGCCTGGCGCCCTCTGTGCAGTCACCGGGACAGGTCGCCACGAAGCAGGCGGGAGCCGGAGGCCGGGGTTCAAGGCCAAGCCCTAAGCCCGGCCGAGGCGAGGCGAGCATGCGCAGTAGCGGCGGCGCCCGCGGGGCGCACGGGAAGGGCGCACTGGGGCCTCCGCTCCCCCACCCTGGCCGGGGACCCCTCCAAAGGCCGTGCTCGTGGAGCTGCCGCCCGGGCCGGGGCGCGCGGGGGGCGCCCGTTGGAGCTGACTCTGTTTCAGAACAAAGTTCTGGACGTGGACGGCGCGAAGGTGAAGCTGCAGGTGAGCGGGGCGGGCGGGGCCGGGGCCCGGGGCCGGGGCGGGCCGCGCCGCCTGCTGGACCTGCCTGCCCCGCAGATCTGGGACACGGCCGGCCAGGAGCGCTTCCGCAGCGTCACCCACGCCTACTACCGCGACGCCCACGGTGAGCGGGGGGCGCGGCGCGGGGCGGGGGGCGCGCGGGCGGGGGGCGCGGCGCGGGGGGGCGCGCGTCCTCACCGCTCCCCCCGCCCCCGCCTCTGCCCAGCGCTGCTGCTGCTCTACGACGTCACCAGCAAGGTCTCCTTCGACAACATCCAGGTCAGCGGCCGCCCCGGGCCCCCCAGCCAGGCGGCATCGGGCCTAGGGCCCCGGAGGCCTGAGGACCCACTGACAGCGAGGGCGCGCAGCCCCTCTGGGCCCCTGGGGGCAGGTGGGGTGAGCTGGGGGCGCCGGGGCCCTCGCAGCCCCACAGCCTGGGCGTCACGCAGATGGGGCGCCTGGGGGTCACGGCTCCGGGCCTTGCCGCCGCCGCCGGAGCCGCGGAGGGCGGGGCGGGGGGGGCGAGGGCCGGGCGGCGCACCCCAGCCCCAGCCCGCGCGCCCGCCCCGCAGGCCTGGCTGGCGGAGATCCAGGAGCACGCCCAGCGCGACGTGGTGCTCATGCTGCTGGGGAACAAGGTGGGCACCGCCCAGGTTCCGGATGGGGGTCGGGGCGCGGGGCCTCTCACCAAGACCCCCGACCCACCAGGTGGACTCTGCCCAGGAGCGGGCAGTGAAGAGGGAAGACGGGGAGAAGCTGGCCAGGGTGAGTGGGGCTGGTGGGCGGGGAGGGCGCGCCGCTGTGGGCTGGGCCGCCCTCCCCGGGGCTGGCAGCCGCTGCTTGCAGGAGTACGGGCTGCCCTTCATGGAGACCAGCGCCAGAACCGGCCTCAACGTGGACTTGGCCTTCACAGCTATAGCCAAGTAAGTCAACAGGAAGCCCCAGACCCGGCTGGCCCCCCACTGGGGGGCACACCCTGCTCATCACCCCTGCCCGCAGGGAGCTGAAGCAGCGTGCCATGAAGACGCCCGGCGAGCCCCGCTTCCGGCTGCATGACTATGTCCGGCGGGAGGGCCGTGGGGGCTCCTGCTGCCGGCCCTGAGCCTGGGTGGCCAGCAGGGAGGCCCAGGCTCCCAGCGGCCACTTCCCCCCACTCCCAGGCAGGCCTTGGCTGCAACAAATGGGCTTCAGGCAGCCAGCAGGCACACAGCTCCCCTTTACCTGCCCCTCTCCTGCCCTCGTGGAAAAGCAACTGCGTGCACAGGAGGGACACTTGGCGATGTGTACCCTGCTGTCCCTGTGGGGGGGGGGGCCTCCCACCTCTGCTGGGCAGAGGGCCTGGACACATCTCTGCTGTGTCCCAGACACCAGCCGCCTGCTAAGGGACGCTGGTGTGTGACATGGAAGCCCGTCAGGGAGGGCTGCCCACCTGGCCTGAGCAGAGGCCTGTGCAGGCTCAGATACCAGGCAGGGCTGCCTTCAGTGGACCCCTTGCACCCAGCCCTAGTAAATAAAGTTGTTCTCTGAAACGCTGCCTCACGGCTGGAAACCGCTCCCAGAGCAAGAGGGGCAGGCCCCAAGCCCAGAGGGAGCTGCCCTGTAACCCGCGCAGCACTGCGGACATGGGGGGGTGTCTACTTCCCCATGGGAGCCCTAATGACCATGGCCCGTTAAAAGGGCATGACCCAGGGCCTCCCCTGGTGCAGCGGTTGAGCGCCGGGCTACGGGGCTGCCCGCAGCCTCTGCAGCGCCGGTTTGTTTCCCAGCCGTTGAAGAGGGCCCCACCAAAAAAAAAAAAAAAGTATGACCCACCCAGAGTCCAGCAGGCGTGAAGCTGCCGTGTGCACCCCACCTCCATGCCTTGACCCAGGTCCCACACTGCCCAGGCCAAGCCAGTCCTCGCAGCACAAGCAGCACATGAAAGTGAGGACACAGGCTCAGTATGCCCACTGCCCTTGCTTTATTGCTGTGCTCTCAGGTCTAAAGAGGCCGGGTCGTGTGGCCGGAGGGCCTGGAGGATGCTGGGGATAGAGGGGCGGGTTGGTGGGCAGCGGGAGGTAGCTGTGGTGTACTTTGGCACAGACATCAGAGCCCGGTGATCATGTTCTAAAGAGCCTAACAAAGCGGCTGGGTTCTCTAATAACAGACAAAAGCACCGCTGTGAGCAAGTGAAAGGCTAACTACTAGGTCTTCTTGGCTTGGCCGCTTCCGGAGTAGCCAGCTCAGTGAAGGCACGCAGGGCTCACCTGGGTCAGTCAGGGCTTGCTGCTGGTGGGCAGAGCCCAGCAGGATGGGAAGCGTGTCTCAGTATGAGGACCGAAGGCTCAAGTCCTGGAAGCTTTGGTGAAGGACGGGTGTCCAGGACCCCAGAAGGCCCACTGTGGACACCTGGGGTTCAGGGTCAGCCCTGCTGGAGTGCTGCCTGACGACCTGTACGCAGTTGTGGGCAGGCTTGTCCCCGGCGCGCGGAAGCAAAGTGGCAGGGTCTAGAGCAGACACTGTCTTTAGCCTGACGCCGATGCCCAGCAGGCTATCCTGGTACTTCTTCAGCCTCACAGAGGTGAGCCAGCACCTCTCTGTCTGCTCCAAGAGGGCCTTCACGTGGTGTGGCGTGTACACTGTGACGGGCTGGGCCTCTGTGAACTTCTTGGCCTGCTGGAGAAGTTCATAGGTCGCAGCCACTGCCCGCAGGCAGACCGGCCATCTCCGCGCCACCTCATCCAGCTGCTTAGAGCAATAGGCAATGGGGCGTCTAGCGCTGCCCAGGCGCTGGGTCAGCACCCCAAGGCCTACACCCTGGCGCTCATGGACGAAGAGGTCAAACGGCTTCCTTAGATCTGGAAGGCCAAGCGCACGGGCCTTTGAAAGCCAGTCCACGATGTCTTCAAAGGCTCGGGAACACTCTGCAGTCCAATGGAACGACTCACCATCGCCTTTGAGTGCCTCACACAAGGGTTTGACTGTAAGCCCGAAGTTGGGAACCCAGGCCCGGCAGAAGCCCACCTTTCCCAGGAACTTCCGCAGCTGCTCCCTGGTGGTGGGTACAGCCCCACCAGCGAGGGCCAGGCCCCGCTCGGGCAGCAGCCATCTCTGCCCCTGGGACAGCTCAAGCCCCAAGTATTTCACTGTTCTCTGCGAAAACTGGGCCTTCTTACAGACCTTGTACCCCCTTTCTGCCAAGAAATTTAAGGTCCGTACGGTATTTCTATGAGAAAATGCCTGGGTTTTGCTGGCTATCAAGATGTTACCTGTGTATTGCAGTAGAACTCCCTCTTCTAACTGGAGGTCCTGCAGCTCTTTAGCAAAAACTTCATCAAAAACGGCAGGGGCATTTTTAAACCCCAGTGGCAAAACCGTCCAGCAGTACTGCTTGTCCCCACCGGATTCTGGGCTGCCCCACTCGAAAGCAAACAACTCCTGGGACTTCTTGCTCAAAGGTATGCAATAATAGGCATCTTTTAAACTTAAGACCGTGAACCAACCCAAGCCGTGCGGCAGCTGGTTGAGAAGAGTGTGAGAGTTTCGCTTTGCTGGGCCTACGTCCTCTACAATTTGATTGATCACCTTTAAGTCCTGGGCGATACGGTAGTTTCTTGTCTCCGGCTCCCGCAGCAGGAAGACCGGAGTGTTGTAGGGAGACCTGCAGGGCCGAAGGAGTCCGTACTGGAGATAAGCAGCGACCAGGTGGTCCATTACTTTCCTATCGTGTCTCTTCAGCGGGCGCTGTTTCAGCCTCGGGGCCCTCGCGTGTGGCTTGAGCAGCACTTTCACGGGTTTGACTCTCACGGCCCGTCCTGGCTTCCCATCACTCCACACTTCACTGCTTACCTCCCGCAAAATGTTCTCTGGTATCTCTGCTCTGCAGCCGCCCTGCGTGTAACCGAGGCTCTGCTGTGGTCTCACCCACGACCGCTGACTTCCTGTGGAGGGCACCGTGGCGCGCTTCCGGGGCTCATCATCATCATCGCTGAGAAACTCCATGAGCAGGGGAACTAGCGCAGGGCTGCGAAGGACTGGGAAAGCAATCTCAGTCAGCGGAGACACAGGCACCCACCCCCCTCCAGACTCAGCCTATTCCTCGTCAGCACTCTCACCAACCAAGAGATTGTTAAGAAAAAAGTTTTGAAAAGAGGGGTTATTAATTGTCGTCATAGTCAGGGTGTTGGGAGGTCACTATTGACGCGCTGCTTGTCCCAAAAAAACGAAGGGATCTTCTGGCCTGTTGTACTCCCTGGACCCGTGTCCTCAGCTCGGGCCTCCCTCTCAGATGGCAACCTGTGCTAAGCGTTGCCCAGCTCGGAGGGAGCCAGGCCGCAGACGGAGGCCCCGGCACCCGACGCGAGTTCCACGTGGCTGGGACTAAGGTCCTGTCTGGGCTGGGCCTGAGGCTTTTGAGCACAGCGTTCGACGGTCACCCACAGCCCCACGGCCCCTTACGTGTGTGCAGGTCCCAGGCCGCGCAGGGAGCGGGCCCTCGCGGGCGCTTCGGCCGCGGGCGAGCGGCGGATCCGCGCGAGCCTCGAGGGGCCGCGCTCCTCCCGGGAGCGGCCGGCCCAGGGGCCCACGGCATGTCGGGGCCGAGCCCACACCGGGGCGGTGGCAAGTCGGGATCGGGGCGTCCAGCGGGGTCGCCGACGGCCCTGAAACAGAGCAGACGGGTGTCCGCGCCCGGCCCGGAGGGCGCGTCCCCGCCCCCCGCCCCCCGCCGGGGGAGCAGCACGCGGGGCCTCAGTCTCGCGAGATAATCAGGCTGCGCGCGCAGTGCTCAGACGAGGTGTCAGAAGTTACAGCGACTCATCACCGGCCCGGCGCTCCCCGCGCGCGGCGCGCAGGCGGCCTCACCTGCGGCGCGGGCTCCGTCCTCAGGCGGCGCTGGCCGGGGCGGGGCGGGGCTGGTCCGGCCCGCGCGCTCGGGAGCCCCTCTCGGGCCTGGCCCGCGCCCGCCCGGACCGCGCGCGGAAGCCGGGCAGCTGCGCGCGCCCTCCGCAGCGCCCAAAAGAAGGCGCGCTCCCCGGCTCAAGCTTTTATAGTATCTCCCCCTCCGTGATTGGGCAATCCCGGCGGAAATACCCGCCCCCCCTCGCCGCGGATACGCTCCCCTCGCTACTCTCCCCGTTTCCACCAATCGCACGCGGCAATTCCTTGGGGCGCGGTCTTCCCGACGCTCCTCCCTTTGCAGGGGCTATTGAACCCGTGAGCGACGGATGCATCAGCCAATCAGACTCCGATGGGGAAATAGCGCGCTCTCGGGCCGCCAATCCCTCTCCGCGACGTCCTGGCGCCGGAAGCCGTCGTTTCCCGAGCGCCCCGCGCGGGTGGGTCCCCCGGCCCCGGCCCGGGAACTACGAGTCCCGGCGTGCCCAGCGCCCGGGCGCTTCCGGCTCGCGCGTCCGGTAGCTCGGGCGGCCAGCGGCCGAGGACACGGCGCTCCGAGGATGGTGCCGCCGCGCCCGGGCGCTCGCGGCCGGGTGAGTGTCCGCGCGGGGCTGCGGCCGGGGCTCGCGCCGCGGGCGCGCGGGCCGGGCGGACGGGGCGCGCCTTCGGGCCCGGGGGGCGGGGCCGGGCGGGCGCGGGGCTCGCGGTCAGCTGGGCGGCCGCTCGCCCCGTCCCCCGCCGCCGCCCGCAGTCCCCTCCGCCCTCCTCGTTCTCCGGGCGCGGGGCGGGCGCGGCGCGGGGCGGGGCGGCGGGCTGGGCCGCGCTCCTCGCCCGGGGACGGGCTCGCCTGCCCCTGGCGCCGGGGCCCGCGCGGGGGCGTCGCCGGGTGTGGGGCACCCCCTCTCCACCCGCGACACGCCTGAAGCACCCGCCCTCAGGGACCCCCGGAATGTCTGCGGTCGTTGTAGAACGCGGGGGACACGATCCCCCTCCCTCCGCGCCCCTGGAGAAGGGGATCTGGAGCGGGCCGGGCGGTGCCGGGCGCTCGGAGTCCTGAGGAATTTGACAGGCGCTGTGAGGGGAGCGGAACGAGTGGGGCTCCGGGGAGTGCCCCAGCGGCAGCCCGCCTTGGGCAGTGGCCGGAGGAGCGTGCTGGGAATGGGCCGCCGCCTGAGGGGAGGGGGCTGCCCCTGCCAGGCTCAGCGGGCAGCCAGCGGGAGCATGAGGAGGCTGGCTCCCCAGGAGCTGGGTGGGGCCCTCTCCTAGTCCCCACTGGGCCTGCCAGTCTTGAGCCAAGCCAGAACAGTCGTCTGGAGCCTAGTCTGGGGTCCTACTGGACCCACCCTACGCTGGCGCGGCTGGGTTCCGCCCTGCTCTGCTGCCTCCCTCCAGTGGAGTCCTGTGCTGCCCGCCCTGCCCACCCACCCTTTTCCCCAACCCTGAGACCCCCCCCACCCCCGCCTGCCCACCCTGAACCCCCAACCCCCAGCTGCATTCTTTTCCTCGTTCCTTCCTGCTGGTCTGTCTCTGAAGGCTTGTGGCCTCGGCGCTGCCTCTGCCCGACTCCTGCTTTCACTGCCCTGGGCATTCGAATTTCTTGGTGCAAACCCCAGTTGTGTGTCCTAGGGTTCCTCCACCCTAGAGCTGCGCTGTTTCCAGGTGGGGCAGAAACTCCTCTCTGGAAGGGGAGCAGGGCAGTGGGCAGCCTGGCTCGGGCAGGGGACCCAGCCTGAGGGGTCTCGAGGAGTAGAGTCTGTGGCTATCTGGAAAGGAAAGACCTATCAGGGCCGGTCAATACTGGGGTTGAGGGCCAGGTTCATTGGCACAGCAGTCCCGCCCCACTGCACCCCCCTGGCCTCCCCCGCCCCCGTGGGCTCCCGGCTCCCATCAGACTCACGCTTAGCTGTTACCACGTCCCTTCTCTCCAGCGCGGAACCTGGCAACAGGGGTGAGCCTTGCAAGGCCAGCTGACCGGACAAAGGGACAGGCGGTTTCAGGAACAGAAGATGCTGAGGGGGCTCTGTGCAGCGTGGGCCAGGGGGGAAATCCCATGGCTCTATAGCAAGGCCAGGTGCGGGACTAGCTGGCATGCCTGCTGGGGCTCCTGGGTTTGCTGGTGGCAGAGGAGGCAGCAGAAGGAACAGACGCTGGGTAGTCCTCGTGCTGTCTCTCGGCCCTGTGTCCCTGGGAGGGCCACGGAGCCCCCAGCCCCTGAGTGGGGCTACTGTCACAGGGCCTTCACCCTGACTCAGTCCCCTCAGGAGGTTCCTCCAGACACGGGCCCTTCACACCATATGCGGGCCCACTGGCGCGGCTGGGTTCCACCCTGCTCTGCTGCTTCCCTCCATTGGAGTCCTGTGCTGCCCGCCCTGCCCACCACCCTTTTCCCCAACCCTGAGACCCTCCCCACCCCCGCCTGCCCACCCCGAACCCCCAACCCCCAGCCGCGTTCTCTTCCTCGTTCCTTCCTGCTGGCCTGTCTCTGAAGGCTTGTGGCCTAGATCTGAAGCCAGGGTGGCGACGGTGCATCCAGCATGCATGGTAGCGAAGTGGCTGAGCAGGGATTTGAACTCAGCTGAGAGTCCAGTGTCTGTGGCCTTGAGCCGGTGCCAGGAACAGCCAGGAGGAAGGAACACCTGGGGAGCCCTGGGGCTGACGAAGGAGTGTTCTGGAGCCGGGGGCACACGGTGGTGGTGGTGGGGCTGAGCCAGAGCTCTGCCCTCCGCTCTCCCATCGCACCTCCAGAGCCGGATCTGGCCTGGAACTGCGTGTGCACCCCAGCTTCTTCAGGGGAGCGAGAAGCGGGAAGGTAGGGAGGCCGGCTGGGCCCAGAGCTCTCAGGCGAGACCCGGCATCTGTTCTGTGAGTCTGCAACCACCGGTTTCAGACGCCCCGAACTCACTTCCCGGCCTGCCTGGCCTCCAGAACCAGCCAGACACAACGCTGCCTCTCCGCTCTGGCCCGCCAGCCCTGATGCTGGACAGCCGGGCCACCAGACCCCGGGGCACATGGCGGCGGGTGCGGGAAGGAGGCATCAGGTGGAAGGTAACGGCCTTCCTGCAAGAGGGACCCTCCTCCAGCAGAGGGGCTGCAGCTCAGAGAAGCTGGACTGGGGCACGAGAGGCGTGCAGGCCAGCTGGGTGAGGAGCACAAGGGGCGCAGCCCTGGGCATCGGGTGTGGGGAGGGAGAGGCCTCAGACAGGACATGCCGTGGTGCTGAGGGGATCCTCAAAGCTGTACCCAGCCTATTTGGGATGGAAAAGACGTGTTAAGGCACACCAGGGAGCAGCAGGGCGGTGTGCGCGGCTCTGCTGTGGCAACCGGGCCTGTTTTTAAAGGACTTGGCAGCCTGGCCTGGGCTGGGGCCAGGGGCAGGGCTGACCGGGGGCGGGGCAGTCTGTGCATGAGCTGGGGGCCTTGCTATAGTCTAGCCAGCAATTGTGCGGCCTCCCTGGGCTGCACCTCTCCCCTTGCTGCTCGGCACATGTGGTTCGGGGAACCCCAGCACACACATCGCTGGGCTTGGCCACCCGCCCCCCTCCGCTGGCCAAAATGGGTGGGGACCCAGGCCCCACCTCCCGCCAGCTGGGTCCCAGCAGATCCCAACCGGCTACCTCCGGGTGTGGAGTGAAGAGGGAATCTGGGGTCCACCCCTGGGGCCCGGGAGAGCTGCCAGGAAGTAGGCCAGTGAGGCTTGGCAGAGAGGACTGGGGAGCTGAGGACGCCCTCTGACCCCCTACACCCACCACGGCTTTCCCCTAGGGCACCGGCCGCTCCCTGCTGCGGAGTCTCGCTCCAGAGGACGGCTGCCCAGACACTTAGCTGGCCGCCGGGTGGGGGTGCACGCCCCATCTCGCTTCTGGGGTCTCAGCCTGCCTGGGGTGCTCAGGAAAACCCTGGGGCCTGGGGCGGATTCGGCCACTTTGTTCAATTTTGAGGTGCTTGGGCTGCACGTCCCCCGTTCTGGGCAGGGCCGGCAACGGGGCGCTGGAGCCCAGCCACCAGGCCAGCGCCGGCCGTGAGCCTTGTGCCCCGGAAACATCCCCCCCGACTCCCCTCCCCGCACTCAGATGGGTCCAGGGCCGGGCTGGCTGCGCCCCCCGGGCCTGTGTCCCTGAGCCAGCGGCGGCCGTCCTGGAGCCCCGCATTTGCACGCGACCTCACGTGCCTTTGTGTTTACTTCGCCGGCCGCTCGAGGGACGCGCGGGGTGAGGTGGCTGCCGGGGCCCTGGGGGGCGCTCCCTGGGGCTCGGCCGCCCCTCCAGGCAGCTCGTGGGAGGTGGCAAGTGGCTCTGCAGAGGCCGGGCCAGCTTCTGCCAGGGCCCCCGCGCTCCCGGCCTCGGTGCTGCCAGGCAGGGGCCAGCCTGGGCCTTCCGGAAGGGCAGTGCCACTCGTGGGCACAGGGGCTGCCCCGGACTCACCAGGGGGTGGCTCTGCGCAGACCGGGTGGCCTGCGAGGCGGTCGGCTTGGACGGGCCCGCAGCGGCTCAGCCCTTCCCGCGCGCCGTTCCCGCCCCGCGGGGCTGCATCGGGAGGGCGGGTGCTGTTGGGGCGCCGAGGACGCCGGCAGCTCCCTGCAGGCCCACAGGTGGGGCTCGGGGAGGACACGGGGTGACTAAGGGAGGGGCGGTAGAGGTCACCCGGTGCTCAGGTCGGAGGGAGCGATGGGGAAGGTGCTGGGACCCACTGGCCTGCACGGCCGCCTCTGAGCAGTGCTCACGTTGGGGGCTCAGGGGGGCTTTTCTGCCCCTCCCGCAGCGGGGGGCCAGCGGGGTCCCTGCTCCTTCTCCCGCGACCTCAGCCCTCCCATGCAGGGGCGCCTGGGCCGCCCAGCCCTGTCCTTGGGGTGTGTGGTCCTCGGAGGTGGAGGTGCCCCCAGCCGTGGGCCCTGAGTCCCATACCAGGGTGGGGGCGCCCTGGGTTCTCGGGCTGGTGACTGGGCAAGAGTTGGGCTCTTCTTTTCGCCCCCTGCCCCAAAGGACTTTGTCTGGGAGAGACTGGTGAGGAACTGGGCCTGGGCACTGCACCCCCAGGTCTGCGGGGCCCGGCCGGCGGCACCTCTCTGGCGCACACCGTGAGGCTTGTCCAAATGAGGGCACCAGGCTGCTGCCCACTCCGGGCCCAGAGAGCTCGCGGGTTGGCGCTCCCGCCTCCAGGCAGAGCCGGAGCAGCTGGCGGGCTGGCGCTGCCCCTGAAGCCGCTCTGGCCCCACCCGCAGGGGGCGTTGCCCGAGGACCCTCGATGCCTCTAGAGCGAGAGCTGCGCCCACAGCCGCCTCTCCGCAGCCTGCCTCCTGCCCCCCCCAGACACCGCCAGCAGGGTGAGGGCCGGGTGCGGGCCTGTCCTCCGCGCACCCTGCGCCCCAGGGCCCCAGCAGAGCTCCTGGAGCCGCCCCCCTCACCTGGGGTGCCCGGGCGGGGGGCAGCACGGAAGCGTGCACGCCCGCCTCCTCCCGGGGCCGTCCCGCCGCGCGCTCTAGGCCAGGATGGAGACGACCTTCGGGCCCACCTTCTCTGCCGTCACCACCATCGCGAAAGGTGAGAGGAGAGCCCGTGGGACCAGCGCGCCCCCTGCCCCGGCGGCCCCCATCACGGTGACACCCCGCCCCTCGCCAGCCTCCAGAACAGGGGTGGGCTTCCCAGCCCAGCCCATGTCCGGCCGGAGCCCTGTGGGAGTGGCCTTCTTCCCGGGCTCTGGGCTGGTTGTGGGGCCGCTGGAGTCTGGTTGCCGCCCACAGGGCCTGAGCGGGAGGCCTTCTGGCTCCCCCCCTCCCCCCGGCCCCTGCCAGCCCCCCAGGACCACCACAGGACGCGTAGCAGAGGCCCCTCCCACAGCCTGTCCTGGCGGGTCCCTGCTTCCTGCCAGGGGCGGCGGGGTGCGGGGAACTCAAGGACCCGCACAACCAGGCCGTCATCCCGCCTACAGGGACCGGCGACAGGCTCCCCGCTCCCTGCGCCTCAGTCACTCCCCTGGGGGGTGAGGAGGCCAAGCCCCGCAGGGCTGCCTGAGGCCAGCGCCAGGCTGTGCACTGGGTCCTTGCTGGCAGCACCGGAACCCCTGCAGGGACCCCTGGCCTGCTGGGGCGGGGAGCTCCGGGCTCGCTGGGACGTGCGGGCAGGCCAACCCCCCAGCGCAGATAGACTGGGGAGGCCACCCCAGCCTCCCCCCTCCCTCTCCTGCAGAGCCAGGGAGGCGGGGCCCCCGGGAGGCGCAGAGGACTCACGCAGGCACCTGCCTGGGGAGAGGGGCGCAGCGGCTGCAGCCCAGCCCTGCTCCAGCCCCAAAGGAGGCCGTGGGAGCCTGCCCGGCCGCCCTCAGCCGGCCCCTCTCTCGGCAGCTGACGGGACCAGCACGTACAAGCAGCACCGCAGGACGCCCTCCTCCTCCAGCACCCTGGCCTTCCCCCCGAGGGACGAAGAGGACAGCATGGTGGGTCTGCGCCCTGCCCCTGCCCAGCGCCTCCTGCCAGGACAGGGTGTGGGAGGGGCCCGGGTGGGCTCAGCTGTGAGGAGCAACCAGAGCCCGGGTCGTGGAGGGTCTGGGGAGCTCTGGGCCACCCGAAGCCTGAGCAGCCCCCGCGGCGCCTGCATATGTCCATCTGTAGCACTGGGTCCCTCTTGAGGGGTGTGAGCCATGGAAGGTGGCAGCAGGAGGGTGACAAGATCAGGTCCCATTTGTGCAGCTCCCAGTGCTGCCGAGCAGAGGCTGGCATGGTGGGGCAGAGGCAGGAGACCCATGCGGGGTCCTGACCAGGGAGATGGCCCCAGCAGCTGGGGACGTGGCGGGGCCCACGCTGGGGTCAGCCTGTGTGGCGGTGGGCAGGGGTGGAGCTGTGGGTCTCTGCACTGGCTCTGTGGGTCCAGGTGGCTCGGGGGCTCCACCTGGCTGTGTGGCCACCGCCCTCACTGCGGGCTCTGGGCCGGAGGGGGCTGCCAGGCGCTGTGCTGGGGGCCAGGCCCTGACCACTGACCCGTCACCCACCTGGAGCGTGACGGGAACGGATACCTGGGCAGCTCAGGAAGCCCCCCGGGTCTGGGGGCCTTGGGGAGCTGTGAATGTGGTGTGGAGACTGGGGGGCCCTGCTTTTGGGGCATACCGTCCTGGCTCAGGAGGGTGAAGCCCCTGAGGGCAGGGGCAGGTGGGCAGAGCGGACGGTTCCATCTGGACTTGCTGCTGCAGGGGCCACGTGACCGTCTTTCTCCGACTTCTCATTCCTCATGTGGCGCCTGCACATGGGCCGCCGCTTGGGACACGGGCACTGCCCAATGGGGGAGGCGCCATCTGTGGCCACATGGGAAGCACAGAGGCCTCTGCTGCCCTTGCTGGGGGGCCTGGAACTGGCACCATCATGTCCAGCTGCCCCTGCGCCCCACTGCAGGGCTGGGGGTGGTTGTCGTGGCCCCACGCCCCACGGAGGCTCCAGCGGGCCTGCCCGGGGCAGGGGCCGTGGGTGGTAGTGGAGGCGGGGGTTGGGGGAGCAGCGGCAGGTGTCTTCGGCAGGGTTCGAGGCCCGAAGGGGAAACCAACCTCGGCCCCTAAGTCCTAATCTCGGTGCCCCAGTCGGAGGTCGCACGGCCCATCCTCTGCTCTCAGATGCTCAGCCAGGGTGGGGGGCCTCCCGCCTCCCCCGGAGCCTCGGGCCCAGTGGCCCTCTGGCGCGCCACAGCCCCCTTCCCAGACTTCCACTGCCCCAGCGGCCCCAGGATTGGCGGTTGAAGGTGCCCCTCCACGGCCCACATTCCCTCCCGGGAGGCAGGAAGCAGGCTGAGCGTGTCCTCGTAGAATTGAATAGCAGGAAGTCGCTCCGTTTACACAAAGAAAGTTGGCAGGCGCAAGCCGGTGGCCGGACAGGGGGCCAGGACCGCCAGGCGGGGCCTCTCCCCTGCAGGCCAGGCGGGCCTTGTTGGGACGGGGCAGCCTGGAGGGCCCGGCTGCCCGGGTGAGCACGGGGCCTGGCCCTCCCCCCGCCTGTCTCTGCTGCAGCCCCCTATCAGCACCCCACGCCGCTCAGACTCCGCCATCTCCGTCCGCTCGTTGCACTCTGAGTCCAGCATGTCCCTGCGCTCCACGTTCTCGCTGCCCGAGGAGGAAGAGGAACCGGTAGGTGCCCATGCGGCGGGTTGGGTGCAGAAGACCCTGAGGGGCAGACCCTGAATGGGGTGGCGGTGAGAGGATGAGCGGCCCAGGCAGAGCCCCCGCCCTGCTGGTCCACATCAGGGACTGGAGAGGCCAGAGCAGGCCCTCAGGCCTGTTTCCACTCCCTGCCCCAGGACTCCCCAGTCTGCATCCTGGAACAGGGTGGGCTCCTGTGGGTCAAGGCCACCCTGGGGGGTCTGCCCAACTTGACCCTTCAGAGCTCAGGCCCAGCCTCAGGCCTCCGCTGGCCCCCCTGGGGGCCCACCCCTGCCGGGGCCCACGCCATCAGGCCCGTGAGGTCAGTGTGCCGCCTGCCCGCGTTCCAGGAGCCGCTGGTGTTCGCCGAGCAGCCCTCAGTCAAGCTGTGCTGCCAGCTGTGCTGCAGCGTGTTCAAGGACCCCGTGATCACCACCTGTGGGGTGAGGCCCTGCCCCTGCCCCTGGGGGGCAGGGGCGGGTGATGGCGACGGCTGTGTCCGAGCCTGTGTTGTCTCCACAGCACACGTTCTGTCGAAGATGCGCCCTGAAGTCAGGTAGGGCCCCTAGGCCCAGCCCGACCCCACACACCCCGCTTTCAGGCAGCCTCCCCCAGTCCTGCTTCGGCCCGTAGGCGGCACCGGGTGGGTGTTTGGGACCGTGCTGGAGACCTCGATGGGCGGGTCCCCTCAGGCCTAGTACCAGCCCAGCGCCCACACTCCGGCCCCCGCCCCTGGCCCTGCCTAGACTTTGCCCAGCCAGCTGCTCCCCAGAGCCCCTGCTGCATCCCGGCACTGGGGGTGGACCGGGCCCTGGGGTCAGCATGCCCTCCCCCCAGAGAAGTGCCCCGTGGACAACGCCAAGCTGACCGTGGTGGTGAACAACATCGCGGTGGCCGAGCAGATCGGGGAGCTCTTCATCCACTGCAGGCACGGCTGCCGCGCGGCGGGCGGCGGGAAGCCCCCTGCCTTCGAGGTGGACCCCCGAGGCTGCCCCTTCACCATCAAGCTCAGCGCCCGGAAGTAAGTGCCCCCCTCCCCCGTGCCCATGTGGGCTGCCGCGCCCTGGCACTCAGCCCCCGCGTGCCGCTGCAGGGACCACGAGGCCAGCTGCGACTACCGGCCTGTGCGCTGCCCCAACAACCCCAGCTGCCCGCCCCTGCTCAGGATGAACCTGGAGGCCCACCTCAAGGAGTGCGAGCACATCAAGTGTCCCCACTCCAAGTATGGGTGAGTGGGGCGCCTCTCCCCCCCCACCCCACCCCCCGCCGAGGCTGCTGTGCCCGAGACGGTGGGCCCCGGCTCTGCCGCGGTGGAAATCACAGGCCCGGCGCGGGTGCCGGAGAGATCCGGCGGAGGGAGCAGAAGGCGCCGGGGCAGGGGCGCAGAGGCTGTGCGGAGGGCGGGCTGCGGTGGGGATGGCCGCAGCGCAGTGGGGCGTGTTAGGGGCGCGGGTGGCCGGAGCCAGACAGTGAGCGGGCGGGGTGCACCTGCGGAGCTGGGGCCCACCTGGGGCGTGGGGCACAGAAGTGGGTTCCCCGGAGCCGGGCAGGCCATGAGCGGGTGGGCAGGCGCTGTCCTGTGCCTCAGGTGCGCCTTCATCGGGAACCAGGACACGTACGAGACGCACCTGGAGACATGCCGCTTTGAGGGCCTGAAGGAGTTCCTGCAGCAGACGGACGACCGCTTCCACGAGATGCACGTGGCGCTGGCCCAGAAGGACCAGGAGATCGCCTTCCTGCGCTCCATGCTGGGCAAGCTCTCCGAGAAGATCGACCAGCTGGAGAAGAGCCTGGAGCTCAAGTTCGGTGCGCGCCTGCTGGGGCCCGGGGGAGGGGGCCGGGGGGAGTCCCGTGCAGCCCGCTCCCTGTCCTTGACCGGCCGGCCCTGCCCTGCCCGCAGATGTCCTGGACGAGAACCAGAGCAAGCTCAGCGAGGACCTCATGGAGTTCCGGAGGGACGCGTCCATGTTGAACGTGAGTGGGGCCGGCGCTGGCCGGGGGAGGTGCCCCCAGGTTCCGGCTGCTGCCCGGTCAGGGGAGGCTGCTGCTGTCCCTACCCTGGTCCCGGCCAGCCCAGACTGGGGGGCGCTGTAGAGCCCCCACTCACCGCTGCGCTGTGCTCTCCCTCGGCCCCACAGGACGAGCTTTCCCATATCAATGCGCGACTGAACACGGGCATGCTGGGATGTGAGTACAGGCCCGCTGCTCCCCCCCACCCACTGCACCCTGGGGGCCCATGGCGCCATCACCGGCCCCTTCTGTCTCCCTGCAGCCTACGACCCCCAGCAGATCTTCAAGTGCAAAGGGACCTTCGTGGGCCACCAGGGCCCTGTCTGGTGTCTCTGCGTCTACTCCACAGGGGACCTGCTCTTCAGCGGCTCCTCTGACAAGACCATCAAGGTGACAGGGTCTGGCCGTGGGCGTGGCAGCTGCGGGCACCCTCGTCGCTGTTGCTCCGACCCACTTGACCCCCTCTCTGCAGGTATGGGACACGTGCACCACCTACAAGTGCCAGAAGACACTGGAGGGCCACGACGGCATCGTGCTGGCGCTCTGCATCCAGGGGTGAGCCAGCCTTGTCGCCCCAGGCCCCGAGCAGGGCAGGCTGGTGTGGGCACATGGTCTCACATCCCGGGCACCTACCCTGGGGCGTCTCGGCAGTCAGAGGCTGAGGCGGGGCTGGCCGAGGGTGGACACAGGAGCTCAGTGCCCATCAACCTTCAGCCCTGGGCACAGCTTGGGGACAAGACCACCGAACAGCCGGTTCGCCACCCCTCACCTCCAGGTGACCCCTCGCTGGGACCTTCCACTTGGTCTTATGTCCCGAGTGTGAGATGTTTGCTCAGGAGGCAGCAGCTTGACTGCCAGCCACGCGGTGGGGGTCTCCCAGGCTGGGCCCCTCGCCGTGGCAGGACCACGAGGCCAAGGCGGGCTCTAGGTGCAGCAGTAGCCGTGGTGCTGGCCCCAGCCACAGGCTTCTGGTGGCCGGGGCGGCCTTGGGGGAAGGTGGGTCTCCCCCTGATGGCCTGGCTCTACCCCCAGGTGCAAGCTCTACAGCGGCTCCGCCGACTGCACCATCATTGTGAGTGGGGCGGGGTGGCCGGGAGGGGGTGCCTGGGCCAGGGTGGTGGGCCAAGCCCTGAGACCGCCACCTGCCCGCCTGCCAGGTGTGGGACATCCAGAACCTGCAGAAGGTGAACACCATCCGGGCTCACGACAACCCGGTGTGCACGCTCGTCTCTTCACACAACATGCTCTTCAGTGGCTCCTTGAAAGCCATCAAGGTCGGGTGGGGGGGGGCTGGAGGGGGCCGTGGGGCACGCCCATCTGCCAGCCCACACACGAGTCTGCCCCCACAGGTCTGGGACATCGTGGGCACCGAGCTGAAGCTGAAGAAGGAGCTCACTGGCCTCAACCACTGGGTACGCGCCCTGGTGGCCGCCCAGAGCTACCTGTACAGCGGCTCCTACCAGACAATCAAGGTGTGCTGGGCCGATCCACCTGGCCGGGCGGGGGCCGGCGCCCAAGACCTGCCCCCCTCCCCCCGCCCCGTGGCTGAGGCCCTGGGGCAGGGTGCTGGCCGGGACCAAGGGCGGTGCTTGCCCACAGATCTGGGACATCCGGACCCTGGACTGCGTGCACGTGCTGCAGACGTCCGGCGGCAGCGTCTACTCCATCGCCGTGACGAGCCACCACATCGTCTGTGGGACCTATGAGAACCTCATTCATGTATGGCGGGAACGGGCAGATTGGCTCCGGGCCCTGTCCCCTGCCAGCCTCTGACCTGCTGTGCCCCTCAGGTGTGGGACATCGAGTCCAAGGAGCAGGTGCGGACCCTGACAGGCCATGTGGGCACCGTGTACGCCCTGGCGGTCATCTCCACGCCGGACCAGACCAAAGTCTTCAGCGCGTCCTATGACCGGTCCCTCAGGGTGCGCCCCTGGCGGTGCGGGGCGTGGGAGCGGTGTGGCTGCGGGTGGGTGCAGTTCAGGCGGCCCTCACATCCTGTGCGCCCCCAGGTCTGGAGCATGGACAACATGATCTGCACGCAGACCCTCCTGCGGCACCAGGGCAGCGTGACGGCGCTGGCCGTGTCCCGAGGCCGCCTCTTCTCGGGGGCCGTGGACAGCACTGTGAAGGTACCCGGCTCGCCCCGCTGGCGGTGAGGGTGGGCGAGGGTCGGCGGCCGGGCAGCTGGCCTGGTGCCTGAACAGTTCCCCCTCCACAGGTCTGGACTTGCTGACGGGACCCAGGCTACTCTCGGCTTCCTTTGCACCTGTGTGGGCCCTGCCGGCCACGCTGGCCACCCAGTTGGCCTTGGGCCTTGCCCGCCCCCTGGGCACCGGTGGGCAGACTCAGCTGGCCAGGCGGTGCCCTCTTGCCTGCACCCGGCCAGCCGCCCTCCCTTGGCCCTGTCATTGCTGCTGCCAGGACAGTGCCCCCCAGGTGCCAGGTACGACACTCACCCGGCCCGCATTCATCTCCCCGGAGGGGCTGGGGCCTTTTTACTAACCTTTTCTACTGTTTTTAAACTGGAATTAGATCTGATCACTTCCGGTGAAAATAAAAGTTGCACAAACCGGCTGTGAGTGGGGCCAGTTCTGGGGGAGGGAGAGGCAGCCCTCGACGGGTGCGCAGCGGAGAGGCCAGGACAGGGGCTCCTGTGGTGACTCCCCCCTGCCCGGCTGGCACCCAGCCCCTGCCCCCCCCCCAAAAAAAAGTGAGCCAGGCAGCTCCGTTTTCTGCTGTTTATTGACAGCCGACAGTAGCTCCCTGCCCGGACCCCCTCCCCATCTGCCGAGCCCAGCCCGGGCCACCCACTGCCAAGCCAGCCGGGTTCTGCGGAGCTGCGGGGGAGGCAGCTGGGAGGGTCTGCACACCCGAGCCACCTCGGCCGGCCCCACTCCCCGCCGAATCACTATCGCTGGTTTTTTGTTTTAAATTTTTTAAGAAACGTCAAAGTTGTGCCCAACACATGTAGATCAGCAAACACAACAGGCCAGTTAGCACTTGGGGGTGAGGACCTCACTGCCGGCCTCGGCCACAAGAGCCTGGGGGCGAGGATGGGCCTGGGGGGTGGGGACTGGGCCCCCACAATGTGCCTGCCGGCACCCACCTTGCCGCCTTGTGGCTCACCCAAAGCCTGGGCGCACCGCATACCGGCACCCGGGGAGAGGAGCCCCTACCGGCTCCCGGCACAGAGGACACGGCCCGGCAGCAAGCAAGGCACATCCTTCAAGCGAGGCCAGAGGGGCCGGCCGAGCACCACCTCCCCGGGCCCCAGCCTCCTGCTTGTGCTACCGGGCGGGGCTGGCCACTCCTGGGCACGGGAGGTTGGATGGACAGACAGATGGCCTGGGCCTTACACAGCTTTTGTCTCGGGCTAGACTCCAGTGTCCTTGCAGTTGGTAAATGGTTTGTTATAGACTCAATAATATTTCTTTTTAAATATATATTTGTTAAAGTTATACCTTTTTGTTTCTCTGGGGAAATCTGCCTTAGCTCATTCCCAATAAATTAATACTTTCCATAGCTTATATTCTGGGGGTGCGGTGGGGCCGGGGCCCAGCTCGGCCCCTTGTGCGCGGGGGCGGCTGGCAGAGGTCCCCAGGGCAGTTCTGTGCTGGGCATAGGCCTGTGCTCTGCCTCAGGCTGGGGAGGGGCCGGCCCACACTGGGCTCGCACGCGGCAGGGCCCGAGGGCCAGCGGTTATTGCACGGGGAGCAGCAGGCAGGGTCGGGCACCGGGGGCAGCAGTGTCTGCCCAGTGCCCTTGGGTCCCCCAGGCAGTTCTCGGGCTGTGCCCAGGGGCCGGCTTGTGCTTGTGCGGGGGCGGGCGGCTGCGGCGTGCCCGCCTCGTGCCCCGGGCGGCCTGGCAGGCGCCCCGGGCCCTCCTGCCCGGCCCCCACCCCCCCGCCCGCTGGCGCCGCGCCCAGAGGTGCCCATCCTGAGGTAAGGTCAGTGTGTGGGGCCGGCCGCGGGCGGCGCGTCACTCCAGCATGGCGTCCAGCTGGTCGGCCAGGTCGTCGAACATGCTGCCGATGTCGTCCAAGATGCTGCCGGTGCTCTTCTCCGCGGCCGCGGGGCTGGGGGCGGCGCCACGTGAGCGGGCGGGCGGGCGGGCGGGGCCGCGGGTCCCCCCCCAGCCCGCCCCCCGCGCCCCCGCCCCCCGCCCCGCGGGCCCCTACCGCGCGCCCTGCGCGTCCTCGCGCCGGATCTTCTCCTCCACGGCCTGCAGCGCCGCCGCCAGGCACGCGCTCGTCTCCTCCAGCTTCTGCCGGGCGCTGTCCCCGGGCGCGGCGCCGTCGGCCGAGGCGGGGGGCCCGGCGCTGGCGGCGGCCGCGGCGCGCGGCGGCTTGGCGGGCACGTGCAGCGCGGGCGCGCCGGGGGCGGGCGGCGGGGCGGGGCCGGCGGGCGGCTGGCGCGCGGGCGAGGGCGCGGGCGACGGGCTGGCGCTGCCCGACGGCGGCCCCGCGGCGGGCTTGGCGGGCTTGGGCGCCGTGGGCGGCGGCGGCGGCTTGGGCGACACGGGCGGCGGCGTGCCGTGGGCGCGCTTCGGCTCTGCGGGGAGGGCCAGGCTGGCGCGGCTGCCCGACACCCCGCGGGGGCGCCTCCCGACCGCGGGGAGCCCCCGCGTGGGCCCCCAGCCTCCCTCCAGCTCTGCGCCGGCCGGTGGGGCCGCCGAGACGCTCCCCGCCCCCCCCGCCCGGCGCCGGCCAGAGCAGGAGGCGCCCCTCGGCCCCCCCCCGCCCCCCGGCCTCCCCGGCCCCCCTCGGCACCCCCAGTCCCCTCGGCCCCCCTCGGCGGCGACGGCAGCGCCTCCCGGGCGCCCCGCACCTACCTGGGCTGCCGGGGCCGGGCAGCGGCGCCCTCTTGGCGGCGGGCGTGGGCGAGCCCTGCGTCCTGGGCAGGGGCTGGGCCAGCACGGGCTTGGGGGACACGGGCGGCTTGGCCGGCCTGCGGGCGTCGCCGTCCGGCGCGGGCAGCGGGGGCAGGTGCGGCGGGGCGGCGGGCGGGGGCTCCGCGGGCGGGGGCGGCGGGGGCAGCTCGGGGGGCCCGGCCTGCTCGGGGGCCGCGCGGCGCCGCACGGTGGCCGCGCCGTCCGGGTACACGGCCAGCGCGGGGGCCGGCTCGGGCCCCGCGTCGCGCTCCTTGGCCTTGGGCCTGCGCTTGACGGTGTCGGACTCGGTCAGGAGGAACTTGACGCCGTCCTGCGGGCTCTGCTTGGCCCGGACGCGCCTCTTGAGCGTGGCGCTGGCGTCCACCCTGGCCAGGGGCGGGCCCTCGCCGCTCGCCTCCGCCTTGGCCGGGCCCCGAGGCCGCTGCCGGGCGCCGTCCTCGCCGCCGGGGCCGTGCTCTGCGGGCCCCGCCGGCTCCCCGGGCCCCCGGCGCACGGCGGCCAGGAGCCCGGTGACCGGCCCGCTGAGCGTGCGGCGCCGGTTCACCACCTCCCCGTCAGGCCCGATGGCCTCCTTGTGCTTCACCGAGGCCAGCACCGTGGCCACCCTGCCCGGCTCGGGGCTGCCGGGGCGGGGCACGGGGTGGCCTTCGGGGGCCCTGCGGGCGGCCCGGCCCCCACCCCCGATGGAGGACAGCTCGAGCATGGCCGCGATGCTCCGCACGCTGCCCGCGCTGCCCGTGTCCACGCTGCCGGCCAGGTCGCTGGCGCGCCGCCGCTGCGCCCGCACCCCCAGCCGGCCGTCCTCGGGCCCGGCGCCCTCGGGCGCGGCGTCGGGCGCGGCCCCGTCGGCCAGGCTGGCGCTGGCCAGGGCGGAGCTGGAGCGCTTGGGCGGCGGCGGGGGCGGCCCCTTCCTGCGCGGGCGCGCGGCGAAGGACTGGCTGCGGTTGACGTTCTTGTCGGCGCCGGCCGGGGCGCGCACGGAGTGGCTGCGGCCCACGCGCCGCTGGACCGTGGCGTAGGGCCCCGCGGCGGCCGGCGCCAGCAGCTCGTCCCGCTCGGGCTCGCCGTCGGACGCCGCGTAGCGGTTCAGGCTGTGCGCGCGCTTCTTGGGGCGCCCCGGCTCGGCGTCGGCCTCGGGGGGCAGGCACAGCGTGGGCACGGGCGGGGGCGCGGGCGGCGCCGCCTCGCTCTCCACGGGCTGGGGCAGCACGTAGGCAAAGCCGCGGTGCGTGGGCGACTGAGGCAGCGAGCGGGGGGACATGGGGCGCTCGGCGGGCGGCAGCAGCTGGGGGGTGGGCTTCACCTTGGCCGTGGCTGGGGCTGGACCATGCGGGCCCCCTAGGGCCTGGGGGGAGCCGGGCCGGCCCTTCGTGGGTGTCTGGGGGGGCGTGAAGTGGCCGGCACCGGGAGGAAGAGCCGGCCGCGGCTTGCCGGGCACCGGGGGCACGCTGGCCCGCTTGACGCTGTGGCCCTGGCGGCCGGGCCGGGCCTCCTTGGGCGGGGTGCTGGGGCCATCGTCCAGCAGGTACTCCTGGCTGCGAGACATGGGGCTGCCGGGCCCAGGGGGGCCGTCACCCAGCAGCTCCTGGGAGCTGCTCATGTGCCGGGCCCGGCCACCCAGGCTGGGCTCTTGCCGCAGTGGCGGCCTCGGGGTGGGGGGCAGGTGGTTGGGGGGCTTCTCCGCAGTGGTGGCGCCCTCGGGGCCTGTCATGGCGGCCTGCAGCTCGCCGCTGAGCTCGCTGTCCTGGAAGGTGGTCATCTTGGGGGACTGGCAGCCCGCAGGGGCGGGCTCCGGAGGGGGCGGTGACTCGATGGCCACCACCTCCAGCGGCGGCGGCGCCCTCCGGGGCAGGGGCCCACCCTCGTACTTAGAGCACTCGGCCTTCTGCAGCTCCGCCAGCTTCCGCACCGCCAGCATCAGCTTCTTCTGGTGTCCTGTGAGGGCACGAGCCGGTCAGGCCAGGCCAGGGAGGAGCAGGAGGGGGCCGGGCCGGGCCTCACCCAGCTTGGTGATGCCGATCTCCTGCAGGTCCTCCCAGGTGATGTCCGTGATGAAGTCGATGCTCTCGTAGCCATTGTCCACCAGCACCTTGTAGTACTGGGCCAGGCCGATCATGGACAGCCACACAGCCAGGTTTGCCTGGGGAGCAGTGGACACAGAGGGCAGCCCGGGCCAGCTGCCCACACCCTGCCCACCCTCGGGGCTCTGGGAAGGGGGCGCCGGGCCAGCCAGCACGGACAGACAGAAGGACAGACGGACAGGCCGGAGGAGTCGACTCTGGAGACAGCGCGGCCCAGGGGAGCCGAGGCCAGCTCACGGTGCACACGCGGGTGGGCACATGCGGCACCCACCTCGGACACCACTGCGGGAGGGGAGGAGCCGGGCGGCGTGGGACAGCGCACCATGGACACACCCCACGTCACGACGCAGACACACAGCTTCACCGACCGGAACGTGTAGCCATGCGCCCGGCACCCATCACATGCGGCGACACACGCGTCACACTCACACAGTCACGCGCACAGTCACGTGTGTGCAAGCATCCACGCAGCCTCCAGTCACTCCCTCGATGGCCACACTCCCAACTGGGCGTCGCTCACACAACCAGCCCTGCACACTCAGCCCCTGGGCCTCGGGAGCTCCGGGGCCTGAGCCGCTGACTGAGTGGGCGAGGGGGCGCATGCCCAGGCCGACTGGGCCCCGGGGCTCAGGGCGCCAGCCTCTCCCCATGGACGGGAAGGAGCCGGTGCTCGGCGTGGGGCCCACACAGGAGCTCCGATGGGGCGGGCCTGAGCCCGCCTGCTCCCGGCCAGCCCCGCCCTGCCCCGCGGGTGCCCGCACCGCAGTGGGTGTCCCCGTGCCGAGGGAGGCGTGCACCACACCCACAGCGCCTGCACACGCACACCCAGGTGGGCCTCAGCACCCCTGGGTGTGCACGCGATGGGCCGCAGGGGCCGAGTGTGGCCTCTCCTGGCTCCCTGACCACCCCAGCAGAGGCCCCGCCCCAGCGCCCGGGACAGTGACCGCGCTGTCCAGGTGGCCGTGTGCGGCCTGCACCCCCCAGGGCGCGAGGGCGGGGCCGGGGGTGGCCTGTGGGGCGGCCCGGCCACGGGGTGCGGGGCCTTACGGGCTTGTGCTCAGGCAGCCAGTCGGGGACGCTCAGGCTGCTGATCTCCGCGGTGATCTTCTTCCGGTGGCCGGGCTTGGTGACCCCGATGGCCGTGAGGTCCTGGGCAGGAGAAGGCCAGTTAGCTGAGGCCGGCTGGCTCGGGGTGGCGGCGCTGGCCAGCAGCAGGCCGCTCACCTCGGGGGTCATGCGGCTGATGGTAGGCAGGTCATAGCCAGCGCGGGTGAAGTGGGGGGCGTAGAGCTGCAGCTGGAAGGTGGCGAGCCAGCGGCCCACAGCCTCGGCGCTCTGGAAGACACAAGGCAGCGCTGCAGGCCGCGCACGCCCGCCTCGCGCGCCGCGGCCTCACTCCGCCTCGCTGCTCCGTCTGCGGCCAGGCTCCTCCTCGCTCTGCCCCGCCGCTGCCGCCGTCCCGAGCGCCGTCCAGCCCTGCGGCCTCCTTCCCTGATCTCAGCCGGGAGGGTCCAGCTGCTGTGGGGTCACAGGCCTCCCCGGCCCTGCGGGTCTGCGCCAGGCGTCCCGCGTGTGGCCCGGGAAGGGCCCTGGGGGCCAGGGCCGTCCTCAGGCCCTCGCGGGGGGTGGGGGTACTCAGCAGCAGCTCATGCCTCCCCCTCCGCACACCACACGCCTCGTCTGGCCACACCCAGGCCCTTCCACACGCCTCCAGGCGCTCAGTCACACTTCACCCGCTCGCCTCACGCTTGCCACGCCCACGGCACCAGCACATACACGACCACGCCGCGGACACACCACACGCGCCATGCACACGACACATACACGGAGCGACAAACAAGGGCAGGGTCCGGCCGTCAGGGCCCAGGGCTGCCCGGCTGCCCCCCTGTGCCGCGGGCCCTGTACCTTGCCCTCTGACACCGACTCCAGCTTCTTGGGCGGTTGCTCCCCGTAGGCCTGCCCGGCCTGGGCCGTTGGGGGCTGGGACCGGGTGGCACCTGGGCAGGACAGGTGCAGTGAGGGACGCAGGCTGGGCAGGGGCCCCAGCCCGCCAGCAACTCCACGTCCGGCTCTTACCCGTGGGGCCCTCCAGAGGCTTGACAGGACTGTCCCCAGGGCTAGACTCAGACGCGGACTTCTGGGAGAGCACAGTGGCCAGGAGCTGCAACCAGACAGGCCGGCTGGCCAGGCTGCTCCGGCACAGGCCGCCCGCCCCCCCCCCCCACCTACCTTGGCCCCCTCGGAGCCCGCGTGCAGGGCGTGGCCCCCGCCGCTCCGGCCGCCTGCCGCCCCGCTCAGGCTACCGCTGCGGTCCCCACCTACAGGAAGGAGTAGTCGGTGGGGCTGGCCCTGCTGTGCCTGCCCCCTGCCCAGCGGGCCTCGCCTACCTGCCAAGGGCTTCCTCAACACCCAGATGTCCTCTGGGGGCGCAGAGGACCCCAACGAGCCGCCTCCCTGGGGTGGGCTTGGTTCTGCACCTGCTCGGGAGCCTGCAGGGAGCGCGACCCCCTGAGCCCTGGCCCAAGTCCGACTGGAGGCCTGTGCCGGTGGGGGGGGGGCACCCCAAGGGCCTGGGGCCGGCAAGGCAGAGGCCAGACCCTCGCACCTTGGGGAAGCAGCTCGCAGCCTCCACGGGGTGGAGAGTTCAGGCCTCCTGCGGGCCGCAGCCGGAGCGGGGTGGCCAGGGGCAGCCCTAGAGGCCAGCAACTGAGGGTGGACTGCCCACGCCTCCTGCCTGGCCCCTCCCCAGGCCGGCCTCACAGCCAGGTCGCCTCTCTGACCTAAAGCGGTCTCCGGCCACATCTCATTGGTGGGACATCCCACGTTGTCCCTCCACCCCTGCTCCCTCCCTCCCTAGGGTGGACAGTGGTCCTCGGGGCAGGAGAGCCACCTGTCTGGACCCCGGCTCTCCCCACCGGTCAGCTCAGGACCCCACGTGGCAGGTGTGCCCATGTGTGTAGGACGGGCGGGCACAGGGACCCCCCGCCGCCACACCCCGCGGGTGGCGGTGGCCAGAGCCGCCCGCCCGCTTGCCTGCTCGTTTCACGATGGCCTCGCCCAGGGAGCAGGGGAAGTAGCCCACGCGGTCGTTGCCCGTCCGGTTGTCGTGGATACAGCCCTTCCAGCGGCCGTCCGGGTGCTGCTCGAGGACCTGGCGGGCAGAGTGGGGCTCGCCCAGGAAGCCCAGAGCCGGCGCCCTGCGCCTGCGGGAGGGTGTCTGGAGCTCCGGCCTGGCCCCACAGCCCCGGCCTCACCGTGATGACGTCCCCGGCCTTCACGTTGAGGCTGGTCAGGTCGTAGTTGTTGCAGTAGTCCTTGGTCGCCCGGACCTGCAGGGCCGCCGAGGCCTCTGGGGACACAGGAGAGGAAGCCCAGTCCCGCGCCCCGCTGCCGCCCGCCACCCCCCCACCCCCACCCCTGCCTGCCCCTGCCGCCGCCCACCTCGCAGCAGCTGCTTGATCTCCTTGCCCGCCTGGGACGCGGTGAACTGGCGCACGATGTCCAGGGCGGTCTGGCTGTAGGCGTTCCTCACGTGGGCGTTGATTCCGTTCTGCACAGCCAGAGCCAGGCCCGTCATGACCCCCCCACCCCCTGCCCCGCACGCCCGGCCCCCCAACTCACATCCAGCAGCAGCCGGACCACTTCTGTCTTGCCGCAGAGGGCGGCCTCGTGCAGCGCCGTGCCGGACTTGGTCTGGCGGTTGATGTCGATGCCAGCTTGGAGGAGGAGTCTGGGGGGGCAGGCGGCCTTGTGGCAGGAGCCCCCGCCCCAGCACCCCAAGCCAGGCCCCGAGTCCTGGGGCCGACAGTGATGGTCATCGTGCAAGTGCCCACCCTGTGCCGGCTCTTCCATGATGCCCAGGGCTTGGCCCAGCCAGATGCTACTGCTACGCCCACTTCACAGACGGGAAACTGAGGCCTGCGAGGCCTCCTGGGCCCTGGAACTTCTGTGGACTCCCCCGCCCGCCCACAGGCCCCAGCAGCGCCCCTGCGGCCCACCTGATGATGTCGATGTGGCCGTTCTTGGCTGCCAGGTGCAGGGGGCTGGTGCCGTTGGGGTCAGTGGTGTCCCCCGGCCGGGGCTCCAGCAAGGCCGCGCACATGTTGCTGCTGAGGAGCAGCTGCACCACCTGGGGGGAGGCCCGGCTGGTGCAGGTTTGCCCCACACCTCTGAGAAGAAGGCAGAGGGCCGAGGCCGCTCGGCTCCCGGGAGACTTACCCCAACGCGGCCGAACTCACAGGCCAGGTCCAGCGGCGTCTTCCCCGAGTTGTCCACCACACAGGGGTTGGACTGGTGCTGGAGCAGCATCTCCGACTGCGGGCACCGGGGCACGGTCAGTCCGAGGCCTCCCACGCCCCGGGCCCCAGCGCCCCCCGGGCCGGTCCTCACCACGTCGTAGTGACCGTGCTGGGCCGCCAGGTGCAAGGGGATGTGGCCCTCATCGGACGGGACGTTCACGGCCGAGCCCGCCTTCAGCACCAGCTTCATGGGCTCCTTCCGGCCCTGCCAGGCCGCGTAGTGCAGTGGCCGCATGCCTGGGGGCAGGGGGACCGCTGGGAGCCAGCCCGAGACCCGGCCCAGCCCGAGACCCGGCCCAGCCCGAGACCCGGCCCAGCCCGAGACCCGGCCGCCAGGACGACCGTCCGCGACCCCAGCCGAGGGGCCGCTAGCCTCGGGCCCTCCCTGACCTCACCGCGCCGGCACGCCCCGGCGGCCTTGCCTTTGTTGTCCTTGATGTCCACGGCGGCCTGGGCCTCCAGCAGCAGGCTGATGAGCTCCGTGTTGCCGTTCAGGGCCGCGTGGTGCAGGGCGGAGAAGCTGGGGGCAGAAGCCAGAGGAGACTCGCCTAGCCCTCCCCCGCCTGCCCCCCCGGGGCCACACCCGCGGACACTCGGGCACTCACCCGTCCGGGTCCTGGAAGTTGACGTTGATCTTCCTGGTGGAGCCCAGGAGCTCTGCGGGGGCGGAGGGGGAAGGCACGGTGAGGGAGGCCGCCTGGGCCCGGCCCTCAGGGCAGAGGACGCTGGAGCCAGGGGGCTTTGGCCACTCTTTCACTCATTCACTCAGCAACGCGCCTGCACCCAGGCCGGGGCGCCAGGCGGCTCCCAGACACACGCACGTGCCCCCACCCCCGCGAGGCTGGCGGGGCGCCCGCCCGTGGTGGGAGGGAGGGAGCGAGCCGGCCAATCTGTCTCCTCGGAGGACCCAGATGGGGCTGGGGGTGGCCTGGGAGGCTGTAACGCCCGGAACCGGGCAGAGCTCATCTCAGGGGCAGCCTCCCCATTCCCAAGCACTGCGGGCCAGGGCGGGACAGCCACCTGGCAGGCCAGGCAGGGCCGTGGAGGCCCGGGAGGACACTACAGACCCCAGGAGCACACGCCGGCCCAGATGCCCGCGAGACGCCGCCGAGGGGCCGAGGCCTCCCTCCAGGGCCGCCCCTCCCAGCCCTGTCGGCCGCCCACCAGCGGAGGGAGCCCACCAGAGCCCCCCCACGGGCGCCGGGCCAGGCGGCCTCGGGCCAGGCCCCTGCTCGCCGGCCGTGGTTACATAACCCGTTTGTGGGTCAGTCGCCCTGTGAGGGAGGGGCTGGCGGACAGAAGCCCCTTTGTCCAGGCCCACGCGGGTGGGGGTGGTGCCCGAGGGCAGGGGCCGGAAGGAGCAATCACGCAGGGGCCACCCTGGGCTGCTCGGTGGCCCATGGCAGCGCCCACCGCTCAGTCTTGGCCGCTGAGTGAAGGGGTGGGTCCCCCCAACAGCCCATGAGGCCATGACATCCACAAAGTCAGGCCTGCCTGGCGTCTGCCCTCAACCCCTTCCCAGCCCTGTGGCCATGGCCCTGGACCTGGATGCCGACGGGGCTGACCGGAGACCGGACCTTCCACATATCAGGGGTCTGCGTGGACTTGGCCACTGCGGCCGGGCAGATATCAGCACCCAGGGGTCCACCAGCCTTAGCAGAGGGGCTGCAGGGGTCCCCACTCCCCGGCCCTCGCCAGACACCTCACCGGTGCCGGGGTCCTGCCAGCAGCAGGCAGAGCCAGGCCGGACACCTGCCGCATGTCCTCCAGCTCTTGCTCGGCGTGGGGCTTTGCATGTGGGGTGTGCGATGTGGGGTGCTCCTCCCCCCGAGCTTCAGGTCTTTGTCCAAAGGTCGCCTGCTCAGGGAGGCGCCCACCTCCTGCCGACAGCCCTCCCCCCCCTCGCCTCCCCATGATGTGTCTCCCCTCACTGACGGAGCCTGCCTGTCATCACTCCTCTGAGCCACTCGAGGACGGCCGTGTGTTCCCCCCGCCCGCCCCCCCTTCTCCCCGCCCCCCCCCCCCCCCCCGCTCACCTCGGCCAGGCAGCTGCCCTGCATGGGGTCCTCAGGACACCAGTGCTTGGGGGGTGCCCTGGTCCCAGCTCCACCCACCTGCCGGGCCACCTGCACAAGGAACCTGGCCGGGAGCTCCGCGGTCACCCTCGTGGGACGCTCTGTACGTCTGGACAGGGCAGCCTGCACCAGGCTCGCGGGGTCTCGTCACGGCGGGAGGAGCGCAGACACGGCCGTCCCGTAGGGCCCCAGACGCCCCTGCAGCCCACCCAGGGCCCCTAGGCCACTGCGCGCCAGAGGTCTTGCGGAGCCCTGGACAGGCCACCTGCTCACCGGCAGCCCCGGCAGGGCCGACACCCCCAAGGAGCTGGAGAGCGAGGCTGGAAGCGACAGGCACCGTGGGGGTCCAACAAGAAGGGGCCACTCCCCACGTCAGGGGGACACCTTGCTGAGGTCATCCCATCCCCCCTCAGAGTCTCCTCAAAGAGGAGAACAGCCAATGGGACCGGGGAGTGGAGTTCCGGGGCCTGGGTCTCTGAGGGGGCCCAGACCTGGCGTCTGCTGGGGAGTCCCCAGCTAAGGAGACAGGTGGTCTGAGCGGGCCTGTCGGAGAAGACTGGGAACAGGTGGAGGGGTCCGTCCCCAGGAGCTCCCACAGCCTCCGAGCCCCGCAGCAGCGAGCGCACGTGTCCCCCTGGCCCCAGCGGGACCCCAGGCTCTTGTCGCTCCCACTGCTTTCCGGGATCCAACTGCACTGTGGCCAGCCAGGCCCAGAGCCCAGGGGAGCCCCTCCCGCTGGCCTCCGACACCCTTCAGCCCAGACACTCCTCTGGCCAAGGAGACGCCCCAGGCCAGCACCCCCTGTCCCTCCTGTCTGAGTGGCGGCGCCCTGCAGGGTGGGCCACCCCCAGCACCACCAGGCCCCAGTGCTGGGCCCCAGCTGCGGGCTGCAGTGGGTGAGGGTGGGGCCCCACCGCTGGCCGGGTCCTCTGGGAGCAGGGACCAGGAGCTCAGGCCCCAGGAGGGACAGCCGTGGCCCCACAGGAGGCCACCCCTAGCGTCCCGCCCTAGCAGCCACAGCTCTCCCTAAAGGCCCCGCAGGGCTGTGTGGAAGGAGCGGCTCCTGTCGGGGTGGGGTGGGGGCGCTGACGGAGCCCGGGTGACACACAGTGTGGAGGCAGAGGGTAGTGACAGCCAGGTGGCGGTCATGGGGCGCATGAGCGCCCCTGTAGCTTGGGGCACTGCTGGGCGCCCCCCCCCCCCCCCCGTGGCCCAAACTCCAAGCTGTACTTTGAGGAATCAAAATACATCTTACTCCAAAGCAGGCCAGCGTTGCCATGACGACCAAGCTAATTCATGGAGGGATTTCTCCGGGTGATTTATCGCGCCCGCCCCTGTGAGTCACCCAGATACGGCGGGCAGGTGTCGCTCCTGCCCCGTCCCCTCCAGGCCTGGCAGGGCCAATAGAGAAGCCCAGGTGGACACTCCGGTGGAGGTAAAAGTCCCTGCGCCTTCCTGGGGCGGGAGTGGGGAGGAGGCAGAGTAGAGAAGGGAGGACCCCCCAATCGGATTCTCCCACTTTCCTGGCACTCTGGCCTGGGCTGTCTCAGAAACGGTCACAGCGTGTTCTGGGGGCTCGCTGCGCCCACTGAGAGCAGGGCCAGGGTAGACCCGCAGACTGGCGCCCGGACGGGGCTGGGCTGCTGCGCCAGGCCCACAGCCGCTAGGTGGAGGCCTTGCCCGCCCTCCGCCCTCGTCCGCCCTGCTCTGGCGGGCTGAGGCTGCCTCTGCCGAGAAGCTGCTGTTTCTGGGCCCAGACGCCCTGGAGCAGTTCCGGGCGCAGGCCAGGGGTTGTGCAGGCTGGGGGCTGCATCTCCCACGGCATGGGGCTGTGGCCAAGACCCCAGCCAGCCTGCGGGAGAGAGGGGAGGGGCCCCGGGGCTTACAGAGCTGTGGGATGGGGTGGGGAGTGGGCACCCAGAGCCCACGGGCCGCGTGCAGAACCCTGCCCGTGCCCCGACAGGTGCCTGACACTGCCGGGGCCAGAGGTGCGCAGCGGCACACACGGTCCGCGCGCCCATCCTTCCGTCTCCCGGCCCCCAGGGAGACGCTTCTGCTCCCGGCGGCGACTGCCGGGTTTGGGCTCCACGCTCCCAGTCATTTCTGGGGCCCTACACCCCGCACAAGCACAGGATGGCTAGTGGGCCCCCCATCCTTCCCAGCAGGGAAGCGCAGAGGTCCGCGGTCTGCTAGTGCAGGCCAGCGAGCTGGCGGCTCTGGCTCCCAGGCTGACCCGGCGGGCACTTGCACCAGCGCTGGGCGACCTTGGCTCGCGCGCCCCCACGGGAGCCGGCCAGGCGCCGGCCATGGCAGCCACACCCCCAGCGTGGTCCTGCCGCCCCCACCCTCCGCAGACCTGTCATAAACAAGGGGCGGGAGGGGTCTGGCTGGGCGGCTGCCAGGGTCTGACCCTCGCTGCAGGGGCCCCCCAAGCCCTCCGCGGCGGCGACGGGGGGGGGGGGCATGGGCCTCGCCCTTTAAAGGCCGGGCAGAGCCCTCCAGCCGCCAGCCCGCAGCCCGGAGGGCGGGAGAGGCCGGCCGTGGATGCGCGCCTGCGGCCGCCGGGGCTCGGTGCCGGCCGGCGCGGGGCCGCCTCCTCCAGGGCCGGGCGGGGGGCGCGGGCCGCCGGGCTGGGTGCCGCCGGCCCCGCCCCGCCCCCGGGGACCCGCCGCCTCCCCCTCCCGGCCGGCGCCGGCAGGCGTGGGGGGCCGGCGCGGGCGCAGCCCCCGGGGCGCGCGGCGCCCCGCGCCCCCCGCGCCCCCGCGCCCCCGCGCCCGCCCCCCGCCCCGGCACTCACTGGCCTTGCCGGGCCGCGGCCTCTGCAGCAGGCGCTGCGCGGCGCCCACGTCCTCCGCCTTCACCGCCTGCACCAGCTCCTGCTCCTTCCCCATGGCGCGGCCGGCCGCAGCGACGCGGCTGCGCTCCCAGCTCGGCGCGGCTCCGAGGCGGCGGGGCGGCCCCGCGGCTCCGCCGCCTCGTCCTCCCGCCTCCGCCGCCGCCCGCCGCCCCTCGCCGTCCTCGGGCGCGGGCGCGGCGCGGGCTCCGGCGCGGGGGGCGGGAGCGCGTCACGGGCGGGGGCGGGGGGCGCGGGCGGGGGCGGCGCGGCGGGCGCGGGCGGGGGCGCGGCACCCGGCGCCGCCTCCGGGGTCCCCTCCTGCGGCCGCTGACCTCGTGCGCCCGCGCCGGCCGCGCGCCCGGGGCTCGGCCCCGCCCCTACATCGCCCGCGGCCCCCCGCGACGCCCCCTGCGCACGTGCGGGGCGCCCCGGCCTCTGCGGACACCCCGCGGCCCCGGCGACGGCCAGAGGGGCGCGGCGGGCCCCCGGCGCTGCCCACTGAGCCCCGCGCGGCGCGAGCCCGAGCCCGAGCGCGGCGCCGGAGGCTGCGGGGCGTGGGGGAGGGACTCGCGGCGGCGGGCGGGGGACCCGCGCCGAGCCCCGGGGCGCGGAGCCGGCCCGCCAGAGGCTGTCAGACATTCTGGGCCGCGGTGCCCGTGGGAGGTGTCGACGGCTGTGAAGAGGAATCTCCCAATAATGAATTCGGTGTCAGGGAACCCGCCCCCCCGCCCCCCTGCACTCCCCCCCCCCCCACGGCGCTGCTTGCTCCACCAACCCGTGCGCCCGCCCTCGGGGCCGCAGCCCCTCCTCAGCGCCACCTGCGCCCAGGCCCGGGGCAGCCCCACACGCAGCAAGTGGGGTGCGGCCCCCGTCTGCCACTGATGGGGCCTCTGGTCTCCCACCCTCCCCCCTGGGTAGCACCGTTTGGGGGGTAGCCCCCCACCAGATCCACCACTGACAGCCACACACACTCCACCCCCAGGGCCCAGGGCATCCCAGTCCCGGCCAGCACCAGAGCCCCTGCCCCAGCCCACCGGCCTGCAGCACCGCCGGGCAGCCCCGGGCGGACCCTACCTGCTGGAGGGCTCACCCCGACTCCAGCGAAGGCCTGGCCGGGCAGGGAGGGGCAGCAGGGGCAGGCGGTCAGGTTTGGGGAGGATGGCCTGGCCTTGGGCTCTGGGCCTCCGGCAGGTCTGAGAGGAAGGTGGCCAGAGGGTGGGGAAGCAGAAGCAGCAGGCTCTGGGGTCCCCTGATCCTGGCAGCTGGTCATGTCCCCTGTGGGGTCACCCAGGAAATGTAGGGAGCAAGCCTGTCTCCTGCACATGCTGGGCTGGGGCCGCTTCTTAAGCGCCAGGACCCCCACTCTTTATGATGACCAATTTCCGGGCACCTGCTGTGCCAGACGCCTTGCCGGTCACTGCTGGTGGGTCAGGTCTGGGGGACACACCCAACTGGTGCCCAGGGTGGGGGACTGAGTCCCATGGGTGGCAGGTGGGGGCGGTGCCTATTTCACAGATGAAGAAACCAAGGCTCAGTGAAGCCAAGTGACCCTCCTGAGGTCCCGGTCTTTGGGTCAGGAGTGTGGCCTTGCGCCCACATCGGCCTGGTGTCCCCCTCCCTGGATTTGTTTCTCTGGTCACATTGTCTTCCTGAGTCTCGACTTCCTCTTTGTAAAACAGGGGCAAGAAAGACACCCCTTCATGGGTGACCTGCCTCGTGACCGTCGGACACACCCCGGCGCCCCCACTGCGCTGGGGGTCCGGGTCTCGGCCCGGGCCGCCAGGGGTGGCTTTCCCTCTGTTCTAGCAAAAGAGCCCAACACCCAGGGGCCGTTACCAAACGGGCACCCAAAACACAAAACTAGCTCTACGTTACCACCACGCTCGCGCCCCGGCAGAGGAAGGCGTTCTGCCCTGGCTGAGCAGACTTGGCTGCCGAGCCGACACCTCCATCACCACCCCAGGGCCGGTCCTCGGTCTCAGATGCTGCGGAAACGAACGGGCTTTGCCTGCGCTGCCCTTGCTGCCCTGCCCAGCTCTGGCCCTCTCAGCGCCACACCTGGGGTGAGCCCCGGCTGCGTGGCCCACAGCTGGGAGAGACCCCTAGGACCCTGGAGCGAGCAGCTGCCCAGGTGTCTGGGAGGAGGCGTGGAGGCGCTTGGCCTTCCCCTGCCAAGCGAGGCTAGCGTCCTCGGGGGCTCGGGAGGTCCGGCCACCTCGGACGTGCTCCAGCGCTCAGCCACCTCCTGCAAGGTGGGCCGGCAGCTGCCTGCAGCCAGGGCCGGCGAAGGCCTAGGACGAACGGGCGGGGGTCTCTCCGCCAGGTCCCGCCAGGGTGGGGGCGCAGGTACACCAGCCACTCCGCTGGGGGACCAGGACGCGGAGGCGTGGGACTCAGGCAGCCCTCCAGGAAGTCAGGCCTGTGCGGACAAACCCAGGAGGAGGCCGCTGAGCCAGCAGAATTGCTGAGGCTCAGCCTGGAGCTGCGCGCGGCTGGCTGATTCGCTGCAGCTGGGGCTGGCCCTCCTTCCCCAAGCGCGGCGGCTCCCCCACTGTGACTCCTGCTCCTGCCCACTAGCCCTGCCTGCTCAGGTGCTCCCCAGTGTCCCTCCCAGCCCCCCAGAGCCCGTGTCCAGCCCCTTCGGTGTACTGGAGATGAGAGCCGTGTCCCCTGGGCCGCTGGAACCTGCAGACGCGGGGGCGCTGGGCTGGCCACCCTTTACACCACCAAGCAACGTAGGGGCTGGGCTCGGCCTCTGGCCCGATGCTAGGCCATGCTGGGGGCCTGGCTGGCTTGTCGGTTCCCCCAAGGCCTGGGCCACCCGCGAGCTGCACCCAGAGTCCCCACAGAAAGGCAGACAGCTCAGGGTCTGCCTGCTGGAGCCAAGCTCTCCCACTAGGTCCTCCGCGTCCCCTCGCTCCCTGCCCCGCTCTCAGGCCCTGCTCTGTGCAGTCTTCAGATCTGAGGTTCACAGGGCCCTCCTCCCCAGCCTTCCCCTCCAGCCAGGGGTGCTCCGGGCCACTCAGGAAGAGGAGGGGGGCTGGGGTGCAGGGCTGCCTGGGAAGCAGTCTGCTGGTCAGAGGGGACATCAGCAGTACGGGGGCCCTGTGGCCTGGGACGCACGACTCCCCGGCTCTGAGCCTGTTTCCTCTCCTCGATGGGGTCGCTGCCCCACCCAGTGTGGAGACCCCCGCATGTGTGGGGTAAATGCCCGCACAGCTGGGCTATGGCCCAGCAGGTCCACTCCTCGGGCGGACCCAGAGAAGGAAGATGTGTCCTCGGGAGAAAGCCGGACAGCCATCGGCAGGCTAATCCCGACGGCCACGCAGTGACTACACGGACGCCCGCCGTGGGAGCAAGGAGTGCCACCGGCCTGTCCGCCGCAGGAGTCCTCGCCTCGAGGAGCGAGGGGCACCGACACTCACATGGCCACCGAGCCCAAGGAGACCTGCCCGGCGGCGGCGGAAGCCCGAGGCGAGGCCACAGGCCCGCTGCACCTGGGAGCCACCAGGAAGAGGCAGGTGGGGCGGAGAGCGGATGGGCTGCTCTGGGAAGGGGCTGAGTGCCGGGGGCTCTCTGGGGAGGGATCCCAGCTCCGGAGCTGGACAGCAGCCGGAGGCCGTGCCATGAGGGCGCTAAATGCCCTCAACTGTGCACCATGAAATGACTCATTCCAGGGGATGAAGTCCACCTCAGTGAACACAAAAGCGCCAGCACTGACGGGCACACCCCTGGGGTGCAGGGCTGGGGGTGCTGGGGAGCAGGAGCCAGGCAGGCAGAGGCAGAGAGCAGGCCTCAGGGCAAGGGCTGGACGGGGCGGGCCCTGGCTGCCCTCCACTCTGGCCCCCCACCGAGGAACAGAGGAACTGCAGGGTAGCCGGCCGGGCCCTGGAGTCTGGAGGGTGAGGGGAGGGCCGCAGGGCAGCGGGCAGGCGGCCGCAGGAGGGTGGACGTGGGCCAGCAGGTAGTTGGGAGGCCGAGCGGGAGCAGGAGACGGGAGGTGTGTGCCTAGGACCAGCCTGGCCGAAACACACCGTGGGCACCGCAGAGCAGGAGAACCCTTGGGTGTGGTCCACAACAGTCCTGGCCACTGAGAGAGGAGGTGTCTGGGGTCTTCAAGGCACAGGCTCCAGCCGGAAGCGGATCTAAGCTGGGGTCACAGAGGAGACCAAGCCCGGGGGCAGGCGCAGAGACCAGAACTCCAGGCCACTGGCCTCTGGGGGAAGGCGGGACTGGGCCAGGAGCAGCCAGTGCCGGGCTTTGGAGAGCAGTGGTCAGCCCTGCTGGGGGCTGCAGGAGAGGCGGGGGCTGGCAGAGCCGGCAGCCTGTGCCCTGGTGCCATTTTACTGGAACGCTGGGGGCAAAAGGCAGAATCATTGGTGGGTCGTGGGCATGGGCCATGAGGAGGTGGCGCTGGGGGGCGGGAAGGAGTTTTAGGGTTGCTTTATGGTGTTTAGAGGCTGAGGGGAAGGGGAGGGAGGTGGGGCAGGTAACGGAAGGAAGGTTCCCAGGACCCAGGGCCCGCGGGGACATGGCCCTGGGCCTGGCCAGGGGAAGGAAGGGGTGTGGCCGCGCTCACGGGTGGGGCCGCGGGAGCGGGCTGCGAGGTCTTTTTCTGTGAAAGAGGGTGAGACCCTGGGGGTGGAGTGTGGGTCAGCTGGAGGGGAAAGGGGGCATGGGGACCCCAATTTTGCAGGGGTCACTGGGCCGAGTGGGGCGAGCGAGGGGCAGCGCCGGGCCGCGGGAGCCCGGTGCCTCGCAGGCCGGTGGGCAGAGCGCGGCCCCTGCAGGCCGCGGCTGTGCGTCCGGGCGGAACCGGGCCACCTGCCCTGTGACCTCCCGGGCAGTCCTGCCCCGGCCGGGGGTGGGGCCCGAGGGCGGGGGGGGCGGGTCAGAGGGTGCGGAGAGGCCGGCGCCGCCCGGCCTCCCCGAGGTCCCCGCTGCCTCTCCCGGCCCCGGCCCCCGCCCCAGAACTTGGTCTCTCCCCAGCCGCCCCCGCGCGGCCGATGGTGTCGCCCTGAGGGTGCATCGATAGCTCTACGCTCGGCGTCGGCCCCGATCGACTCGGCCCCGCTCGGCTCGCCGTCCTGGACCGCGGCGGAGCGCGGAGCCGCATGTAAGGTACGGAGGCCGGGGCGAGGGCCGGGAAGCGGCCGCCGGCGGCCGGGAGAGCGCGCCCGCGGGCAGCCGGCCCAGGAGAACGGAGCCAGGGCGGGCGGCGGGGGGCCAGCCCGGGGCGGCGGGGGGCCAGCCCGGGGCGCCCCCTCCCTCGGGGCCCGCCGCCGCCCGCTGCGCATGCGCGGCCCGCCCGCCACCCTGCGCACGCGCGGCCGGTCCCTGCGGCAGAGCGGCGCCCGGGGAGCGACCGCCCCCTGCCGGCCGCGCGGGGTGGCGCCGGCGGTCGGACGCCCCGGCCGGTGCCACGCCTGAGCCGACCCTCCCCAGCCTCAGTTTCCCCTTCTCTAGGGCGGGAGCGAGAACACCTGTGGAGCCTGTTTGGAGGGGACTCCCGGAGCCCTGCACGTCTCTCCTCCCCATGCTGTGACCTCTGACTCCCGCCTCTCGGAGCCCGTGTAGGCCGAGCCCTCAGGCGGCCACACCATGAACACGTCCCCGGGCACCGTGGGCAGCGACCCGGTCATCTTGGCCACGGCCGGCTATGACCACACGGTGCGGTTCTGGCAGGCCCACAGCGGGATCTGCACGCGCACGGTGCAGCACCAGGACTCTGTATCCTCTGGCCCCGGCCGTGGGAGGCTGGTGCCGCCCGGTGCGGTGGGTGGGCGGTGGGGGGACGGCCTGGGGGGGCCGGGCCCCTTCCCGTCATCCTCCTTAGCAGACCCAGCAGGTGAACGCGCTGGAGATCACTCCGGACCGCAGCATGATCGCGGCTGCAGGTACCCTCCCCTCCCGCTGCCCCAGGGGCCTGGGGGGCCAGCCTGGGCTCCCCCTTCAGCTCCACCCCGCTGGCCGGGCTCCCCCCCCTTCAGCTCCGCCCCTGCCTCTAGGCTACCAGCACATCCGCATGTACGACCTCAACTCCAACAACCCTAACCCCATCATCAGCTACGACGGGGTCAACAAGAACATAGCGTCCGTGGGCTTCCACGAGGACGGCCGCTGGATGTACACGGGCGGGGAGGACTGCACCGCCCGGATCTGGGACCTCAGGTGAGGCGGCTGGTGGGCTGGGCCGGGAAGTCTGCCAGACCGCCCAGGGCTAGGTGCCCCCGGCAGAGGCCAAGGCAGGGTTCCCCGTCCGGTGATTTTCCCAGGGTCAGCGGAGGGTGCTAGGAGAGGGCAGGGAGGGGGCCTTGGCCTGACCGCAGGGAGCTCTGGAGAGTGAATTGCATCAGACCCCGCCCGGAGGCCGGGGGTGCTCCTACCCTTTCTGAGTCAGTCCATGCTCTGGGCACCCCTGGGAGGGCCTCACCTGGGAGACAGCGCCCATCAGCAGAGGGACAGACTGGCCAGGGCGCCCGGGGCACCAATGGTGGCCTCACAGCGTGTGCCGCCATCCCCCAAGGTCGCGGAACCTGCAGTGCCAGCGCATCTTCCAGGTGAACGCGCCCATTAACTGCGTTTGCCTGCACCCGAACCAGGTGAGGGGCTCGCTGGGGGCAGTCCACGCGTGGACTTGGAGGGGCAGGGTCGGCCCCCTCTCACCCTCCCTATGCCCCAGGCGGAGCTCATTGTGGGTGACCAGAGTGGCGCCATCCACATCTGGGATTTGAAAACTGACCACAACGAGCAGCTGATCCCTGAGCCAGAGGTCTCCATCACCTCTGCCCACATCGACCCCGACGCCAGCTACATGGCAGCCGTCAACAGCACCGTGAGCCCCTCAGCTGCACACCCGCCCTCAGCCCTACCTCCCTCCAGGCCCGCTTCCCCCCCAGGCTCCTACTCCAGCCCGGACGCCGGAACCCGGTGTCCCTCCTGACGACCACGCTGCCCGCCCACCTGGGCCACCGCCGGCCACCACCCCCTCCAGCCTCTCCTCTGTCTGCTGCCGGTTTCCTGCCTGCAGCTCGCGGTCCGCGGCCGCCCCACCGGCAGCCGCGGCCTTCCTGCCATCTCCGTTCTCACTGACTCCCCCGGCCCCCGTCCTCCCTGTGTGAAGCTGGGAAGCCTCTGGCTCCTGACCGTGCCCCGGGGCACCCCGTTCACTCTCCTGTCCAGCCGCACCTGCTCCCCAACCTCTGTTAAAGCTCAGCTCTCGTCCCCAGACTTTCCCTCTGCGCCTGTGCCTGTGCGGCGCCTCCGTCCCCGCGCCCTTCACGTCCCGGGGGACAGGCCCCCTCTGGGAAGGAGGCGCGTCCTCCCCTCGTCCTGCTGCCTGTGGCCCGTGGTTGGGGCCAGGCCGCTCCGCTGCTTCCTGAGGCTGGACCCGGTGCCCCGCGGCCCGGCGCCCACGCCCTGCACACGCTGCGGAGGAGGCAGGCCCCGCACCCCGCCTCCCCCTGGTGCCCCCTTCCTCCGCTGTCCAAGCGGACCCCCTGGGCCCCCGTGACCTCCCTCCCACCCCCAGGGCAACTGCTATGTCTGGAACCTGACCGGGGGCATCGGGGACGAGGTGACCCAGCTCATCCCCAAGACTAAGATCCCAGCGCACACCCGCTACGCCCTGCAGTGCCGCTTCAGCCCCGACTCCACGTGCGTGTGGGCCGGGCGGGCTGCCGGGGGCGGGGCCGGGGCCGGGCACAGGGTGGGGCAGCGGCTGCTGACCCCCACCACGGCCTCCCAGGCTCCTTGCCACCTGCTCGGCTGACCAGACGTGCAAGATCTGGCGGACGTCCAACTTCTCCCTGATGACGGAGCTGAGCATCAAGAGCAGCAACCCCGGGGAGTCCTCGCGGGGCTGGATGTGGGGCTGTGCCTTCTCAGGGGACTCCCAGTACATCGTCACAGGTGAGCCCCGCTGCCCTCCCCGCACCCTGCTGCCCCCTCCGGCCGCCCGGGAACCCGCCCCCGGGGTCTGGCCTGAGCTGCTGTCCCTGCTTCCTCCCTGCAGCTTCTTCTGACAACCTGGCCCGGCTCTGGTGCGTGGAGACCGGGGAGATCAAGCGGGAGTACGGCGGCCACCAGAAGGCCGTTGTCTGCTTGGCCTTCAACGACAGCGTGCTGGGCTAGCCTGCACCCCTTGACTGGCCCGGCAAGCAGTGTGGGGGCATGGGGCCGGCCTGGCAGGAGGCAGCAGCTGGCTGGACCCGCCCTGTTGCCCAGGTCAGAGAACCCCCATGGTGCTCCAGCCTGGCTGTCTGGACCCGACGGGGCCCATTCCCCTCCAGGGCCCCTCAGTCCCCCTTTGTTTGTCTGGGCGTAACGGGGCTCAGGAGCCTGCCCATGCCAGCCTGCACGCTCCTCAGATATTCTGCAGACCTCCGGCATTGGGAGGACCCGGCTGGTGCCCATCCCCAGCTCCTTCCCCATCCCGCTGTCGACTCGTGTCCGGAGACCATGGAGGACACAGGGGCGGGTGGAGAAGTTTATTCGCCCTGCGGTGTGGCTGGCAGCCGGTGGGCAGGCAGGTGGGCGGCGGCTCAGTCCGGGAGGTAATAAAAGCAGACCGACACGCAGACGCTGCTCGGGAAGCAGATGTCAATGCACAGGTAGATCAGCCGCTGCCTCTGGGGCCCTGGGGAAGGGGTCTCCGTGAGCCCCGCGTCCCAGACTCCTGTGGCCAGGCCTCGCCATACCACCTGCCCGGACTCACCGACTGCTCGACGGGCCCAGTAAATGGGGGTCTTCACGCAAAGGTGCCGCACTGAAGCCCCCACCTGGGCAGGGTCTACCTCGTGGCTCCCGAGCACGGCCAGCAGCTCCTGGGCGTAGTGGGGGGCCGGGCTGGGGCTGGGGGACTCCTGGGCCTGCAGGGGAGTCGCCAGTGGGCCCGCGCCGGACACTGGGCCTGCTCCGGGCTGGGTAGAACCCGCGCATCCCGGACCTGCTGGCTCGCTGCCGGCCCATCCCCACCCCAGCCCCTTCAGCACCCGCGCCGGGAAGATCCAACTTTCTGTTTCCTGAAACCAGAGCCCCAGCCCTGTGCCCCGCGCGGCCGCACACAAGAAGACCCTTTGTCTGGCCGGGCCGGGCGCTGGCCGCGCGGGGCTGCTCACCCTCGAGGTGTTCACCAGCAGCCGCAGGGCCTGGCGGTCCCGGGGCTCCATGGGGCGGAGGAAGCAGGCCCGGTGCTCTGGCGGGCGGTAGCAGACATGGCCCTGGGGGGAAGGGGGTGCTGGTGAGGTGGGGCCGCCGGGCACCCTGGGGCCGTGACCCCCAGCCCACTCACGCTCTGCCCGTCCAACAGCACGGCCCAGCTGCGGTTGCTCTGGGCTGGGGTCACTCTGAGGGTCGCCGTGTCCCGGGCCGCGTCCACCTGGGCCGTCTGGTTGGACCGGGGCCCCCTGGGGCTCGGGAGGGTCAGGCGGAACAACGCAGGGAGCGGCTGAAGGAGAAGCCAGTGCTCAGCCGGGCGGGCCAGCCTCCCTCCTGCTTCCCACTGCCCCTGCCCAGCGGGGGCCTCACCTTGGGAGGACTGTGAGCAAAGCCCAGCAGGCCTCCAGCCGCTGTGCCTGCGGCGACCAGCAGCAACAGCAGCAGACCCCAGGCTCTCCAGTCCCCTGGGCAGGGCTTGGTCTTCACCTGCAGGCGAGCAGGCCGGGCTGAGGCGGCGTGCGGGTGGGTGCCACGATCCCGTCCCAGCCCTGAGTGCCCTGGCCCCTGCCCAGCAGAGCTCCCTGGTGCAGAAGGCACTCACCCCGGCGGGCCCAGGCCCGGCGCCCTCCGTACCGCAGCTGCCCTGCTCCATGCCGCAGCCCTGGGCACAATGCGCTGATTGTGAGGCCCCTCCCCGCCTGCAGCCAGGCCTCCCCCTGGGCCCAGATACCGGATATCAGGTCAGAACCTGGACAGCGCCCTCCCGCCCCTGCCCTCCTGACAGCCTGTGCGGATGAGCAGCAGGCCAGAGTGAGCGGGGAGCCCAGAGTGTGCCGGAGGGCGGCGCTGCCCAGGCAGGATGGCTGGGCGGTGTGGTTGGGGCAGGCTGGTCTCCACTCTGGGGTACTCTAGTGGCCCGGCTGGGCACCGGGCCTGCCACGCAGCAAACCCCCAATAAAAGCATTTTGGAACGACTGCCCTGACTCCCTCCTTCCCCACACAGCCCGGCCCCTCCCCTAGGCAGGCAGATGGGAAGCAGCCTGCTTGGACCCCTCACCCCCAAGCCAGGGCGGTGCCATGGAGCTGACTGGGCCATGCCGGGCTCAGGCCCCCGGCTGCCACCCGCACCTGCCTGGTTTTCTGAGGTGGTGCCAGCGGGCCGCTCTCAGGACCTGCATGCTCTCTACCAGCTGCGCCCAGTGGCCCAGCCTTGTTGCCCCTCATTCTCCCCAGCCTGCCCCCTGCAGTGGGCGGAGCTGGCCACGGCCCAGCGCCGGATGGACAGATCCTGTGAAGCCGCACAGGGAAGGCCGGGAGTCAGTGTGGGTTCAAAAGTTTAATACGCATTTGCATTCACACAGTGCACGGGGGTGGGGTGGGGACACTGGCTCCCCGGCCACCTCCCAGCTCCTGGGTGGGTGACGCCTGCTCCGTGCCCAGACGCTCCTTGAGCCGACCTCACAAAGCCACCGACTCACAGGCACCCCGTGGCCGAGTCCGATCCCCAGGTACCCTGGGCCTGGGAGCAGCTGGAGGCCCGGGACACCCTTTATTGCAGGCAACTTAGCAGGAGCAACAGAGCGCCATGGTGCAGGGCCAGAAGCCGCCGGGAAGGAGCGTCCTGGAAGGAGCTGGCCGAAAGGAGCTGCTTCCCAGGCCCGCAAGTGCAGGCAGCAGAGAGTGTTCAGCGGGCCTGTTCCCACACGGTTGCAAACATCGGGGCTGGCAGAAAAGGCCAGGGCCCCCTGCCAAAATCCCCTGGCACGCAAGATCCCCTGCCAGTCCTCCTGCCGGCCAGTAATAAGGGCCTCCAGGGCCAAGGTCGGTGGCCTCGTGGACCACCGGATCTAACCCCCCAACCCAGGCCAGGGTTGGGGAGAGCGGAAGAGGTTGGAGGTTTTGAAGAAGAACTTCCTGTTCTCCGGGACACCCCTCCCCCCCCCCAGAGGGCACCCTGGGCAACAGGCATTCCTCAGGCCAGAGCAAGCCAGCCTTGGCTGTGCTGCTGGCAGGGGCGGGAGACTCCTCCCCGGGGATTTTCCCCAACACGACACAGCACAGCTATTAATCAACACACGTAAGACTCAGTTCCACCACTTGACAACTTTGTTCAGAGTCTAAAAAGAAACTTTTAGGTAACAGCACTGCCCTGAGCTCCCTGCGCAGCCCAGAGGTCCACGAGGCACCCCAGCCCTCCAGGCCGGCGGACTTCAGCCTGAGACAGCAGAGGCTCAGCCGAGTGTGCAGAGCTGCGCGTGGAGCGGGAGCCGCAGCCCGGGGCACCCGCAACGTGACAGACAATGGTGACACACGGTGGCTTCTGAGGAAGCTCAGGGTGGTAGCGAGGGCGGCACCGCACACCCACGCACAGGAACACACGGCAGGGCAGCAGCCCCGCTCCATGCCCCCCGGCAGCTAAGGAGCTGGGGCAGGCTCCCCTGCCAGACGCCCCTCTGAGTACAGTGCGTAACAGTCCAAGCCACCAGCTGCCCCTCACCTTGCCCCGCAAGGAGGTTTGATCCCTGAATCTTTCCATAAAAGAAGTGACGCCCCAGACCCACCTGACACCCACCAGCAGGCGCCGAGGTTACCTGAATCCCGGACGGGTGCTGAGCCCGCCCTGCTGGCCGTGGAAGGCGCCAGGCCCCCCGCAATGCCCACCAAGCTTGAAAGTGCATCTCAAAATATAAGCGTCTGGATACAAAGCCCCCCCGCCCCCCGCCCTCCCCGGGGAACTTTTACTTACAAGGCCAACGCCTAGTGGCTCCGCTGCGGGGCGCCCAGCCGGCCCGGCCTACGCCCCACCTATTAATTTGGGTAACGATTTTCAATGTTTTTTATTCTGGAGATTAAAGACACTAAATCTTTAATCTTGGAGGGCGGGCAACAGGTCGGCTATGCTGTCAACATAGAAGTCGGGGACCATTTTCTTCCTAGACTCGGAGTCACTCTCCTGGTTACTCTGCACGTCCCCCAGCGTGGAGACCCCGGTGAGGGTGAGGATGGTCTTCAGGCCGCAGGTGACCCCCAGCAGGATGTCGGTGTCCAGGCGGTCCCCCACCATGACGGTGCGCTGGGGGTCGATGCCGTACTCCTGGGACACGCAGTCGAAGATGAAGCGGCTGGGCTTCCCGATGATGTCGGCGCGGCGCTGCGCGGCCATCTCCACGGCGTGCACCAGGCAGCCGGTCCCTGCGGGGCGGAGAGGGGCGCGGCGCGGGTCAGAGCGCGGGAGGGGCCCCCCGCCCGCCCGCGGCGCCCCGGCCCCGGCCCCGGCCCGGGGCGGGCACGGACCTGCGATGAAGCAGCCGTTCTCGAGCGGGAGCCGGTTGTCCATGTTGGTGCCCACGAGCAGGCAGCCGGGCTGCTGCAGGTAGCGCAGGGCCTTGGTGAGCTTCATGTAGCTGAAGTGCGGGTCGAAGCCCACCACCACGGCGCGCACGCCGGGCTCGAGCGGCGCGGCCAGCCAGGCGGCGGGGCCGTCGCCCTGCAGCGGCTCGGGGCCCACGCCCACGGCGGCGACGCCCACGGCCTCCAGCTCGGCGGCCAGCGCGGGGCTGCCCAGCACGTAGGCCTTGGGCGCGGGCGCGCCGGCCAGGCGCTGGCGCAGGTAGAGCGCGGCGCAGTAGGCCGTGCCGAAGACCTCGAGGCCGGCGCCGGGCCCCGCCGGGCCGCCGAAGCCCAGGCGCCGCAGCTTCTCGGCGTAGGCCGCGCGGGTCTGGCTGCTGTTGTTGGTGACGAAGCCCAGGCGCTTGCCGCGGGCGCGCAGCGCCGTCAGGGCCTCGGGCGCGCCGGGCACGGCCGTCTCGCCGCGCCACAGCACGCCGTCGCAGTCGAACAGCAGCGTGTCCACGTCGGCCAGCAGCGCCCGGGCCCGCTCGGCGCTCAGCCGCACGCAGCGGCCGCCCCGCCCGCCGGCCTCCGCCGCCATGGCCGCCCGCCGCCACCGGCCGCCGCCGCCACCGGCCGCTCCTCGTAGCCGCCCGCCGCGGCGCCCGCCCCGCCCCCGGCGCGCGCATTGGCCCGGGCCCTCGCGCGCGCCGCCCATTGGCCGCGGCGGCGGCGCCCGCGCACCAACCGCCGCGGGCGGGCGCGGGGAGGCGGCCGCCCATTGGCCGGCGCGCCCGGGCGCCGCGCCGATTGGCTGGCGGGGAGCCAACCGGCAGGGGCGGCGGAGGGCCTCTGCGGAAACGCGGCGGGGCGCCGGCGGGCGCCGCTGCGCGGTCGGCCTCGGGGCGGGGGCCGCGGCCGGAGCCCGGGCGCGCCGGGCCGCGGGGGCCGCGGGGGCCGCGGGGGGCCCGGCCCGGCCCGCCGGCGCCCGCCCGCCGCCCTCGGGGCCGTGGGACGGGGCGGCGCGGGGACCCGCCCGGTCGCTGCCCCGCCGACCTCCGCCGAGGCGCCGCCCCCGGGGCGCGCGAGCCCAGGGCAGCTTGCGGGGCCGCCGCCCGCCTGCGCGCCGGGCGACCCGCCGGTCGGGGCAGCGCTCCCGCCCCCGGGAAGCCCGGGCAGCAGCGGGCGGCCCGGCCGAGGCCCGTCCTGCCGTCTCTGCTGCTCATTCCTCGCGGGCCGCGGCGCGGGGCGCTGAGTCCACCCGTGGGCGCGGAGCTGCCCCTCCTGAGGGCCGTTCCCGCCCCGGTCGCGGTGGCCAGGAGGCAGAACATTGGTGGCCCGGGCCGCCCGAGGCCCCACCTGGGCCAGACTGTCCAGACCCAACACCCGCTCGTCTCCTGGGCCCCAGGTCTCCATCACATGTGGTCCGGACTCCCCTCCCCCCAGGTCAGGCGGGCGGCCTCGGATCCCTTGAGCACCGTTTGTTCACTCACACACTGCCCATCCCTGTCCTTGTTGGCCGGGGACCCACTGCAGGACAGAGGTCAAGGCCCCCAAGCACAGGTCCAGCAAAGCCTTCCTGCCCCAAGTGCCCCCACCCAGGAGGGGCTGTGCCTTCCCACTCCCGCTTGCTGGCGGGACTGACCTGAGCAGCTGCACCTGAAGATCACCGTCCAGCGGGAGGCCAGCAGCACGGTGTGCGCCTGGCCGAGGGGGACATGCCCACTTGCCGTGGTTTCCTAGGCCTGGGTAAGCGCCAGCTCCGGGCACGGCTCTTGGCCTGACTCACCCGAGGGGCAGGTGTGGGAGAGGCTTGAGGCCACGTCCTGAGGGGGCTGCGCAGGCAGGGTGCTTTCGCTGGGAGGGCTGGTCTTGGTGCCAATAGGGTGTGATGCCTGCGTCTGGAGGGGAGAGGAGCGTGACCTGCACGACCATCACCTGTTCCTGACGCACAGAGGTGCTCCAGGTGTCCTGCCAGTGGACGGGGCCAGGGTTGCCCAGAAGCGGCACGGGGCATGGGGCGAGCTGGTGACAGGGGCCCACAGCAATTAACCTGAACCTGCTGCAAGGATTTGTTTGAAAGTGCAAGTTGAGTGTCTTCAGAGGTCAGCGCTTCTGTGAGCTAAGCCACAGGGGGCTCCCAGAATGTCTCTGGCCAGGAGGCCCTTCTACCCCTGGGGATAAGTAGGCAGGAGTCCTGGCCTGCCCCCCACAACTGTTCCCCCAGCCTCCTGGGCACAGGGGACAGTGCTGGCTCTGCACCCGCTGTGGTCAGCCCCCCTGCTGTTACCCACCCCTGGGCACCAGGTCTTTGACATCCTTCCCCCTTGCGGGGGCTTCCCCACCTGTGTGGTATGTGGTGCCCATTTCTCCGCAGCACAGCCTCGAGTGGAATGTCCCAGAGTACTGAGCTGCCACCCCCTCCTCGCCTGGTGCCCTCCTGGGCCTCCCTGCCCAAAAGCTGGCCAGATCCCTTGCTCCACAGCCCCGCCTGCCGCTCCCCCCTTTTGTCCCTCCTGGGGCGCCCTCCTGGCTCCTCCTCTGCTGTGGCCCTGTGGGCCTTTCTCACACAGTGGTCAGAGGCTTCCTGGGCGCCGCCTGTTGCTCCCGGGACCTCTGCAGCCAGCAGGAGAGCCCTGCCGCAGCTTGATGCCCACTCCTGCTAAGCTCGCCCGCCCAGCTGGACAGCCTCGGCCCTTGCCCTCCTGGGGCAGAGCCCATGCAGTCTGTCCAGGCCGTCCTGCCCGGGGCCGCGGTCTCTGGCATCCTGCAGGCTGGGCTGGCAGGGCGCTTGCCTTCGGTGTCTGCCCACCGTCCTGGACCGAGCTGCGGCAGCCTGGGTCTCCTCACCTTCAAAATAGGGGTGACCGCTATCTGGAGTGAGTTCTGTGAAGCGCTCAGCCTCGAGGAGCGCCCACGCAGCCCGCCTTCTAGGAGCGGGCCGCGGCCCCGGCGGTAGCGGCCCGGCCGGCCGCGGAGGGGTGCGGTGCGCTGGGATGGCCGGTGGGGCGTCCCGGCTCGCGGCCTCCCCGCAGCCCCCTGGCCGGAGCAGGCGGGGCCCTCATGGCGGGCTGCGGGCAGGCGGACCCCCAGCTGCCGGCCAGCTTTCCTCTGCTCCCCGCAGTGACTCCCCCAGACCCGCGGGCCCCCTCCTGGCCGGGTGCCCCGCGGGGCTCGCCGCGCGCCGCTTCCTTTTCCCTCCCGCGACGCTGTCTGCGGGCAGCGGTCACAGCCGGGCGGCCTTGCAGGAGTTTTCCTCCGCGACAGCAGTGGACACGGCGGGCACGCGCGCTGACCAGGACGGGCGGGCGTTGGGGGGCGGCGGCGGGCCGCGCGCCCCGGACCGTCCCGGTCACCCGAGGGACAGCCCGCCGGCCCGGAGCCCGCCACCCGGGCGAGCAGCGGCCCCGCGAAGCCGCCCGGCCCCGGGGAGGTGAGGCCCGAGCGTGCAGGGGGCCGCCCCCGTGGCTGGTGGGAGCTGGGGTGCCGGCGGGGTTCGCCGGCAGGGCCGCTCGTCGGCCGCGCGCCTCGGCGCCCCCGGGCCCAGCCCCGCGGCCCCGGGAACGCAGCGCCCCCGCACGCCCGTCCGCCCGTCCGCCCGTCCGCCCGTCCGCCCGCGCGCCCGCGTGGCCACGCCCCTCCCTGTCTCCTGGCGAGCCGGGCCGCCCGCGCCCCGCCCCGCCGCCTGTCCGTCAGGCCCCGCCCCGCCGCCTGTCCGTCAGGCCGCCGGCCCCGCCCCCGGAGGCCTCGGCTCCCTGGAGCTCCGGCCGGCCTCGGCGCGGCTCGTTGTTATGACGACATGGTCGTAAATCCGCCATCTTCCTGCGGCGCGTTGCGACATGGAGGGCGCGATGGCAGTGCGGGTGACGGCCGCGCATACGGCAGAAGCCCGGGCCGCAGCCGGGCGGGAAGCTGGCGAGGGCGGGGTCGCGGCGGCGGCGGCCTCGGCCCCCGGCGGCTTCCTCGGTCTCCCCGCCACCTTCAGCGAGGAAGGTAACGGGGCCGAACGGGCCGGGGTGCGGGCGGCTCAGCCCGGGCCGGCGGAGGCCCTCGCTGCGGGCGCCACAGACCCTCCCGCGCCGGACTCCTCGCGGCCGCCGGGCCTGGCCTCTGCGGCGGCGCCCCCGGCCCGGCCCGGGGCTGTCAGCGCCGCCGCCCCCCGCCCGCGCTGTCAGCCGCCGGCCCCTCCCGCCCCTCCCCCGCCCCTCCCCGCGCCTGACAGGCCCCCGGGCCCCGCCGGGGTGTGGCCGGGGGCCCCGGGGGCGGGGCCTCGGGGCTCGGCCGGCCCGGGCGCCGGGGCGGGCGGCGGGGAGCGGCCCTGGCCTCGGACCTCGGGAGCCCCCCCCCCCCCCCCCCCGCCCTGCGCCGCCCTTTCATCCTCAGACCAGTCTGGGCGCTGCTGCGGCCGTCGTGGTCGTGGTCACTGCTGTTCCTCTTCCTGCCAGTGGCGGGGGAGAAGGAGGCTCAAAGATGTGCCGGCCGGGGCATCCAGCTAGTAAACAGCAAGGGCCGGCCGGTGCCACTAACTTCTGACTCCGGCCACCTCCTGGGTTGGGGGGATGCAAAATAGAACCCGCATGTAAACTGCTGGGGCCAGGCTGGTGGCGGCCTCCCCGCAGGGGCCCTGAGAGCCTCTGGAGAGGACGCTCGGCCTTTCCTCCCAGGCCCTGGGGCTGTCGACTGGCCCTGGGCAGGCTGGCCACGCCGGCGGTGGGCTTTGTTCCCATGGGATTTGTTCCGTTTGCTCCCTGTTCAGTTTGTTCTGCTCCTTCTGAGTCCAGCCTGGGGAGGGTCAGAACCACCGGGGCCAGTGCCAGCCCAAGGTGGGTCTCCAGAGGTTGCTGGGCCCTGCTGGGCCTGCCCGTGCCCATGCCAGTGAAATGGAGCGGACGTGTTCCCTTTGGGGGCGGGGGTCCTTCCCGCAGCAACACCTGGGCCCCATCAGGCTTGGCGAGGCAGATGGGAGGGCTCAGAGGGTGGCGAGGACCGTAGCAGCTGGCCTGTGACCGAGCCTCCGGCCACGTGACCTTCCGGGGCGGCCATGGCTGTGGTCGGCCTGTGCTCGTGGCTTCAGTAGACCTCGGCTGGGCTCCCAAAGGCCCAAGCCTGGGCTGGGCCGAGCCGTGGAACAGCGTGTGAGGCGGGGGTGGCATCTCCCCGCGCCTTGGGGCACACGGGGGGCGTCAGGAATAGACCCACAGGCTCGGGCTCCCACCCTGCGCCCACCCATGGGTGAATTTCCAGTCACTTTTCCAAAGTGGGAACAGTCATCTCCATTTCCCCGGAGTCCCAATAGGACTGGGTGATGCCCGCAGGCACTGCCTGGCACACCGCAGGGGCTCCAGGAGCAGGAAGCTGACGTGAGGCCGGGCCTCTGGGAAGTTCCACCTGCGCACTATCCCTCGAGTGGGGCGGGGCTGCCTGTCTGAGGCCAGTGAGAAGAGGCCACAGGCCAGGCCGCTGTGCTCTGCATGTGCTCTGCCCATCCGCCCAGTCCCAGAGATGGTCCCCGAGACCCTGGGCACGCGCCAGCCCCTTCGTCTTAAACCCAGGCCCTCCACTCCCCTAACTGGCTTGGGTGAATCCCTCCACTGCCCAGCCCCTCCCTGGACCTCTCTCCCTCATCGTAAGTGTATGATTGGGGTCACCCCACGCTCCCAGAGGATGGGGCAGCCCCCTGGGCCCCGAGCGTGTTCTGAGGCCCTGGGAGAGGGCTGGTGAAGGTCCCTCTGGATGCCATCCTCGGCTGGGTTTGGCCTGGGCTGGCAGGGGAGGCCCCAGGCCTGGTTGGCAGGTGCCCTGTGCCATGCCCCCTGAGCCCAGACCCTTTACAGATGAAGACGACGTGCACAGATGTGGCCGCTGCCAGGCGGAGTTCACCGCCCTGGAGGGCTTTGTCCAGCACAAGCTGCAGAGGACTTGCCAGCGGGCCCCTCCGGAGATCCTGCCTGCCCCGCCTGGTGCCGCCACACTGCTGGGCCAGCAGGTGAGCCCCCGCCCCGCCCCGCACATGCCCCTCGCATGGCAGGTGGAGGGAGGTGCCCGGTCCTGGGGGAGGTGGGCTGGGCTCTGCTGTCGGGGTGCAGGGGCCAGCTGGGGGCGTCGGGTGGCCCAGCCTGCACCCCTTCCCTCGGAGTCTGTGGCCCGTCTTGCCTTGGGGGTGTCGGGTCCAACTCGTGCAGTCCCAGGGGTCTCACTGGTGAGGCGCTGGCTCTGGGGGCCAGCCCCCGTCGTAAAATGGCCATCTTTGCTGGCCCATGTGAGCTCAGGCAGGGCACACACAGCCTCAGACCCTCCACCTCTGGGCAGCTTTCCTGCCAGTCTCGTGGCCCAGGAGTAGGCAAGGAGACTGGAAAAGCCAGAGGCCATCTTCCTCCGACCCGCTGTCCCCAGCCGGGCCTTCTCCTGCGGGAAGGCCCAGGCCGTGCTGATCCCCGGCTGGGACACTGAGCTGCCCACCAGGGCCTGCTTCTAAGTTACTTCCTTCTGGACCCGGGGCGGCTCTCTGTGCTTCCAGTCTGGCCCAGGCGGCTGGGGTCTTATAGTGAAGGGCCAGACCCCGGCCTGGGTTGGAGGGGATTGTCTGGGGAGGCGGAGCCCCAGCCCAGCCGGCCCCCATGGACATCAACCGCAGCCTGAGCTCGGAGCCCAGCAACCCAGGAGCCCACAGATGAGTCCTCTGGCCCCTGTCCCCTGTCGGTAGGTGGTGCCGGCGGCGGCAGGCCGGGAGGAGCCCATCACCGTGGCCCACATCGTGGTGGAGGCGCCCGACATCGTGGGTAAGCCTCGAGCCCCGGCTGTCCACATGGGGCCCAGACCAGGCGCTGTGGACAGGGTACACGGCCGGAGGCTGGGGCCTCTGCACACCCCGCGTGGCTGGCCGGGGATGAGGCTGCTTGTGCACCTCCCGCAGGGCACTGACCTGCCAGCACCGAGGGAGCAGGCGCCTGCAGCCCTGGGGCACCCTGGCAGCACAGGCACCCCCTCCTGCCACCGTCCCCACCTCTGCCTGGTCTTCCAGGACCTTCCCCGCTTCTGCCTCCGCGCTTTCCTGCTCCTGCCCGCTGCAGCTGTGGCTCGGGTGCGGTGGGGCGTGGCCAGGGCACACCCGCTGCTCCAGCTGGCCCTGACCTGCTGCCTGACCTTGCTCCTCACGTCCCAGCGTGCCCACCCCCACCCGCTCCCCGACGCGCGTTTACGAGCGGCAGCCCAGCCGCCTCTTTGATGGCTGCTTCTAAGTCAAAGTGCAGGCTGATGCCCGGCGGCGGTGGGGGCTCACACCGATTCATCCTGGACAGGCCAGCGGTGGGCAGGGGGCTATTCAGAGGGAGCTGGGCATGCCCACGTCGGAAGGGGGAGGCCGGGTCCGACGCCATGGGCAGTGGGGAGGGAGTGGTTCCCGGGCGGGGGCCCGCTGGGCAGGCGCTGTGGCAGGTGCGCGAGTGGGCGACTGGACAGGAAGCAGGTTTGGGCAACAGGTCGACCTTGACCTTTGGAAGCCCTTGGGGCCCGCTGGGGCAGAAAGGGGGTGGAGGAGCCCGAGAGATGGCTCAGGAGGGGCAGACACCTGCCCTTGTCCCCAGGCCGCCTCCCCACGGCATTCCTGAGCGCAGCAGGCGGGGCCCTGGCGGGGCGTCGGTTTCTGGGTGGGTGGCTTCACACAGGAAAACAAGCTCCTGAGTCAGGCGGCAACCCTGGGCTCTGGGTCCCCCGGGTCCTTCCCACCACCTGCCTCCAACCACTCAGGCCTTGCTTGGCACCTCTTTTGGGGCCCCCAGGAACCCCCTGCTGCTTCTCCACCCTTGGGAACGTCCCCCTGTGCCAGCATCCTGGGTGTCCCTTGGCGTCAGCTGCTCTGGAGTCCAGGGCCAGAGTCCGGGGCTGGGGTCGGGCTGGGCCGGCGCCACCGTCGAGGGGCTGGACACCCACCCGGGCCCTCCCGCCGCTTTCCTGGAAACAAACTTGAGTTTCTCCCCGGGACTCCCGTGGCCGCGCCCCCCCCCGCCCCGTCCCCTGGGTGCGCTGTGTTGCCTTTGAGCTCAGTCCAAGCCCCGCAGGGGCCCCGCCCTTTCAGAGGAGCGGCTCCGGGCGCGGGGAGGACGGTGGAGCGAGGCCGCAGGGCCGGGCCGGGTCGCCCGCGGCGCGCTGGTCGCCCGCGGCGCGCTGGCTCACGGCGTTTTCTTCCGGCCCGGCGGACGGTGTCTAGGAAGAGGCTTCGCCGCCGTTTCCCACGCCGCGCGCCGAGACCCCCAGGCGTGCTCCCGGCGTGGCCGAGCCCGCTGCCAGCTCCCGCTCGGAAGGCGCGGCGGCCCGGCTTCTCCGCGGCTGCCGGCCCGGCCAGGGACCCCTGGGGCAGGCGTCCGCGTTCCCGGGGGCCAGGCGGGGGGCAGCGCCAGGCGGCGGGGGCTCTGTGCTCGCGCGGGGTCCCCACTGCACATCCCGGGCCGGGAGCTCCGGGCCCGGAAGACTCAGGCGCCCATCTCCGCAGGTGGCGGCCACATCAAAGAGGTCATCGTGGGCGCCGAGGCGGAGCCGGGGGACGAGGAGATGGCAGAGGCCCCGGGTAGCCCCCGCCGTCGGGGGCCGGGGCCGGCGGGGCCGGGCGAGCAGGCCCAGGTCAAGCTGCTGGTGAACAAGGACGGCCGCTACGTGTGCGCGCTGTGCCGCAAGACCTTCAAGACGGTGAGCCGGGGCGGGCGGGGGTGGGGGGGTGCCTCGCCCGCCTCCCCAGGCGCTGAGCCGGCCGCCCCTCCCCACAGGGCAGCATCCTCAAGGCCCACATGATCACCCACAGCAGCCGCAAGGACCACGAGTGCAAGCTGTGCGGGGCCTGCTTCCGCACCAAGGGCTCGCTCATCCGCCACCACCGGCGGCACACGGGTGAGCCCGCGCCGCCTCCCCCGCGCCCCGGCCCGCGCCGCCAAGGCTGACCCCCTTCTCTCCGCAGACGAGCGCCCCTATAAGTGTGCCAAGTGCGGGAAGAGCTTCCGGGAGTCGGGCGCGCTGACCCGGCACCTCAAGTCTCTCACCCCGTGCACAGAAAAAATACGGTTCGGCATGAGCAAGGACGTGGTGGTGGTGGGCAAAGAGGACACACCTGCAGGTCAGGGGGGTGGGGTGCCCGTGCCCCCCCCCCCCCGCCTGGCCGGCCCTCAGGCACCCTCACTCTGGACTCCCTTAAAGGGTCTGGCGCCTCCACGGTGGGGACCATCGCATCGCCGTCCGTGACAGGCGAGCCCATGGACACGTCGCCGGTGATCCACCTGGTGACCGACGCCAAGGGCACGGTCATCCATGAAGTCCATGTCCAGATGCAGGAGCTCCCCCTGGGCGTGAAAGGCCTGGCCCCGGAGGTGGGGTGGGGGGCGGGCTCACCTCTTCAGCTCTGGCCAGGGCAGCAGCTCTGGCGGGAGCAGGGGTGCCGGCTCCCAGCGCTGCCTGGCTGCAGGGCCACGGGAGGCGGGGTGGGAGCACCAGTTTACTCTGGGCAGGCCCGAGGGGAGGAGCAGAGGCCAGGGCAGCTGGCCCCGTGCCCCGAGGGGCCTCTGAGTGAGGGCGCCGTGTCCCCCTGGCCTGGGTGGGGCTGCCCTGTGCCGGGGTCCTGGCCGCACAGCCAGCCCCCCCTCCGCCTCCCCACAGCCCCCGGGCCCCGAGGAGCCCCCCGGCGCCAGCGAGGGCGGCCGGGAGAACCTTCTGCGCCAGGCCATGCGGAACTCCGGGCTCGTGCCTGACAGGGGCGCTGGGGAGGACGCCGCCCGGCCCGCCTCTCGGCCCCCGGAACTGCCGCTGCTGGACGTGGAGCAGGTGGGGGCAGTCGCGGGGATGGGCAGGCTCCCTCGGGAGGCCCGGGTCCAAGGCCACCCCTCTGGCCTGGCCACCGGCCTGCTGGCTGCACCCTCCGAGTGGCGCGCCCCCTGCCGGCCTTCCTGGCCCAGGTGGGGGCTCCAGGATGGGCCCGCGGCTGTCCTAGGGGCGCCCTGGCCGGCCGCGTGGGTGCTGAAGGCGCCTGTGGACCCCGCAGGTGGCCCACGAGGTCTCGGCGGCACCCAGGACCCATCCGTGCCCACAGTGCAGCGAGACCTTCCCCACGACAGCCACCCTGGAGGCCCACAAGAGGGGCCACGCAGGTGGGTGGCCGCGCGGGAGCCTGGCGGGAGCCTGGCGGGGGCGCGCAGCCGGGCCGGGCCTGACGCGGGCGCCGCAGGGCCGCGGCTGTTCACGTGCCTGCAGTGCGGCAAGGCCTTCCCCAAGGCCTACCTGCTCAAGAAGCACCAGGAGGCGCACGTGCACGAGCGCCGCTTCCGCTGCGGGGACTGCGGGAAGCTCTACAAGACCATCGCGCACGTGCGCGGCCACCGGCGCGTCCACTCCGACGAGCGGCCCTACCCCTGCCCCGAGTGCGGCAAGCGCTACAAGACCAAGGTGGGCCCGCGCCCCGCTGGTGCCCCCCCGCGGGCTCCCCGCGCCCGGCCCGGCCGGCCGCCCCCGCCCTCCGCGCGAGGTGGGCGGGCGCGGGCGGGGCCGGGCCGGCGCTGAGGGCGGGTCTCCGCAGAACGCGCAGCAGGTGCACTTCCGGACGCACCTGGAGGAGAAGCCGCACGTGTGCCCGTTCTGCAGCCGCGGCTTCCGGGAGAAGGGCTCGCTGGTGCGGCACGTGCGGCACCACACGGGCGAGAAGCCCTTCAAGTGCTACCGCTGCGGCCGCGGCTTCGCCGAGCACGGCACGCTCAACCGGCACCTGCGCACCAAAGGTCGGCGGCGCGCGCGCGCGGGCGGGCGGGCGGGCGGGCGGGGCGGGGGCGCCACCGCCCTACGACCCGCGCCTCCGCCCCCAGGGGGCTGCCTGCTGGAGGTGGAGGAGCTGCTGGTGGACGACAGCCCCGCGGCCGCCGTGCTGGCGGAGGACCCGCACACCGTGCTGGTGGAGTTCTCGTCCGTGGTGGCCGACACGCAGGAGTACATCATCGAGGTGGGCGCGGGCCCGGGGCGCGGGGGGCCGGGGCCGGGCGCCGCGGCTGACCTCTGCCCTGGCGCAGGCCGCGGGGGACGACGCGGAGAGCAGCGAGGCGGCCGAGGTCCTCGGGGGCGCGCAGGCGGAGGTGGACAGCCACCTCATGAAGGTGGTGCGGCAGATCGTGCACCAGGCCAGCGCGGGCCACCAGATCATCGTGCAGAACGTCACCATGGACCAGGAGGCCGGCCTGGGCCCCGAGGCCGCCGCCGCCGACACCATCACCATCGCCACCCCGGAGAGCCTCACGGAGCAGGTGGCCATGACCCTGGCCTCGGCCATCAGCGAGGGCACGGTGCTCACGGCCCGCGCCGGCGCCAGCGGTGCCGAGCAGGCCACTGTCACCATGGTCTCCTCCGAGGACATCGAGATCCTGGAGCACGCGGGCGAGCTGGTCATCGCCTCTCCGGAGGGCCAGCTGGAGGTCCAGACGGTCATCGTCTAGCGGGGCTGGGGGCGGGGCGGGGGCCTTGGGCACCCTGCCTGCGCCCCCGGGGGCTGGCGCGGAGGTGCGCCACGCAGGACCGGGCGCGCCGAGGAGGCGGGGCTTGTACATACCCAGAGATTTTGTTGCTTTACAATAAAATGTGAAAACCCACAGCTTACACCGCGCGGGGCAGCCCTGGGGGCCGGCAGTTCCCACCGCGGCGCGGCGGCCCGGGGCCCCTCAGACGCTGCCCGTCACCCCGCCCAGGGCTGGCGGCTCCTTGGCGGTGCGTGGGCGTGCTGGCATGTGACCCGGCGGGCTCCTGCGCCCCGCCCAGCCCAAGCGTGACCCCAGCGGGCCCTGCCGTGTGGGTGGGAGGGGTGCTGCTTCCCGGCCAACGCCCCTGGGGCCGCCCTGGGCTGGAGACGGGTGTTGGGGGACCCAGGGGTCCTGACTTTGTGGACTGGGGAGGAGGCTGCTCTCCGGGGTGTGCGGCCTTAGTTCCCCGGGGCACGCGGCTGGGCAGGGAGATGCAGGGTGACCTCGTTCCTAGGGGCGGGACGGGCATCCCCCTGGGCCACAGGCGTGGCTGCCCTCAGTCTCGAGGCAGCTCTGGGGGGCCTGGCCGGGGCTCCTGAGTCCTGAGTCTGGGGCAAGCCTGCAGCCAGAGCGGCTCCCTGCTGTCTTGGCAGGGCTGGTCCTTTGGGGTCACCGCGGGAGGCCTGCAGAGGCCAACTTCATTGAGGGGGCGGGGCCCGGTGCAGCCCGGCCCCTCCCTGAGCTGGGCCTCAAATACTGGCCGGGCTGGTGCCGGCGCGGCTGGCAGACCAAGCCTGTGCAGTCTGCGCCACCCGCGCCCTCCCGGCTGGACCTCAGACCCCGCGCCTCTGCGAGCGAGTCCGCGTCGGGGTGAGTGGGGCTGGGCTGAGCAGGGGCTGGGTGGGGGCCGCTCCCTCGCTGTTTGCCCGGGAGAGGCCGTGCCTCCCTCGGCACTGCCAGGGGCCCCGGGGCGCGGGGGAGGGAGGCGCCTTTGCGCCTGAGCGGAGGGGGCCGGACCGGCCGGCCGCGCCAAGGTGGGCCTGAGCCCCACGCCCGCCCCGGCCCAGGCGGCCGTGTCTGTCCTTCCCAGCCGCGTCATGGGTGGGCCCCGGGCCCTGCTGGTCGCGCTCTGGGCGCTGGGGGTTGCCGGGGCCACAGCCTTGCGCATCGGAGCCTTCAACATCCAGAGCTTCGGCGACAGCAAAGTGTCGGACCCGGCCTGCGGCGGCGTCATCGCGCAAGTGAGGGGGGGCGGGCGGGCGGGGCGCGGCGGGGCTCGGGGCGAAGCGGCGCGGCGTGACTCCGCCCCTGCCGGCCCCCCAGATCCTGGCCGGCTACGACCTCGCGCTCGTGCAGGAGGTGCGGGACCCGGACCTGAGCGCCGTGGCCGCGCTCATGCAGCAGATCAACAGGTGCGGCGGGCGGGGCCGGCGGCGCGGCGGGCCGGGCGGGAGCCCAGGCCTCGGCGCCGCGCCTGACCCCCGGCCGCCGTCCCCGCAGCCTGTCCGCGCACGAGTACGGCTTCGTGAGCAGCGCGCCGCTGGGGCGCGAGCAGTACAAGGAGATGTACCTGTTCGTCTACAGGTGAGCGCGCGGGGCGCGGGGGCGGGGCGGGGCGCGGCGGGAGGGGCCCGGCTGGGCGCGCCCACCCGCCCTCTGCCTGCAGGAAGGACGCGGTGTCCGTCGCGGACACGTACCAGTACCCGGACCCGGAGGACGCCTTCAGCCGCGAACCTTTCGTGGTCAAGTTCTCGGCCCCCGGCTCCGGTGAGGCCCCGCCCGGCCCGCCCCGCCCCGCCCCGCGGACCCCCCCCGCCCCGCTGACCCCCGCCCCCCGCAGCCGCCAAGGAGTTCGTGCTGGTCCCGCTGCACGCGGCGCCCCACCAGGCCGTGGCGGAGATCGACGCGCTCTACGACGTGTACCTGGACGTGATCGACAAGTGGGGCACCGACGTAAGCCCCCGCGCCCCTCGGCCCGGCCCGCCCGGGGTGCGCGGGTGCCGGCGCGCGCCCACGCCCTCGCCCTCGCCCCGCCGCCCGCAGGACATCCTCTTCCTGGGCGACTTCAACGCGGACTGCAGCTACGTGCGCGCGCACGACTGGCCGGCCATCCGCCTGCGCAGCAGCGAGCTCTTCCGCTGGCTCGTCCCCGACGGCGCCGACACCACCGTGGGCAACTCGGACTGCGCCTACGACCGCATCGTGGCCTGCGGCGCGCGCCTGCGCCGCAGCCTGAAGCCCCAGTCGGCCGCCGTGCGCGACTTCAGGGAGGAGTTCGGCCTGGACCAGGCCCAGGTGAGCGCCGGCCGCCGCGGGCACCTCGGCGCCGGAGCAACCCGCGCCCCAGGCTTGCTCGGCTCACCCCATGCGCCGCCGCCTGCCTTCGGGCTGGCATTCCTAGAGACGCCCCAGAGGGCCAGCCGCGCCCAACCGAGCAACTCCGGGCGGGCACCCAGCTGTCCTTTGCCCCCACCTGCGGGGGTGGGCTCCACGGGGGCAGGGCTCCCCCCACCCCCTGCCAGGCTGCCCAGCAGGGCCTCTGAAACCCTCTCCTCCTCCCTCCAGGCTCTTGCCATCAGCGACCATTTCCCGGTGGAGGTGACCCTCAAGTCCCACTGACAGCCCTGAGGCCTGGCCGGGGGGGCAGCCCCAGGGGCTCTTCAGGGTGAGGCCATTCATTCCCCATCGCACCCCCGGGGCGGATCAGCTGGGCCTGGACAAGAGGCCATGGATGCACTTGAGGGTGACTCAGGCTGCTTCCCCGTGTGTAGAGTGGGTCCCCATCACCACCTTCATGGGGTGGTGAGGACATCTGTGAAGTGCTGGGCGGACAGCAGTGCCCAGCAAGCGCTCAGCCAGGACCTCACAGGAGGCTCCAGGCCTCCTGCCCGTTCCCAGGACTCAGGAACTCTGGGGCACAAACCTCAGCCCCACAGGCCAGTGGGTCCTGTCAGCCTGGTCACCTGTCTCATGTCCCACCGGACCCTGACCGCCTCCAGGCCAGGTTGGCCTCAGGGTCTGGCTCATGCTAGAGAGCCCAAGCACCTTCTCTCTCCAGTGCAAACTGCCAACGCCCAGTGCTTGTACCGAGGGTAGGCAGCTAGGCACACGCTCTTTTGCTGTCCAGGACATTCAACGCAAGGCCACCTCCTGGCCACCGGCCCTCTTGCAGCCCCAAGTGCTGGATCCCAGTGTCGCCTGTGTCAAGGGCCCTGCCCGGCCCTGTGCCCCCCGCCGGTCAGAGGCCTGGATATCAGGGAGCCCTCAGTGGGTGGCCGGCCGGTCAGGTCCTCCAGCTCAGGCAGGTGGGTTGGGTGAGGTCCTGCCCCAGGAACCCACACCCCTCGGGGTGGGCATCCCCCCAGGCTCCCTCCTGGGGAGAGATGATGGGGGTGGATGGCAGCCTGAGTCCTGGGTCGGCCCCACTCCTTAGGATGGAGGGCAAGCAGGACCGGGCACAGCACCCTACAGGCCCGACGGGTGCTGACGCACCTCTGCTGGGCGGGGCTCCGGCCGGCATGACCATACAGGAGAGGCCTCGCCTGGGAGCAGCACGTCCGGTCTGGGGAAGCTGCTCTGGAGGAAGCGCCGGGGCGCATGGGGCACAGGAAGCTCACAAGAGCCGGGCCCCAAGGCCCCACCTGAGTCCTGAGCTCCCCTCATCTGAGGGCAAACACGGCGCTCTTCAGGGCGGGGCTTCTTGGGGGGCTCGTTAGGGCCCCTGGCCCGGCCCCTCCAGCCATCAGACATTCCAGCGGCGGGACAGGCCAACCGAGGACTTTATTCACATTTCTGTCCTGACAAGGAGACGCCTGGTGACGTGGTCGAGGTCCAGACTGACGCCCCAGCCGCCCTCGGCCGGGCCCACCAGGCAGGAAGGCACACATGGGGGTGCAGGGCCTTGGGGCGCCGGGCCTTGAGGGGGGACCAGCAAGATACAGCTGAGCGTGCTTTCCAGCTGGGGTCCAACTGGCCCCAGGGCCCAGCGGGGTGGCCGAGCCGCCGGGAGCTGCCCTCAACCCTTCTTCTGCCTGAGCCTGTCCAGGTACGTCCGCAGGGCCTTCTGGATGGAGTCTCTGGACACGAAGCTGACGAAGCTCTGGACGTCGGCCTCGCGCTGCTTGGCCAGGCGGTCAGCCGTGGGCTTGCGCATCATGCTCTTGGTCAGCTGCCGGGCGTGGTCTGAGAAAACACGGCCGCCTGAGGCCGGCCGCAAGGCCTGGGCCGGGCAGCAGGTGGGTGGGCGCGGGAGGAGGAGCCGCCACCGCTGAGCGCTGGGAGCCCACAAGAGGCAGGCGCCCTCCAACCCGGCAGCGTGGAGGCCAGCGGGGCTCCGCCCACCAAGGCGCTAACGTTTGTTGGGGGCGAGAACCTGGCCCCCCGGCCCCCACCAGCTGAGGGTGGTTTTCATGTTTTTAAAGTAGTTTTTAAAAAAATCAAAACAGGTGAAAATTACATGAAATTCAAATTTCAGTGACCCTGAGCTTTGTGGGGTAGACGTGCCGTGAGCCCGCGTGGCGTGCGAGCCCGGCTCTGCCGACAGTGCCTGGGCCTGCCCCTCGGAAGGCCAGCGGGCGTCCTGCTGCCCGGCTCGGGGCAGCTGTCTGTGCCAGCCCCTCGCAACCTGTGGGGGGGGGGGCCTTCGGGCAAAGTTAGACGGGATTTGGGGTGGGAACCAAGGCCGCGGGCGCGTGAGTGTCGGGACAGATGTGCAGGGAGGCCACGGGAAGATGGAAGAGGGACGGGGCGAAGCGAGCCCAAGCCACGGACACCCACGGCCCCGGAGCTGGGCGCGGCCTCACCTGGAATGGCCAACCACCGGGCCATCGCCGAGAGCGCCGCGCTCTGCACCTGGTCCTCGGGCACCACCTGGTCCACCAGGCCCACCCGCAGGGCCTCCGCCGGCGGGAAGAGCGTCCCCAGCTGCAGGGCCTGCTCCGTGGCCCGGTGCCCGATGGTGTTCAGCATGGAGTCCTTGAACCTAGAACGCAGACGCTCGCTCACGGGCTGGCGGCCCCCCCGCACCCCCCGCGGACAAGCCGAGCCCGGCCGGCACGGGCCTTACCAGAACGGGGCAACGATTCCCAGCCGGGTCTCGTTCAGCCCGATGACGCACTTGGGGTTGTCGGCCAGGACCCGGTAGTCGCAGCTGAGGCACATGAGGCAGCCTCCGGCCGGAGAGGCCCCCTGGGTGGGGAGAGACCCGGCGCTGGGGGCCACGCGGCCGTCCACCCCAGGGCCGTCCACCACCAGATTCAGCCCCGGGGCTGCAGGGCTGCCTCGCTCCGTGGCCAGGAGACACAGCTCCCCGGCGCGGGCGGCAAGCTTTAGTGCGGACTTAGCCAGAGGGGCCAGCCCCCTGCTGCGCCCTGGGAACCCAAAATGCACTCCACCCTCCTTCCAGGCCCCGCAGGCCCCACACGGAGGCGGCAGGCCCGAGCCTCCTTCCCTCCAGAACCCTGGCCCCACAGCCTCCCGGCAGGCTCCCAGGCCAGCGGCGCACCCTCCTCTCAGGGCCCCTGCCTGCCCGGGTCGGGCCAGAGGGGTGTTTCCTGCCCAGAGCCCCATGTGGCCCCCCGGGGGCTGAGTCCCCACCCACACCCCAGGGCCCCCTGGAACTCCTGGGACGCCCGTCTGGGAGGGCGGTCATCCACACCCGAGCTGTGAGGGTCCTCCCGCACCCCTGGGGCAGGGCCACAGGCCCCCCACTCCCGCCCCGGCCACTCACGTTGATGGCGGCGATCACGACCATGTTGGACAGGTAGAGCCGCAGCCACAGCTCCTGCAGAGCCTTCCAGAACTCCGCGTAGTGGGCCGGGTTCCGCCCGCATATCTCCGTGAGGTCCAGGCCCGCCGAGAAGATCCCGCGGACGTCCTGGGGAAAGAAGGGGGGCTCAGAGGCTGCCTCCCGGCGACACACCGGCTCACGGGCCCACGTGTCGACAAGGCGGCGGGACGCACCCCCAGGGAAACACTCAGTGGCCTGTCCGGGGGCGCCCCTCCCCTGCCGGCTCCAGGTCTGAAGGGACAGTACGGGAGCCGGGGCAGGCTCCCTGTCCTGGCTCCCAGGGTCCAGGGCTGCCCGCCCGCACACAGGCAGGACAGGCAGGCCGAGCCCCACGGAGCGCCGGCCTGTCAGGCCCGACACACTAATCTGGGGAGTGACCCAGAAGGCGGTGTCCCGTGCCGAACACCGCCGTCAGGGATGGGGCAGGAGCAAGGACGGAGGGGAGGTGGGGATGCCCGGGCTGTGGCAACAGGCCCTGCCAGCTGAGGACAGGCCACCGCATGGGGCGCACAGGGCTCCTGGGCCTGGGCTGACGTGGCGCGGCCTGAGTGCTGGGGGGCCGGAGGGCTGGGAAGGCACGTTCCCACGCCCGGCCTCTGGCGACGCGGCCGGGGGAACCACAAGTGGCGTGGCGCTGCGTCTCCAGGCGGCCCTCTGTTCCGCAAGGGCTCTGCTCCTAGGACTTGGAAGGCCCAGCAGAGCGGAGGCGGCACCCACGGCCCAGGCCCACCGTCTGGCCCTGGGGGTGCGCAGCAGGACGCCAGACAGACCCCCTACCTTTCCCACCAAGAGCCCCAAATCCAAGACCTTTGTGGCCACAGTCGCCGGGCAGGGAGCCGGCGTGTGCACGGGAGGACCCAATGAAGACCCCGCTCCCGCCTGTGCAAGAGCCACCGGCGGGCCGGGTCGCGATCCCAGAGATGGGTCAGTCTTGCTCTCCTGTGGGAATGAGACCGCAGGTGTGCTCAGGCGAGGCCACCCTGGAGGGGACCCCTGGGTCCCGTGACCAGCATCCCGGCAGAGAGGTGCTGCACAGTGGGGGCAGGAGCACCCTACGCTGGGAGGGCGGAGGAGCCTCCCCAGGGCGCCCACCTGGAAACCCTGACCTGGGACTCGGCCTGTGAGGGGCTGTGCTGCGGTAGCTGTAAGCTGCTGGGGTGTGGTCCTGAGCTGCAGGAGCCCAGGTGACACGTGTCTGTGGCTCCTCCTAACTTGCAAGGTGACCTGACAGAGGACAGCTGAGGTCAGCACTGTGCTGCCCGCCCACCTGCTGGTCTCCACGGTCAGTCCCTGGGTGGAGCTGTGGGCGGACACCGCTGGAGGGAGGCAGGACTGACCGGCCTGGGTGTGGAAAGCGCCTGGCGAGCAGGAGCAGCACCTTCCCCTGGCAACGGCGCATGCCCTGGGGCTGCAGCTGCCCACGCTCCCGCAGGAAACCACTGCTGCTGGCCCAGGGCCACCCGGCATGCTGAGCTTCCCTGGAGAGCCCAGGAGGGAGCAGAGCCCGCCCCACGGGAAACAGGGCCCACGTGGGCTCCAGGGGATTCCAGCAAAAAAATGCTTCCCCCTAGGCCTCCCCGGTGGCGCAATGGTTGAGCCTCTGCAGCACCAGTTCGATCCCCGCCCACTGGCGAGGGTCCCACATGGCGCGCAGACCTCTCCTGCCGCCCGCTGCTCCCCTCAGCAGTGTCCTTCGGTCCTTCTGCCTGCTCTGCTCCCCGCTCTGGCTCTGGTGAATTCTCTCACCCTCCCGCGCTTCTGACTGTGCCCAGTGCTTGTAAAAAAAAAAAAAAAAAAAGCCTCCCCCACCTGCACCCAGGCTCGGGCTGCGGGCACCGAGGTCCTCCGGGGGGTCCCGCCGGGGAAACAGCCGCAGTCCTCCCGGGGTGCCTGCGCCCCCTCGGCCAAGGCCCCCGCAGAGCTCCTGGCTCAGGCGTCTCCGGACCGGCCCGCGCACAGGGTGGCCTGCGGTCCCAGAGCCCGGCTGCACCCACCGAGGTCAGGACGACGCCGCGGAAGGTCTTGTCATTCTCCAGCTTCTCCAGGCTGATGGCGAGCTCGGTCAGCAGCTCCAGGCTGAGGCTGTTCACTGGGGGGTTCTTCAGCTTCACCACCGCGACCCCTGGTTTGGAAAGGGAGAGGAGCACTCAAGCCCACCCCGGGGTCCTACCCCGCCGGGCATGGGGCGTCGTTGGCGTTCCCCTGCCACCCCCACCCCATCTGTGGGTTTGCCCGTTCCGGACATGTCACACCCGCGGGGCCAGACCGGTGTGCCCTGCGCTGGCTTTGCTCACTGGAGGTTCCCAGGCCCACCCCCCAGCAGGGGCGTGGCTGCCCTCCTCCTCCGCCCGGCACCCCCAGCACCCCCGAGCCGGCCAGGGGGAGGAGACGCAACTGTGGCAGGGCCCCCCGCTGGCCGCTGCCTCTGCCTCAGCCCCCCTGCAGCTCAGGGGAGCCCCGGAGCCCCTTGGGGCACAGGAGGCAGGAAACCGCGTGCACAGGAAGGCTCTTATCGTCACGGTCAGGTCTATCTTACAGCGACCTGGGCGCCCTCTGCACGGCTTCGGCCGCTCTTCCCTTCCCCCCAGGCGCCCGAGAGCCACTTTTGCAATAAGCAGGACGAGACCAAAACGCTCCGTCGCGAGCAGCCGGGCGCTGCGTCCTCCGCCCGAGGACTCGCTCTCGGATCACAGGGCACTGCTCGGTGGCCACTTAGGGGCCCGCCCGCTGCCCTGGGGGCCGCCGCCTCTGTCCAGGCCGGGCCAAGTGCCACACGGCCACGGCACTGCAGACCCTGGGGGCGGCGCGGAGGGCAGGAGGGCGGCGCTGGACCTGCTCGGTTTTCAGCCGTGTTCCCAGCTCGCGGGGAGCCAGGGGGCCGGCGGACCGAGCTGGGGGTCGTGCCCACTCAGAGGGGCCGGCCTGAGCGCGGTCGGGGTTTCCCTTCCTCCCGGCCGAAGGCGGGCTGACTTTGAGAAGGGCAGGGCCCACATGGACTTTGAGCAGAAAGAACCTTGCCAGGGCTTCCTCCGGGGCTGCCGCTCCCGGCCCGCCCAGGACGCCAGCGTCCCGGGCAGAAGGCGAAGGAAGAGGCCCTGGCCCAGGAGCGCCAGCCCGGACCCCCCCCTTCAGCTTGCACGGCTGTCACTGCTGCCGGGCGGCGCCCCCTGAGGGCACACCGAGTCCCAACTCTCCGCCCCCGCGCCGGTCGGAGGTGGCCGGGCAGGCCCAGGTCCTGCTGCAGGAGGGCCATGAGGAAGGGACGCAGGAGAGGCTGGTGAGGGCAGAGATTGCAACGATACAGCCGCAGGCCGAGGATGCCCGAGGGGCCGGGGTCTGAGGACACCTGGCTTTCGACCTCTGGCCCCCTGGCCTTGGAGGAGCCGAGCAGCCCTGCACGTCCACCCCGCCTCCTCTGCGACGGCGCGGCAGGTCAGCGTGCGGGGACAGGGAGGTGGGCGCCGCACAGCCTGTCCCTCCCCGCCGTCCTCGCGGCCCCTACGTCTCCGCAAGTTCTCCGTTCGTGGCGTACAAATGGCCGGAGTTTCTTTAGCAAACTCCAAGGACCCGACGTGCCGGGAGCCCTCCAGCAGGCCATGTGGTTTCCCCGTTTCAGGAGGAAGCTGAGGTTATAGGGGCAGCTGTCCACACCCCCACGTCCACTCGCCCTGCCAGCAGCAGGGAAGCGGGGCGGGGCCTGCCCTTGTGGACACCGAGCTGCTGGCCAGCTGGCTCTGGTCGCGGGGCCCCCACGGCAGGCCCCATGGTGCACGAGGGCCCCTTGCTGGGAGGACTCAGTCCTCGAGGGTCACTGGGGAGGGGCCTCCGGGCAGGGGCCGAGAGCTGGAGGCTGTCCCCGGCTGCAGGCAGCCGAACTCCAGGGCCCGCTCTCCAGACGTTCTAAAATTGACCCTGGAGATTTGCAGGCCGCCGGGGCAGTCACAGAAACTGGGGGAAAGGTAAGGAGGCCAGAGGTGGCCGTGAGTTACCCAAGAACTGGACGAACCTGGACGGCACGAGGTGGCGGCGCGAGCTGAGCGCAGGGAGGACCCCGAGGTGCTGCGGGCGGGGACGAGGAGCAGAAGCTAAGGCCGCCGAGAACCGCGGACTCCCCGAGAGCGCCCAAGGCAGGAGGCTGCTCCCACGGAGGGGAGGGGAGGGCGGATGCAGGTCTGGTCTGGTGTTCTCACCTCAGCTCTACTTTCCAGCTGGCTGTGCCACCCCAAAATAGAGATGGCAGAGCCCGTGGGTAAACACTTCTCTCACCACAGCCCCGAGCGCTTGTTTACATAACCCAGACTCACTGTGCGCCGCCGTCCAGCAGGCGGGCAGCGCCCAGGCCTGGGCCCAAGCGTGTCACCTGGAGGCGCGCGGTCCTGGCTGTTGTGACACGCGGCAAGATGGCGACTGCTCCCCAAAGCGGGGCTTTCGTGGGCTGCGCTGCGGTGCCCCCCGGGTCCCTCGCACCCGGGCTCAGGCAGCCCCCGACCCAGAGGGGCTACAGGAGAGACCCGAGCAGGGAGCGGGCGCCCTCGTCTCAGGGCAGCACCCGAGTCTGTGCGCGCTGAGGGGCGGGGAGGGCGAGGCTGCAGCTGGGCCTGCGGGGGCCCCCGCTGCCCGGGCAGGGCGGTGGCAGGAGGGGTGCAGGCCCCACGACCAGACGCGCCCCCCAAGCCGAGGCCCGCAGGAACAGCTGCGGGCAGCTCTGCCACGGCGCCGGGGGGCTTCGGCCACTCGGAGCGCCCGGGCCGCGGGGACACGCTTTACTCCCAGCACGGCAGGAGTTCGCGGCGCGGCGCCCGCACGGAGGACCCGCCCACACTCATCTCTCAGAGCCGGGGAGCCCCAACGTGCAGCCCCGGCTCGAACTCGGGGCTCCGGCTCATGCCCGCAGGGTCCCCGGCGTCGCTCGGGCCGGAGCGGGCGGGGGCGCGCGGGGCGCTTACCTGCGGCCGGGTCCGGCTCCACCAGCACCCGCTGGCTCCCGAAGCGCCGCACGCCGTCCCCGAAGCCGGCCGCCGCCTCCGTCCGTGCGAGGGCCGCGCCCCGGAGCCGGGACCCTGCGAACGGCAGCACCGAGGCCCGTTAGCCCGCCGGCCCCCGGCCCGGCCCGGCCCAGCCCGGCCCGGCAGCCCCAGGTCACGCACCGGCGCGGAGCAGAGCGCGCAGCCCCGCCATCAGCGCCATCTTGGCTGGGCCGGGCGGGGGCGCGGCGTCGCGGGGTGGCCTCTCCCCGGGGGCGGGCGGACCACAGCGCCCCGCCCCGCCCCGCCCCCCCGCCGCCCGTGGCTCCTCCCTGCAAGGGCCTAGTCCGGGAAGTCCGTGGCCCGGGGTGCAGGGGGCACAGATGCTGTCGTCCCGCTGCCCAGGGCAGGCCCTCCCCCTTCAGGAGCGCACGGGAGGCGGCACGCCCCGCGCTGCCCACCAACCAGGTCCAGATCCGGTCCCCGGGGAAGGGGCGTTGGCAGGGGAGGGGATGGCACCCAAGTCAGCGAGCCGCAGCCCCCAAGGCTGGCGAGCTGGAGGCCTCAAGGGGTTCCAGGGGGCTCCAGGGGCCAGGCCACAGCTCCTGGCTGGGACGCCGCCACCTTCCAGAGCAGGCAGAGCCCAGCCACCCAGACCCGCCACTTGCTGGGCCGTGAGCTCTGGCTCCAGCCCCAGGCGCAGTGGGTGGGTGGTCGCCCTGGCAGGATGCGCAGGAAACCCAGGGGGTGGGTGGCATGTGTGGGGGAGCCTTGCTCTGACCCCACAGCTGGGGCCCACGTGGAGGGCACAACCCCTAAGCATCTTCAACGCTTGCAGCGCAGCCTCTGAGGTGGTCAGTGTGCCCAGGAGCCTGGGGACGGCAGTGACAGCAGCAGAGGAGCAGAGGCGGCAGGTCCCTGGCGGGGCAGAAGCCAAGCTCCTGGGTGCAGCACTGCCCCGGGCCCCGCGGCTCTGGGGTGTGCCTTTGGGGACAGGCGGCAGCCCGGGGGGCGGGGAGGAGGCAGTGAGCCCACACAGTCTTACTCTAACCCTACGTTTATTCAACACCCTACACAACAGACCACCAACACAACATGGTCTAAAATGCGCGACTTACAAAACTGAAAACAAATCTTATAGCACTGACTGTACAACAGAAGCCAAAAAAAAAGAAGAGCAATGTACAAGTCGCCAAGGTGACCGGCCAGACCGCCGTGAAGGGCATCAACAGCGCACCGCGGCCCGCGGTGCCGGCTCGGGCTGCTCTCCGGCTTCAGAGGGAAGTAGGGTGCAGGTGCGGGTGCGCGCGCGACGGGGCGAGGGCTCTTCTCGGTGTTTGGCCCCAGGGGTGGGGGGCGGAGCGGTGGCTAGGACAGGCCCCAGGAAGGTGCGCCCTCCCTCCCCGAGGGATCCCAGGACACTGCAGCAGGAACCCCATGGTTCTGCCACTGAGCTTTCCCAGGAGCTGGAAACGCGGGCGCTTTCTAGCCAGAGAACCGGGGTACCGTCAGGCACAGCCCCAAACCAAAACACCCGGAGCCAAAACTCAGCCTTCAGAGGGCTCGTCCCAATCGCTGCCTCTGAAGCCTGCCCCTGTCAAGGGGTCTCCCCTGCCCATTGGCCTTCGGCTGGAAGAGTGACGACACTGAGCTGGAGGGGACTTAAGTTACGGGGGGCAGAGCACGGGGGCCCTGCTTATCGAGAGGAGTTGGAGCTGGAGCGGCTCCTGTGGCGGCGGCGGCCGGGCGAGCGTGAGCGCCGACGCACTGGGGACCTGCGCCGAGGCGAGCGGGACCTACAGGAGGAAAGAAAAGCGCATCAGACACCAGGAGGCCTGGCAAACGCCCCCGAGGCTACTCCCCATTTCAGGACCACAGGCCTCAGCTTCCTCCCCTGAAAGGGCCTGGAGACCATCAGCGCTCACCGGGTGGGGTGCAGGCCTGGGGCCTCCAGATCCTTGCCGCTGCACGCGTCAAGCAAACCCAAGCTGGCCCCAGCTAGCCCTGCCCAGAACCCCGACGGCTCACCGTCGCCGCATCCGTGGGGGTGACCGGCGCCACATGGGAGGTGGAAGCAGCATCCTCCTGGGGGGACTGAACCGCCGGGGGGGCGGCCGCGGCCAGGGGGCCAGCACAGCGGTGGCAGTGATCTCCTGGCCGTCGATCTGTCCTGTAGAAAAAGGGATCGAGGTGCAAATGGGCGCACACCGACCCAGGAAGGGCCACGGCCCGCGCCCAACGGCAGGTCGGGGAACGCCCAGGGGCACAGAATCGAGCGGGGGACGTCTTGCTGCATGGAGACAGCCTCTCGGAGGCAACGGCTACGCTGACGCCTGAAGACAGCGCTGGGACCGCTAAGAGGAGGAGAAGGTCCGAGTCGGAAGGCTCGAGCTGACTGGGAAGGGGAGGCCTGCCAGGAGCGTGGGCAGGCGCGACAGGAAGCGAGCTGCAAGAACTCCGGGCAGCCGGGAGGTGCAATCGAGGGTGTGGCGACACAGCGGGAGGGGAGCGGGAAGCAGGCGCTGGAGGGGCAGCACCAAGCTTGTGGACTGGTCCTGAGAAGTGGGGCTCAGGAGGAAGACTCTGGGGGAGCAGCAACGAGAGGCAGAGGCTCAGGTGTCAGGAAGGAATGGGGTGCACACACCCCAACCTCAGTCCAGACTCCAGGGGGCCAAACACAGCTGGCGGTGTTCCCCCAGGCCCCAAGGTGGAAGGCTGCCCCCCCCCTTTTAAAAACAAGGCCCGGTCAGTTTTATCGAAGAGAACTTTCGCGTGATTTACTTTTCACCAGGCCGTCCCAGCTTCTCATGGTACCCGACCACCGCCCAGAGGCCCCGCGTGCACAGGCCCGGTTCTGGCCCACATGGCATCGCACTCTATTCCAGACTTCCTCAAGGCCGGGCAGCTGTTGGCGAGAGGCCCAGTTTTGCTTCGCCTGGTCTGATCGGGTGCCCAAGCTGCACCTCCCACAAGGCGAGCCTAGAAGTGACGGGCGCTATCAACTTTGCAGCCTCCGGTGGGGGTCGGCTTCCGACCCATGAACGGCCTCCCCCAATGGCCGGAGGGAGGGCGGCGGACTCTTCTCAGCGCCCCCGCAGGGAAGAGGGCAGCGCGGCGTGGGGACTGCACGCAGAGCAATAGGACCGGCGGCGGGCTCCGGCCACTGTGAGACCCAGCGCAAACAAGGGGCTTCCCGGCACGGACTGGCAACGAGAGCGAAAGCCATCTCCGGGCCAGCAGCCAGCACCGGCCGCGCCCACGCGGAGGGGTCACCTTCAGGGGCGCAAGCACAATATGGGGACACGCAGAAAAACCTGTCAGGTTCTCTTGAAGCGAGAACACGGAGCACTGAAATCACACACCCCCCCTAGACGCGCCCCCGTCCTGAGTCCCGGCAGGGGCTCCCCGCCCTACGCCGGTGACTGACGGCCTCGAACAACGGCTGACACCCAAAGGCAAGAGCTGATCCGAGCCCCTGACAGCAGAAATCCAGGGGATTTCAGGGGATTGGAACGCGCAGCCACACCTGTAAGCGCCCCATAGAGGGAACTCCCCAGCCCGCCGTCCCCTGAAGGCCACCCCGAGCAGAGGCCCGCGTCTCCGGTTTCCATTTGAAAAACTGGCAAGAGACCCTCCTGCCGGCGGACTGCAGCAAGACCCGAGGGCAGCAGCCTCTCACGGGGCTCCCCCAGACCTCCAGGGTGTGGGCGACTGCGACTCCTCCCCATGGGGCAAGGCAGCCGCGCGGGCAGTCCTGGCTCTGGGCCTGGCTGCCCGGACCCCGGCACCCACAAGTGGGGCAGAGGAAAATGCCGCAGCTCCTCCACGCTGACTGGAAGAGAAAACGAAGACTGGCTGTCGGAAACCATTTGCCAGGTCCAAAAGCTGCCAGAATCTTTCTGCCCCAGCCAGCCAGCCCGCCACGGCTGAGAACCAAGCCTTCGGGAAACGGGTGAAATTGGTGAAGTCAGCAAAGTAATCCTCAAAATGCTGAACTATCAGTGAAAGGGAAAATGGCTCAGAGGATTAGAGGAAACATTTTTGTACAGAAGCCTCACGCTGCTCATAACATAATCTTCAGAAAAACCCGTCCCTTCATTCTTAAGTTTCCAACAGACTAAAAGATTCCTGAAATGCTAACATAGTCATATTCGCAGAACTTTTTTCTAAGAAAAACATACCATAAGACACGCTTGTGGTAAACCTACACCTCTGACTGAGAAGCAGAAGCCAGGAGGAGCTGCAGGGGATTGCGCCGGGCAGCCAGGCTGGACACCAGCTCTAAAGGTCTCTACTGGGGGTGCGGGGGGACAGAGGGGTGCTGTTGGGTCACCCACCTCCGTCCATGTGCTTCAGCGCCTTCTCGGCTTCATCGGGATTCTCAAACTCGACATAGGCGTAGCCTTTCGAGAGGTGTGGGTGCATCCTTTCCACGGGCATGTCGATCATCTTAATCTTCCCATAGGTGGAGAATATCTCCATGATGTGGTCCTAGAGAGGAGACAATCCCCAGGCCCACTGAGGAGTCAGGACGGCCCACCAGCAGCCACGGCCACCGTGCTTTCGGGCCAACACCCAGACACACCTGTTAGCACCCCACAGAGGAAACTCATCAGCCCTCTGTCCCTTGAAGGCCGCCCCGAGCAGAGGCCCGCGTCTCCGGTTTCCATTTTAGAAATGGGCAGGACACGGGGCCTCCCCGGTGGCGCAGCGGTTGAGCACTGGGTTGCAAGGCTGCCCGCAGCCTCTGAGGCACCGGTTTGATCCCTGCCCGCCAGGCGAGGGTCCCATATGGCGCGCAGACCTCTCCTGCCGCCCGCTGCTCCCCTCAGCAGTGTCCTTCGGTCCTTCTGCCTGCTCTGTTCCCCGCTCTGGCTCTGGTGAATTCTCTCACCCTCCCGTGCTTCTGACTGTACCCAGAGCTTGTAGAAATAAATAAACAAATCTTTTAAAAAAAAAAAAGGGCAGGACACGCCTTGTGGCACCCTCACCTTGGTCACATTCCTGGTGAGCCTCCCGATGTGCACCTTGGTGGGTTTAGGGGAAGGGCTCCGCCTCTTCCTCTCCTTTTCATCTCTTTTAGGTGGCTTGGATCTGATCGAGAGAGGAAAAAAAACCAAAATCAAAACAGCAGAACTGATCAATTTCTGGTAAGTCCATTTTTCACCGGGGCCGGCAGCCGCTAGATTGACAACGCTCCTTAGAAGGACGCTTCCGGCCAGCAGCGGGTCACCGTCCCTGCTCTGGACTCCACACGAGGTGGGGAATGCAGGACACGCCCACCCCGCTCCCTTCCAGGGCTTTACAGTCCTTTCGGATAAAACGCCCCCCTCTGGGTCTACGCTTATCTAATAACCACTGTTATTAGACTGTCTAGTTCCCACTCTGTAAACCCAAGTTCCCAAAGAAGTCATGGGCGGGGGCACCATGGGCAGTGAAAAGTAGGGGAGGTGCTCACTTGGAGCGGGACCGCCGCCTGTTGTCATGTCTGCGCCGAGAAGGGCTGGGAGAGCCAGAGGAGCTGCTGGAACTGGAGCTGCGCGACGTACTGGAGCTGCCCGAGCGGCTGGAAGCCGAGGAGGAGCTGGAGCCGCTGCTGGAGCCCGTGCTGGTGCTGGAGCCCGAGCTGGAGGTAGAGCTGGAGCGAGACCTGAGGGTGAGACGGGGCCGTCTTGTCCACAGCGGCCGGGTGGCATTGCTTGGCACAAACAGGCCTGCGTGTGCCCCAGGGGAAGTCGCTGCCCCTGCCCACCTCACTGCTTTCCCCAGTGGGGCAAACACCCCCAACCCCGAGCCTGCGTTCAGGCAGGGACACAACACAGCACAGGGGGCAGGACAGGCAGGCAGAGCTGCTGCTACCTACAGAGGCCACACCCACTGGGGGAGCAAACCAGAACCCCCTCAGCTAGGTGTGCGGCTACCCCTCAGGCCCATTTTCAATGCCCGGAGAAACAAGCTCGAAGCAAGGCCTCCGAGCGCTACTCTGAAAGATGGGCACTTAGCGACACCGCCGCCCCCTTCCAGGAAGTAATCAGGGCCAGCCCTGACACAGCGTGCCCTAAGCCAAGTCTCTTACAGAAGCCCAGAGGACAGGCCACCCCGAGGGCTCCTTGGGAAGGAGGGGAGGTGGCTGCAGAGCTTGAACCCCTCAGCCCCACCTGGTGCTGCTGCTCCCGCTGGATGCGCTGCGCCTCTTTCGGGTTTTGTCCCTGCCTCGGTCCTTCTCGCTCGACTCCTTGGTGGCCCCTTTATCTTTGGAGCGATCCTTGGACTTCTCATCAGAGCGGTCTTTGCGTTTGGTAGGAGAAGGAGCCCTGGATGGTGAGGAAGAGTGTGAGATGGCACATCTTTTTGAGCCCTAAAACAGCAGCACAACCCAAAAGAGGGGGGACTTCAAAGGGCTAGAGATCCCAGGTGATCACAGAGCAAAACTGATCTGTGCTTAGGACACTTTCACTGCAGTGCATGGCATGTCCAAGTTTCCCCTCTCTGAAGGTCCCTAGCAGTGAGCACCCCCAAAGTAGCACTAGAAAAATCTGACAGAAGGATTACCTAGTGCTGGACTTTTTATTATTTTCTTTGACTCCTAGCAAGCTCTTCTTTTTCACTCCTGATAAATCCATTCTCCCCTTCTCAGGTGTTCAAAGCAGCAATGGCAGCCTCACTTATCTGAACTCTCACTTCTAACTTGAGTCTGAGAAACGATCCCTAATCGATTGCAATTTACGCCAAAGTGCAGCCTAATAACAAGATAAAAGGGTTTACAGAGTGAACGAATAGGCAAGTCAACACATCCACTTCGCAGTCAAGGCTGAGCACATGAGGAGGCAGCATGGAGCACTAAAGTGGAGCACCCATGGGAGGACACGGAGCCACGGAGCCACCCCACCCACCCCAGGAGATGCAGGTGGAGCGTCGCCTCAGCCTGGCTTACGGAAATGCTGGTGGCTCCCACCTTCCCCTCAGGAATTTGTTTGGAAAAGGCCACAGCACATCTGCACGCAGAGAAGAACCCACGAAGCGTGGCTTTTCTCTGTCTTACCACTCACTGTTGGCCTTGATCTTGTTTTACTGCTGGACAGTGACAGGACTGGAAGCAAAGCCCTTTCACACTGACTGCTACCAGCACCAAAACGCGTATAAATACCCACATGCAAACAGATAAAATACCACAGGTGAGCACTGACAGGGCAGTCCAGTGATTTGCTGCACCGCTGAACTGTAACGGAGAATACGGAGTCGGAAGTGTTTAAGGGAAGTATGCCAGCGCCTACAATTTACTCTGAAGCGCAAGAAACACGCAGCTGGCTGGGTAGACACGCACACCAGAAGCAGACGCGGCGTGACTGAGCCCCAGGGGTGGCGGGGGGCATTTACACAATACAGTGCTTTCGGCTTTTTTCCACTTGTGTAGGTTTTAAACGTTAAAATGTTGGGGGGAAGGAGACACTGCGCTTAGGTAGTGGCTGCACCTACAGGTCAGCAGAGCGCAGGTGCTCAACACAGGGCCGCTCACAAGCGAGTTCAAGTGCCTTACTCCCTGGAAACTCCCCCTGCAATGCTTGCGTGAGGTTTTGTGTACTTGCTGAGCTGCAAGCCAAAATCTCAGGATATTGGTCTTAAACACTTCCGTCCCACCTTCCTCCAAGCTCTTAAATAGCCTGGACACAGCATACCAGATGGAGCATGGCTCCCTGCAGGATAAACATTCTGACAAGCGTGTCCAGCTGTGAATAATCAGAGCGGTAAGACTCTTTAAGGTGTTTTGTCCCATAATCAGGGCGTACAGGTGCCTGGTGGGCAACGCCAGATGAGGTGAGTGTCCTCCCTTGGCCCCTCGGTAAGTATCAGTTAAGTCTGGAGTCAGTTGCCTGGATTTGAGAGGAGCCTTTGACGTGTGACCTCGGGTAAGTCCTTGAACCTGGCTGTGTCGGTCACCACCGTTCCCAGCTCAGAGCTACTAGGGATAGCGAACTGATCCATTAGAAAGACGTGACACTTCGCCAGGCGGGCTCAGTAAATGCCAGCCATTTTCAGACGTAAGGGATGTTGCTTCGGGTTTGAAGGCTCCTTTCTCACATACACTCTGGTTGCCAAATCCCCTCATTATCTCAGAGCGCTCAGCAGGGGGGGCTGGGACCCCCCCTTCAGCATCACCTAGAGCAGCACTGTCCAACAGGAGTGCAAACGGCAGGTACACCCCAAATCAACTAGCAGCCAGAGCAGAAGGGAGAACAAACGCGGTGAACTTCTAGCTGCGTATGTACGTGAGCCCCGGACCCCAAACATCACCTTTTCCACACACCACGAGTACAGGAATTTCCTACTGGCACACTTCCTTTTCCCCACGCTAATTTTCAACACCTCAACTCGGGCCGAGCGTATTCAGTGCTGGACAGTGCTCCGTGGCTCCCCGCATCCTGCCAACCCGCGCCCGCCGAGCAGCAGACCCGGCGCCCCCCAGGGCGAGCGCCCCCCCACCCCGCGCACTCCGACAACAGGCCCCGGGGCAGCCCCCGGCACCCTGGAACGAAGAACCACAGTGCAGCACACGCTGGGCTGGGTGTGGCTAGAAAGCAAAGGCTGAGGTTCTCCGCTCACGCCAGGTCGGGTGCCGGCGCAGGACCTCGGCGACCTCCCCGTCCTCCGGAAAGGCGCGCGTCCGCGGCGGAGAGAGGAGACAAGAGTTAGTCAGCGCGGAGCGGCCAGAGCAGCGCGGGCGGCCCCGCCCCCGCGGCCGGCGCTCGGGCCCAGGCATGCGAGACAAAGGGGAAGCCGCGGCCCTCCGGTGGGTCCTCCCGCCTCCCCGCCCCGGGCCCGCGGGGCCCCGTCCCCGGGGGCGGCCGAGCACGCACGCAGGCGCCCGAGCTCCACGTCCCCCCGGGGAGGATCGGCCGGTTTGGCCGGACACCCCACAAAGCGCGGGCCCCGCACGCCGACGCGCCCCCCGACGCGCTCACTCACAACTCCCGCGCCCCGGCGGCGGGCCGCGGGCGCCTCCACGCTGCGCCCGGCGCTTCGGGCCTGGGCCTCCCGCCGGGGATTGCGCTCCGCGGGTGGAGGTCGCGTCGGGCGGCCCTGGGACCCGCGGGCCTGCCGGGCCCGCCGCGGAGCGGGCGAAGCTGGGGCGCCCTTCCGCCCAACGCGGCGCCGACCACTTCCGGGCCGCGGCCTCGGCACCTCCCACTCCGCCCGCCCGGGCCACACTCTTTTCTTCTCAGACCCCGCGCCGCGCCGCCCGGCCGCCGTCCCTCTCGCGGGGCCGAGGAGCGGGCCGGCTCCACGATGCGCCCAGCCGACGAAGGCGGGCGGCTCCCAACGTTCGGATGGGGTCGGATTCGCACAACTTACATCTTCCCGCCGCCGCGACCTCCTCCCGCTCTCCTCAGCCGCTCAGGCCGGCGCCGCTCTGTCGTCAGGGCTAAGAAGCGGGAAGGCGCCGCTGGCCGGCGCGCGCCGATGACGTGGCGCCGCAGCCAATGGGCGCCAGCGAGGAGAGTTAAAGGGGCAAGGTCGCGGGGGCGACCCGGCTGGGGGCACTCGCTTTGTCTCCCTCTTTGGAGGCGCCTCTGGGCCCCCCTCGGCCGACCGCGCGCCTCATGGGGTCGGCAAACGGGCAGCTCGCTGGAGCCGCAAGGGCCGCACGGCGCGGCGGGCGCGCAGGGGTTAACAGGCCGCGGCCCGCCCTCCCCGTGCGCGTGCGCACTGGGCCGGGCCGGGCCGGGCCGGGCGGGTGGAGGCGGGTGGAGGCGGGTGGAGGCGGGCGGGCGCGGAGGCGTCTCCGAGATGACCCCGCGCTGTGCCCGCGTGGAAGGGCGCGCCGGGCAGGAACGGCAGGTGCAAAGGCCCGGGTTGGGGGGCGGCACCCAGGCCGCGGCCCGCCTCCCGCGCCTCCCGCCCCTGCCGGCGGACGGTCCCGGCTGGGGCTGTCAAGGCCCTGGCAGGGCGCGGAGACCCCGGGGAGGCCGGGCCCCGGGCGGGCGTGCGGGAAGGCAGGGCTCGCGGGTGTGTTCCCCCCACGCAGTGCCTCCCCCGGCCCCCGGAGTTGAGGGGCACCGAGCCCAGGAGGAGTGGGGTGACCCGAGTGGGGGAGGGAAGGCGATGCGCCCAGGACGGGCGGCTGCCTGCGCTCCGGCTGTCCGCTCTGGGTCTGCGGCCTCTGGATGGGGCCCTGGCCCCCGGCTCTGCCCCGGGGAGTCAGGTGTATCCCTAACGCGCAGTCCTGAATTGAGGGGTGTCTAAAGAGTGGGGATCAAAAGGCAGCCTGGGAGGAGCAGCCTGTCCCTCATCTCCTCCCTCGAGGCACCAGTGTGTTCTGGGGGTGTGGGTTGCAGGCCAGACAGTCTGGCTCCTGACCCCCTACTGTGGGTTGAGGTGAGATTTGGGGACATGGAGCACGGCTTGACTTCTCGGGATCACTCTGCAGCCAGGCATGGTGTGAGGGGCAGCCCTGGCTGGCAGCAGTGAGGGGCAAAGTGGCCCACTTGGCACTGGGGGTGGGGTCGCCTTGGTCCCCAGGTTTGAGGGGGCCGTGGCCGCTGTTCAGAGCCTCCCACACCCTGGGTGGCCATCAGTGTGGGGAAGAAGGGTCCTGAACCCAGGGCCTGCACCCAGGACGGCACCGACCCTGAGGTGAGGAGGGCAGTGTGGTGACCCCGCCAAGGTGAGAGGAGGTGGGCCAGGCTGCCGGCACAGAACTCGCACGTGCTTACACCCTGAGGACAGGATCCATTTGGACGCATGACTTGAATCAAATGCTCCTAAACAGGCCTGGCTTTTGTTACCAAGCGTGCTTCCAGCCGTCACAACTGAGCAGCTCGGCTGCTGTCACTGAGACCAGCACAATGTGTCCCGAGGAAACGCGAGAAGATAAAAGTTGGCCGCCCCCTCCAGGGGGCCCCCTCCCTGCCCCCCAGCCTGCCCAGACTGTGGGGGCAGAGGGCCGGGGCTCAGGGGTCTCTGGCCTGGTGTGGTGAGGGGGCCAGGCCTGTGGACAGGCATTTGGCACGCTTTCCTGCCAGGGTCAGGGCCACCCACGGGTGATGAGGCACAGCTTGAACTTAAGAGCCTGCCCAGATCAAGGTGGAATTGCAACAGGGTGGTCCCCAGGAAAGGGGGAGGTTCCCTGCCCCACCCAAGGAAGGGTGGAGCTGAGCAGGAAGAGAAGAAGCTGCAGAAGAGACTGAGGAAGGAAGCAGGATGGAGCCAGGAGACCTGGAGGAGGCGCGTGGAGCCTAGAGACACGTGAAGAAACTGCGCTTGTCTTTTGGTCGTGGACTGGGTGACACAGATGTGGGTGAGACCCGTGGGGAGGTGACCATGGCAGCTTTTATCTTGATGTTGATTTTGCTCTTTTCCTTCCGGGCTTGTCCGGTTGTTTGTGACCCTTTTCTGTGGGTCCCACTGGAAGATGCTTTAGACTTGGGGCAGGCTTTAGGGGCCTTGCTCTGGGCCGACCCCATATGGATGGAGTTTTACCCACGAGGGGATGGGTCACTTTGGGTGCTTCATTTAGAAACTAGACTCTTTGCCTTACCTGTATTGTTTCCTAGTTTTTATTAAAGTTCCTTCCCATTAAAGTGTCATATGTTTTGTGTTGATGCGGCGGATGGCAGAACCCATGTAGAATAGGCAGGTTTGCAGGGTTTGGGCTGACCCTCTCCCTGTCCTATAACAGAATGTCCTCCCTCCTCAGGGCCGTGGCCTCGGCAGTCAGTGCCCCCTTGGAGGCTGGTGACCCAGCACGCATAGGGGCATGGAGGTTAGGTGGGCCAGTCAGGAGCTTGAGGCAGGTGTCCACATCGAGGAAGCTTCTGCTCACAGCTAACCAGGGAGTGGGGAGGGAGGGAGGCAAGGCCGAGGAGGCAGCGCCGCCTCTGCCCCCCCCACGCAGGTGCTGACCTTTGCCCATTCCATCTCACCCTGCCTGGGGCTTCTCTGCTGCTTGGTGAGGCCTGGTGACCTCGGCTGTCCCTGGACGAGGGCTCAAGGTCGAGGGTGGAATTTGCCCTGCAAGAAACTGGCCAGTTTGTTTTGGTGGCACTCCAGGGGTGGTGGGGGGCTTCCTGGGGGAGGGGCCTTGCTAGCTCTGGTAGCCAGGGTGGGAGGTGGGGGACACCAGCAATGCCTGTGCGCCTGCAGCATCCGGATGCCATCTGAGGTGTCCAGCTGGACCTACAGCGGACTGTCTGGCTCCCCTGCCCCAGGGCGGTCGTGTGCCTGAGTTCCAGTGTGTGCTGCCCAGGAACTGGCCGCCTGGTCTGCCAATTCCTTCTGGAAGCCTCAGGGAGCTGACCTTGAATCAGAGGGGCCTGTACCCGGACAGTGTGTGGCCCCCGAAGCCCTAAGGAACCACGCTGGTGCCACCTTCCCTGCACGCCCACATGGAGACCAGACTGCTGCCCCCCAGACCCCGAGCCCCGGATCTGCACCACAGCGCGTGTCTGTGGGAGCTGTTCCTGCAGCCCCTGGGCTGACCTGTGACAGCGCCAGCAGCCCTCCTGTGGCGAAGACGGCGGGGGCTCCCCCTCCCCTGGGGGCTGCCCTTCGCCGTGCTGGCCGTTGGTCCTGGGTGCGGCCATCAGGCTGAGGCTCAGCTGTGTCCACCCACAGCCCAGTCACGCCGTTGGCCTGCGGGCCAGCCTAGGCCCCAACACGGGCGTCCTTCCCCTGGGAGCTCCCCAGCCACGTAGCACAGGGGAAGCCCAGCCTGACCGCTGAGGTGGAAGCAGGCGGGAGCCGAGTCCCTGTGGTGAGTGGGACTGCCCCTCTGGGGACCACCTGGGCCCATGGCCCCAGGAGCAGTGGGGAACAGGATGAGGGGCCCCTTCCTTCCCAGAGCCCATGCTGTCCTGCCCTCAGCTGAGGCTGCCACCCAGGGGTGTCCTGAGGCCCCACCCCTAGACGGCCAGGGCACACGTGGTGGGCCGTAACAGTGGTGCCCCCCGCCCTGGGGTGCCCAAGCTCTGCGCTTGGGTGCAGCCGCAGGGGCCTCCTACAGATGCCCTGCGCCCTAGGGCCTGCCGCCGTTTAGTAACCACTGTGTGCCCACAGCCTAAGGAGCTCGAGGGGAACTTCTGGACGCTACTCGGAACATCCTTAGGTGAAGTGCAAGCCTGGAACCACCCCAAACGCGCCAGAGATGAAAATGGGCCTTGCCTGAACCCGAGGGACTGTATGAGGGAGAGGTTCAAAATCCCAGAACCCTAGAAAACTGCACAAAGAAAGTGCACAAATAAAGAGTTGAAGCTAAAGAAGAATCTTCTGGAAAATGGGTTCACGTCCTCAGTGGCCCTGGAGCCTGCCCCGTCTGCCCGGCAGGAGCCCCGTGAGCGGCCCTGCCTGTGCCTGTCCCTGCCCCGGGCCATGAGTCCTGCAGGCCCCACGCTGGGGAAACAGGCTCTTTCTTTTGTGTCTGCAGCTCAATGCGGGGCCTGTGTGGGGTCATGGGGGGGCGGGTGAGCTGACACCCTGACTCGCATGTGACCAACAGACCAGGGCGTGTTCCCCCAGCCTTTATTCTCTAGACAGGGTTACCCCGGCTCGGTGCCTCCTCCGCAGACAGCCGCCCTACCCCGCGGGCCCTGGCTGGCCTCTGGCCAGCGGCTTCCTGAAGGGCCGGTCTCGGGAACGGGAGGTGCTGCTGGCGAGTGCTTGGGTGGCGCTGCCTGGCATGGGGTCCATGCTTTGGGGCGCAGGAGCTTCAGGGAAGCCAGGCCCCCAGTGCCGCTCATGCTGCGCCCCCTTGCTCGAGGCGGCCGGCGATGGCCCATCCGTCCTGGGTGGCCACTGCCTTGTGTCTCACCCCCAGGGACGCTCCGTGTCGTGTGGGTGCCGGGAGGGCGCGGTGCTCCCCTCACAAGTGCTTAGGGAAAGCCCCCCGGCCGGGCGGTGCCCCAGGCCCTGCCCCCGGGCCCCGCCCGCAGCTCCAAGTTCCGAGCACCTGCGGTCTGCGGCACTGGGTGGCTGTGGCTCGGTGCTTGACCTGCTGCGGGAAACGGCGACCAGACAGGGTGCAGGGCAGGCGGGCGCAGGGCAGCGCCCCCTCATGGCCCCTCATCCTCAGCGGGCGGCTGCAGGTGGGCAAAGCTCAGGAAGACCTGCTCCAGCGAGGTCTGGCTCACAGAGTAGTCGGCCACCCCGTACTTCTCCTTGGCCTTCTCCAGCACGCCGAACACCTGGGGCAGAGATGCCGCTAGGAACCCGGAGGCCAGCAGCGCGGTGGCCGCGAGAGCAGGAAGCGGCCCTCCAGATCCTGCCCGGTGCGCCCCAGCCGCGGAGCGGCCCCAGGCATGGCCCGACGGCAGCGCCGGGGAGGCAGCGAGGGGCAAGACTGGCCCCAGGCCTGCTCCTGGCAGCTTCCCACCCAGAGGCAGACTCTGGGGAGCGGCGGCCTCGGCCGAGCGGGCAGGCTGCCCTCACTAAGCTTTCCCACCTCGGATAATCTGGTTCCCCCAGACCCCAAGCCTGGTGGAACCGGGCAGTGTCAGCGCAGAACCAAAGGTGACGCCCCTGGGAGGAGCCGCTGCCTCGGGGGGTGGCTGGCGAGGGCCGTGGTGCTCACCTTGGCCCAGCTGAGGCCTTCCCCGGGCAGGTGGTAGTGCAGCAGCCCCTGGTGCTCGTCTTCCAGGACGCTGCCTGCGGAGAGGATACCATGTCCGTGGGGCCGGGGACTGAGCCCTGGTCCGTCCAGTCCTGTCCTGTCCCGTCCCTGGGCTGGGCAGCCACGCACCTGGGAAGGTCAGGCCCACGAAGGCCTTGAACTCCTCCAGTGCGTCCCGCCCGCCGCTCCGAATCTTGGCCCGCAGGGCGTAGCCGCTGCCGAACTTGCTCTTGAGGTGCTGCGGGCTGCCCAGGCACTTGAACTGCCCCTGTACCATGATGGCCAGCCGGGTGCACAGCGCCTCACACTCCTCCATGCTGGGGGGCAGGTGGCGTGAGGGACACGGGTGAGCCCAAACCCAGCTGCTCCTCGCCAGGTCCAGCGTGGCCAGTGGGTAGCCCGGACACTCCCGCGGACTCTGCACCAGCGGACAACATATCCGAGCCCCACTCGGCCCTCCCCTCACGGCGAGCCCCATACCTGTGGGAGGTGATGACGATGGCCTTGCCAGACTCCCGAGCCCGGGCCACGGTGTCCCAGAGCAGGCGCCGGGCCACGGGGTCCATGCCGGTGGACGGCTCGTCCAGGAAGACGACGGCGGGCTCCCCGAGCAGGGCGACGCCAGTGCTCAGCTTCCGCTTGTTGCCCCCGCTGCGAGCAGAAGGGGGCGGGTGGGAGGGAGGGCCCTGGAGCTGGCAGAACCCGGAGAGAGATCACAGCCCACAGGCAGGGTCGCAGCCCACCCCGCACTGGGCACCACGCCCCTGGCCTGTGTCTGCAGGTGGCTGGATGGCAGGCATCTGTGCTGCCAGGGCAGCGCCAGGGCCAGGGCAGGGCAGAGCAAGACAGGGGCACCGACTCAGCGCTGAGGAGCCCACCACGGCCGGGCGCACCTGTAGGTCCTGACCAGTTTGCTGGCGTGGGGCTCCAGAAGCAGGCCCCGCAGCGTGTTCTCCACGCAGGCATCGAGGTGGCGCTCGGGGACACCCCGCAGCCGGGCGTACATGACCAGCGTCTCCCAGCCCGTCATGTGGTCCAGCAGGGCATCGAACTGGGGGCAGTAGCCCATCCGCTGCCGCACCTGGGGCGCGGGGCCGCATGTCAGGGGGCTGTTCGGGGCTTCCAGTGACCCTGTCCCGGGCCCTTGGAGCTAGCACACACCCTGGGGGCCAGAGGTGGCTGGCCTGGGCCGCCATGGGCAGCGAGGGCAGGTCAGGCACCGGCAAAAGGCCGTTCACTTGCTCCCAGATGCGTCCCCCAGGTGCTGAGCCTCCCGCCCATGGAGAGGAGAGCTCTGGGAGGGGGGCCGGACACGAGGACCGGAGAAGCGGCTTCTCCCTGGCAGGGACCGTGCCGGCCACCATGGGGCTCATCTTCCCGGGCTCTCTGCTCCCCAGCCCTGGCCCCAGCCACTGCTTGGCCCTGCTGCCCGCCTGCCAGCCGTGATCCGAGCCGAGGTCCGGGCACACCCACCTTCCCGATGTCAGAGCGGACGCTGTGGCCCCCAACAAAGGCGTCCCCAGACGTGATGGTCTCCTCGCCCGTCAGCATTTTGAAAGTGGTGGTCTTTCCGGCGCCGTTGAAGCCCAGCAGGCCGAAGCACTCGCCCTTCTGGACGGCGAGCGAGAGCTGGTCCACGGCCAGGAGGGGCCTGCGCTGCTCGTACACCTGCGGGGAGTGGCCGGGCACTGCAGAGCCGGCGGTGTCGGGGCTGGCAGACCAGGTCCCGGGGCCGCCTTACCTTGGAGAACTCCTTGATGACCAGAGGCGTGTCCAGCAGGTCGTCCAGGCTGTGGGCCAGAATCCGGTTCTTCTCGTCCAGCACGTCCTGGTCCTCTGGAAGTGTGGACGTCCGGGCGGACACTTCTGTCTATTTGTTCCGGAAAGAGATGGCCCGGGTGAGCTCCCGCCCGAGACCCCCTCTGTGGATAAAGGGCTCAGATCCCAGAGCCTCGCCACCCCGGCGGCCGCAGCGGACCTTGTGGGGAGCACAAGTCACCCGCGGGGCTCAAGCAGGACTGCTGGGTGGCTGCAGACTTCCCGCTCCTCAGAGAAGCTGGTGCCAGGGTTGTGGCCAGGTTGTGCCCTGAGAGGCTGCGTGCTGGGGGGCTGTGCGCTGGGGGGGAGGTGCTGCACGCTGCAGGGGTGTGTTTGCCTGACATGCTCACAGCCGCGGGGTCTCAGCACCCCAGAGTGACAGCCAGTGCGGCGAAGGCACTTGCCCAGGCCTGCCCCTCCTGAGGGCCATGGGGAGCCAGAGCCAGAGCCCTCACCAGTGCCCGCCGCGTCCAAAAGGCACAGAGGCAGGTCTTGAGCCTCCACAGCACGTCGGTCTCGATGAGGAAGAGCAGGGCAAGGTAGGTGAACCCCGAGGCGGCCATGGAGGCCACGAACCTGCCCACCCCGGGGGCACTCCACGCGTAGAAATTCTCCTGGTAGCGGATGTCTGCGAGAGGGAGTGGGGGAGAAGATGCACCAGGCCTGGCTCCTGCTGGCCCGGAGGTGCCCGCCCAGGCCCTCTCCCAGGGGCTCAGGGGCTCAGGCCCATGCCTGCTGTTCAGGAGGCTCCCCAGTTTGCTCCTGCCGCACGGGACCCCAGGTGCTCCCTGCAGTTTGAGGGTTGCGCCTTGCTGGTGACTGTGACGTGGGCAGCCCCCCTCCTCATGGTCACTGTCACCGCATCCCAGGTGGGAGTGGGGACCCCCAAAAGGGGAGGCACCGTGGCTGGCAGAGCCCCAGGGTTCAGGGCAGGGACCAGGCCCTCGCCCAGCCAGCGGGGAGAGGAGGAGGGCAGTGAGGGTACGGAGCTGCTGCCCCCCAGCACCTTCTGAGGGTGACGTGGTGGAGGGCCGTGGGGGCTGGTCAGGAGGCCAGTGGCCTGGGTGCAGATGGGCAGCGGGGAGCGGGGCCCCCTTGGCTGGGCACAGAGAACTGGGCTGGCAGGCAGGAGGGGGGTACATGGCCCTAGGTGGGGGTGTCAGGGCCCAGGGACACGGGGGGTTGGGGGGCGGCAGGTGCCGGGGTACGGGCAGTGGGGGTGTGGCAATGGTGGGGCTGGGGCGCACCGTGCTTCTTGCAGTAGTGGGCCGCCACCACGGAGGAGGCGCAGTACCGCCTGGTCTCGTAGTTCTCGTAGAAGCTGCTGACTGCCCTCCCCAGGCAGTGGTTGGGCAGCACCAGGAACACATGGTCCAGTGTTCTGGAAAGATCTTCTAGCTTGACAGCTGAGGGAAGGGGTACAGACCTGTCAACGCTGGAGGACACAACTCTCTGCCCCAGTGATAGGCAAAATCAGGAAGGGCAGGTTCTGGGGTCCCCTGCACAGGGCAGGCGGTGGGGGAGGGGGGCGCTGGGAGCCCTGATCTGCCTCTGGGTCAGGACAGACAGCGGTCGGGGCGAGGGGCTGGTCCCTGCTGGGGCACCCTGCGGCTCCCAGGGCCCGTGTCCTGGATGCCTCCCCTTCGGGGTCCCTGCTCCCACCTGGGATGCGCATAATGGTGACCATGAGGAAGGTGGCCACGCCCGACAGGATGTTGAATATGGTCAGCCGGGTGTAGGCGGCGGCGGGGCCCGCGAACAGGAAGCTCATCAAGTACATGAGCGGGATGATGGCCCAGCCGTACAGCAGCAGCAGCAGCAGCGCGTCCGCCATGTGGCCGTCCTGCGTGAAGGCGTGCACGTCGAAGGCTCTGAACACCACCTGCAGCGCAAGGGAGCAGCAGGGTCGGGGCCGGCTGGGGTGGGGGGTGGGGGCGGCTGGCAGGGGCGGGGCCGGTGGGGGTGGGAGAACCAGTGAAGGGACTAGAGAACCCTGACTTGCTGACCACCCAGGTCAGCCGACGGGCTGCGTCCGCCCCCGCTGGGGCCTTGGCTAGGACCCCCAAAGGAGCTTCTCTTGGTCAGCACAGCCTGGGGGAGCGCCTCACATTTCCAACTACCCTCCCGGAGACCAGCCACCTGGTTCTCCTTGGGAGGGGGGGTCCCAGCAAGCTCTGGGCGCGCAGGGGGGGTCCCAACACCCTGCAGCCTCACCAGCAGCAGCAGGCTGGGGACCAGGAAGGAGACGAGGTCCCACAGCAGGGCGGACAGCCAGTAGGTGGCCACGTGGACCCCGCTGACGAACTGGAGGTGCTTGGCCTGGACAGCCCTCTCACTGACCGCCAGGATGGAGAACGTGCTGGCCAGGAAAGCCATGGCGAAGAGCAAGTTGAGGGCGATGTCAAACCCCTTCCGGCCCCTGTAGGGACACAGTGCCTCAGGGGCAGCCCAGGAGTCCACGGGGCATCGCGGTGGCCCAGCAGCCGTGGGGGCTGTGGGAGAGGCCCCAGCCCGGGGCTCTCAGCACCAGGAGGCCCACCCAAGACCAGCTCCTCCTCTGGCCGCCCGACCCCATGAGGGCAGTGCCACCCAGCTGCTGTCACCTGACCCCTGTCCCAGCCACTCCCCACAGCCACTCAGGACAGCCTCACCTCCTCTGCCTCCCCCTCCCAGGAGACTCCACCCCCCACACACACTGCTCAGAGGCTCATCATCTCTCTCTCTCTCTCTCTCTCTCATACACACACACACACACACACACACACACAGAGCAGAATATTATTCAGCCATAAAAAGGAAACCTTGTCATTGGCAACCACGTGGATGGCCCCTGAGGATGTTATGTTCAGTGAAATAAGTCAACGGCACAGTGTCGCCTGTAGGGCCTAACTGCAGGTAGGTAGAGCTGAGCTGAGCCTCTAACTACAGCCAGCAGAGGCCCGGTGGGGGATGGGCAAGGCAGGCCAGGGGTCAAAGGGTCAAGCGGGCACTTATGAGCCCCCTGGTCCTGGAGAGGAGGCCAGAGGTGGCGACAACAGGTCACACGTGTGCACGTTGCTGAGACGGTAGATCCTGAGTGTCCTCGTCACAGGAAAGCTGGGGCTTGGCACTGACCACCCTGCCTCCCTCACATCAGAGCCGGGGTCCCAAGTGACAGCCGTTTGCTGCGTACTGCGGACAGGTCCGTGCCGGCCCGTCCTGCCCCCTGCAGCCCTCCAGCACGAGCCCGCTGCCACCCTGCCCGCGTCCCACCCCAGCTTGCGCCTCGTCCGGAGCTCCCAGGCAGGCTGCGGCCCCCAGCACTGTCCCTGCGGCCGCCACGACCTCCTGGCTTGGGGGGCGTCCTGGAGGGCAGGGAAGGGGCCGGTGCACATACTCATTGAACTGGTCTTTGGCCGCCTGCAGGAGACTCCGGGGCTGGGGGTAGTTGGAGACGGTGATGGAGGCCTGAGGGCCGCACAGCAGCTTGAAGAGAAGGTTGTCCACGAGGGCCAGGGCGGTGGCCGGCGAGTGGTAGGCCTGGTTGTTGAACAGAGCGGTGACAACCGTCTGCTTACCCACGTCTCTGAAGGACGCTGCCGCCAGGTATCGCTCGTTGAAGCCGCCCCCCTCCATGGAGGCCCTGAAAATCAGGAACTCCTCCAGGTCACCTAGGGGCAAGAGCAGGGTCAACGGCGTGGACAACCGGCCAGGGCACGCCCAAGGGGAGCCGAGGGGCCAGGGGCTGGGGACATGCGCCCCCACTGCTCATGCCCTGTCTAGGCTGGGGTGCTCCCACACTGCAGCAGCTCCTGGGGCTGCAGCCTTGGGAGAGGGGCACCTCCTGTGACTGCAAGAGGCTGAGGACCAGGCAGCCCCTCCCTGGAACCTGCCGGGACAGGCTGGGGGCACTGGGCGCCACACAGCCAGGGTGCTGCAGGCAAGGAGAGGGGTTCGGGGGCTCCGGGGGTCGAGTCCCTTACCCAGCACCTCACTGGGCTCCTGGCCCGCAGCCTGCAGCAGGTCTTTGAAGTGCTCGGCCAGCTGGTGGCCCAGCCCCGAGGCCCCTGCCGTGGAGAAGGGCACCACGGTCCTGCCGTACTCGCTCAGGCTCAGCCTCAGCGGGGGGTCGTCGAAGATCTCAGAGGAGTAGTTGATGGCCAGCAGGGCCAGGGTGATGCAGGTCAGCGGGACCACCACCTGGGCCGCCACCAGTTTCCACTCCCGCCAGCTGTACGCCGCCTTCTTCAGGAGCATGGCCCAGAACTGCTGGCAGTGCAGGGCGAGCTGCGCACAGGGGTGGGCAGGTGTCCTCAGGGCTGCGTGAGGCCTGCCTGCCAGGCAGGGTGGGCCGGCGCAGCGGGCGGGGACGGAGGCCCGAGTGCTCCTGGCAGCAGGTGGGGGACAGGCTTTGACCCCCCAGGGGAGCAGAGGCCCTTGCTGTACACGCCGATGCAGAGGGACACTCGAGGCCACGCTCACATAGGCACCGGGCACAGACCTCCCACTGCCTGTATTCTCCGTCGTCCCTTCCCTGCCCTCTGGGGGCGGGGAGGGTCCCTGGGGTCAGGCCTGGAGCTGGCAAAGCCCCTGGTCAGTGGAGCTAATGGTCACTGCTGCTCAGCCCTGAGCAGTGACAACACTCAGAAATGACAGGTGTGTCATCGAGGCTTCCGGCTCCCTGTTTCCCTGCCGACCGCAGGCCCCAAAGCCGTGGCTGCCCTGAGTGCAGGGTGCCCCCGCTGGGCACTCACCCCGGTGTTGAGCCGCACCGCACCACACTCGTCCTCCATCAGAGCGCCAACACCATTGGTCGGGTCCATCACGCCGCACAGGTGGCCATCCAGGGCCCAGTCACTCGCCCGCCGCTCATGCTGGTACTGCAGGGCGGGCAGCTGGATGGCTTGGAGGTCCATGCTGGTGTCCACGAGCTTGCCGACCCTGCACCGAGACCGCGAGGCCTGGTCAGACAGCACCTCCCAGGAGGGCTGCCGCTGCCTGGGGGCATGTGTGGGGCACTGAGGCTGTCGCCTAGTCCACCACCATCACTGCATCTGCAACTCGAGCTACACGCAGCCAGTCTGGCTGGGCAGACCTGAATGCCACGCAGCGCCCTGGCTGAGCCTGGGAGATGGACTGAGGTCAGCGCTTCCCAGAGGAGCGAAGGGGGTGTGGGCCTAAGGCCCGGCTGGGCGGGATCAACCCAGGCGGGGTGGGGGGGGTGCAGTGTGAGAGGTGCATGTGGGCATGGAGAGCAGGCGTGTGTGGTGGCAGGGCTGGGCCTGACAGGGCTGGGGCGGGGAGGGCGGGCAGGCGGGAGGCTGGCGGCTACAGCAGCACTGAGGCCTGTGAGCCCAACTCCCAGGGGTCTCGGGGTCCAAGCCTGCCCCGGGGCAGCCTGCCTGGGGTCCGCCTCCCCTGGACCTTGCTCAGCTGTGTATGGAGGGCTAACCGGCCACCGGATGGATGGATGGAGGACGGGGGCTGGGTGTGAGCATGTCTGTTCTAGCGCCTGCAAGGACAGTGCCCCCCTGAGGAAGGAAGGAAGGAGAACAGACAGGTTTGCACAGAGACAGGGATCCGTGTAGGTCGCACTCAGACACTGGGCGTCACAGCAGCCAGGGCAGAGAGGCCCAGTGCCCTACAAATGGGACCTGCAGATGTGCCCCACATCCTACGTTCAGCAGGGCTCCCGGAAGCCCCTCGCAGCCCCCTCTCCACCGGACCATGGGGTGGGTTTCCGGACACGCGGGCTAAGGGCTAGGCCCCTGCCCCCAGCTGCCACCCTCTTGACTGGGCCCTGCGGTCAGGTGGGGCTCACTGCGGTCCAGAAACGTCCCTCACTTATTCTGCGCCCCCTCTGGGGCCTGAGGCCCTGGGAGAAACGCCTCCCTCGCACTGATCTTTGGATTCTAGTTCTCAGCACTGCGTCAGCCAAATAAGCCCTCAAGAAACGTCTGCTGAGGCCTGGAACGTGCCCGTTAGCTCAACTGAAAGAGAGAAGGGTCCCACTGGGTGTGTGTTCTGCTGGCGTCTGCCGTGGACGGGGCGCGGCGCTAAGCCAGGGCCTGCCTAGCCTTGCCCAGCCTCTGTCCAGCCAGCTCGGGCCCGGGCCCCAGGGCCGTGCCCACTGACCGCAGGAAGACCTCCTCCATGGTGGTGACCGAGGCCCCGAAGCTGGCGATGCCCAGCTCCTTCTGCTGCTTCTCCAGCTTCGCAAAAAGACTTTCAAACCTGGAAAGAAGACCAAAGCGGTGAGCCTGGGTGACCGCTTCCTGCACGATGGCCTCGCGGGATGGGACGTGGCAGAAGACCAGCCCCCGGCGACACCACCCAGATCCGCACACTGGGTCTGCTGTGAGGTGTCCCTGACAGCCTGGCTGCGCCCACCACCGCACAGCGGTCAGAGAAGCCACGAGGGCCCCAGGGGCAGCGTGACCCTGCCAGCGTGAAACACCTGCACGGAAGGGCCGCATGCCCGCGCGGGCTGTACCTGTGAGTGCTCTCCTTGGGCAGGATGTAGGACAGCTCTGCCCCTGCGCTGCTCTCCAGGGTGGCGTTGGGCACGTGGTGGCTGACCAGCTGGGAGACCGCCTCGGGGTTGCAGTGAGGCTCCTTCACCAGGGTCATGTGGTAGCCTGCGCCTGCACACGACGGGTCCCACGTTGGGCTGCATCCCTCTACCGTGGTCCTGGGCCCCCTGACCCAGCAGCATCGCGGGTGCGGGGGGAGGGGAGCCCGGCCCCGGTCTCAGACCCACAGCTGACCCTGAGAAGAGATGCCACACCTGCCCGCCCCCGCCGAACCCGCCCTGACTCCGCCCACCCGCCTGGCCCCGCCCCCACCGGGCCGTCTCCACCCCACCTGCCCTGGCCTGGCCCCGCCCACTAGGCCCCGCCCCGCCCGGCCGGCCCCGCCCCCAGCTGCCCTGGCCCTGGAGGGCACTGGCTGGCCGGCCCACAGCTGGTTCTGCTCCCCCCTCGCTCCCTGAGCCCCTTGCCTGGACTGGGGTTTCCACCCACAGGGGCATGCGGGCTCTGGGGAGGCCCGTCCGGGCTGGCGGCCGGCCTCAGCGGGCCATGTGCTCACCGTATTTCTGCTTGAGGAACAGCGGTGATCCGCAGCACTGCAGCGTCCCCTGGGCCATGATGGCAATGCGGTCCCCCAGCAGGTCCGCCTCGTCCATGAAATGGGTGGTTAGCAGCACGGTGCGGCCCCTCTTCTGCTGCTGCAGCAGGTCCCAGATGGCCCTCCTGGAGACAGTGTCCATGCCGGCTGTGGGCTCGTCCAGCATCAGCACCTGCGGGCAGAGGGCAGTGGGAGCATGCAGCCCCCCCCAGGCCCCCCACGCTCGCGGCCGGGGCACACCTTGGAGCCCGCCACGAGGGCGATGCCGATGGACAGCCTGCGCTTCATGCCCCCGCTCAGGAGCCGGCTCCGCACGTCCCGCTTGTCCTCCAGGCCCAGGACACCCAGCATCTGCTTGACCTCCTCGGGGCACTTCTGGGCAGACAGGCCTTTCAGCTGAAGTGGCAGGGGTGGGGTCAGGCAGGGCGCCCTCAGGCCGCTGCCCCTCGTGTGCTGGTCTCGGGGCCGGGCTGGCCGCCTCGGAGCCCTGACCGGAGACCATGCTCGCCCCCCCTGTGGGCCACCCACCGCCTCGGGCTCACCTGGGCGTAGAAGGACAAGTGCTCGGCCACGGTCAGGTTGTCAAACAGGATGTCGTGCTGCGGGCACAGTCCCAAGCTCTTGCGGATCTGCACCATATCTCGGGAGATCTCGTGGCCGCCGATGTACGCCCGTCCACTGGTGGGGGGGAAGAGGCCTGGGGCCACAGAGGCTGGGCTTAGGCTTGGTGGGCACACCCTGCGGCCGGCGGGCATCAGGCCCTGGGGGAGCTGGCCTGTGGCCGGCTAAGGTGGGGGGCAGGCGGGGTCAGCGGCCGGCCGTCTGGGGATGTCGCAGGCCTCACCGGTGAGCATGGAGAGGGTGGTGGTCTTGCCTGCGCCGTTGTGGCCCAGCAGCACTGTGATCTGCCCCTCGTACAGGCTCAGGCTCAGGTCCCTGACGGCTGCGGTGCGCTTGCCCCCAGCCCCGAACACCTGTAGCGAGGGCACAGCTGCCCTGACTTGCCAGCCCCACCTCCCTGGCCCCGCCCTCGCTGGGCCACAGACTCAGGACACAGAGGCCCCGCAGCCCCCAGCCCCCTCTGGCCCCGCACCAGGACGCAGAGAGGTGCAGGCCAGGACGGTGGAGCCCGGAAACATGGTCAGCAAGCAGTCTGAGGCCAGGGGCCGCATCGTGGGCGGGGCAGGGGGCTGGTCTGACCCTGCATGTGCCAGCTCTGCCCACGGGCAGCACCTTGGACATGTGCTTGATCTTGATCCCGGCCACCAGGTCCTCAGGCTCGGCTTCAAAGTACTCGGTCCCAAGCGCCTTCTCAGGGTCCTCGTCATCCTCCTCTTTTCCCAGGAGGGTGCTCGGGGTCCCGCACCAGTAGGAGGGCTGGGAGGGGGCAGGCGGCACGTGAGACACATATGGCCAGCGCCCTGGTTGCCCCAGCAGCCGCCACCAGAGAGGACGCAGCTGGGACAGTTCGCTGTAGCCCCTGCCCCTCACCCGGCCCCCGCAGTGGCAGGCCGTCTCGGGCTGGGGCTCGCTGCCCTCAAAGGGGCAGCTGCACGGGCAAAACCCAGAGGCGAGGCTGTGGGCGGGGGCTCCTCTCCCCCACGGTGACATCCCCACATGTTTCAGGGCCAGAGGCCGTTCTGGCATTGGTTTTAGGGGACACACTTGTGTGTCAAGGGGCCGTGAGATCAGCACTTTGGCCATGTCGGCCTCCCGGGGGGCTGTCGTGCTGCCCGCGCCGCTGCAGTAATGTGACCCCGACAGCCGTGGCATCTCAGCAGTGGACACAGCCAAATCTGTGCTGAAGGGCCCGGCTGGGCACCAGCAGGTGAGTAATGTGCACAGGGCACCGTGGGGCACCGTGCAGCACCGGGCGGCCACCGGGAAGTGAAGCTGACCCAGAAAAATGCCCGTGTCTAAGCACAGACAGACCCAGACAGAGCTGAGGGCATGTGGCACACGGGCCCCCGCAAGGCCTCAGGTGCCCCGGCCAGGCTGCGGGGAGACCAAGAGGGCCCAGCCATACGTGCAGCGCACCCTCCTCACAGACACGAGTGCACACCCCTGGGGACCAGCACCTGGAGTGGCTGGCGGCACTAGTGTGTCCTAGGAAGTCCTACTTTATGGGGAGAAAGCCCAGGGAGCAGTTTTGGAGAGAGGCGTGGGGGGGCTCTGGCCTGCAGGTGGCCGCTGAGGAGCTCCCGGGGACACAGGGGTTCAGCCGCACCCCACAGCAGCCACACCCGGTAGGGGCTCTGTCCCGGCCATTGGGGCATCAGGAAGCAGGGGGCTGCCTGAGGGTGCCAGGGACACTGCCGCCTCCTCAGGGCCCGGGGTGGGCGCGGGCGTGAGACTCACCGTGACGAAGAAGTACCAGGGCTGGGGCACGCCGAGCTGCCCAGGGAGGACGGCCTCCACATACCAGGTCACCAGGCCGTACAGTGCGGCGTCCAGCAGCAGCATGCCCAGCACCTGTCCGAAGGTGAAGTCGTCGTCCACGTTGACCGGGCTCAGGAGGTCTCGCCACTGGACGCCAGTGCCTAGACACAGGGGACGGCTGAGGTCAGCGCAAAGCTCTCCGCGCCGTCGACACACGCCCCTCGGGGAGACCCAGCAGCCTTAGCCTGCAGGAGCCCGACGCCCAGCTAGACGGACTGGCACCTGGGTTGTGCAGGCCCCCCGCCCCCCACGGCCCTGCACACACCTGTACCCCCACATACACACCTGGACGCACCTGCACACAGGGCCCCACACATACACCCCGCACATGCAAGGCTGCTGCACACGTGTGTATGCGTGTCTGGGCAAGGCCCGCACCACGTGTGTGCAGACTGTGGACTCTAGAATAAGAGGTGCAGACGGGTCTGGCCTGAAACAGCGGCGGGGCCTGTGCTTGCTCAACTCCGGGAGCAGCGGGAGTGGCAGGCACTGGCAGGCACCGCGACAGGAACCCTGATGTCCCCGTAGCCAGGGGCCTGCGTTACCCGGCCATGTGAGGACTGGCACCCGGCTGTGTCCCGCCGGCCCCGCCAGCCAGGGCGAGGCCGAGGCCACCGGTGTCTGTGTGCCGAGGGGGATGTGCCTGGTCAGCTGTGCTGAGCGCATTTCAGCTCCCGGCGCTTGCAGCTTATGGTAGACTTGTCAGGACATAGCCCCGACTCGGGCAAGACAGACCCGAACCGCAGGGACCAGACGGCCCCCTGCCCGGGCTCAAGGGCTCTCTTCCGTCTGGCTCACCAGGGTCACAGCGCCAGTGCACCGCGCCACAGGCCTGGACACTCTCTGTGGCCCCAGGGGTTCCTGACGGAAGTGGCCGCTCACAGGCCCAGATCAACGTTCACGCAAAACAGCTAGACGTGTGTCTGCTTTAAGAAAACCCGGGGGCCTCCCCTGGTGGCGCAGCAGTTGAGCGCTGGGCTGCGAAGCTGCCCGCAGCCTCTGCAGCACCAGTTCGATGCCCGGCCGCTAGCGAGGGTCCCACATGGCGGGACAGACCTCTCCTGCCGTGCCCGCTAAACAAAAAAAGAAAGAAAGAAAACCCGGGACAGGTTTGGAAACCGAGAGGCACCCTATGGTTAGGCTCCTCTTCATAAATGGCTCTGTAATGAGTACGTGAGCCTGGAAGGGGCAGCGCGTGGAAAAGCCCACGCGTGACACTGACACCCCATACTCAGAGACACTCACTAAACGCACAGCCGTGGGGACATCCCCATGACACACCTCCCACCCCCAGACTGAGGGGCCTGTGAGGCTGGGGAGATGCTCGCACGCTGGCTGGGTCAGGCAGAAGGAGGTGTCCAGGCCCCTCACCAGAGCCAGAACGGGCTGGGCCTGGAGAGAGTCCCGGCCCTACCTGGGACAGCCCTCTGACCAGCACGCAGCTCCTGCCCACTGACGCCTGGCAGCAAGAGGGAGGCCAGTCAGAGCCATCCACCCACCGCGCCAAGGCCACCTGTGGGAGGTGAGCTTTGAGGGGGTCTTCCTGTCTGCCACCGGGGGTCGCCATCTCGGGGGGGGGGTCAACCAAGGTGCCTGCTCATGCCTGACGTCATGACAGCAAACGGGAGCCACAGGCCAGTCAGCCGGAAGGAGTGTTTTATGGGGCCCCCCCAAAATTGTGAAAACTCAACACGTTTCACAAAGTTCAGGGAGAACATTCTGCCCTCACTCGGCCAGCCCGCAACGGTGTGGGGAGACAGGAGGCCGGGGCCACTGCCCTGGAACCAGCGCTTGACTTTGGAGGGCCCCAAGGGCCCCAGAGGAAGGAGCAGGCCCCCGGCCCAGGGGTGTCTCTGCAGCAGGTGCTCAGGCAGCCTCAGGGACGGGGTGGGGCCGCTGCCCACAGAAGCGCTCCCCAGGGGGTGGCACCTCAGAGCAGCGGGCAGGCAGAAGCCGATCTCAGCCAGGAAGAGACCCACCTTTGGCTTCGAACTTCCCTATGAGCTGGGCCCCCATGGCCATGGCGACGTTGGACAGGAGGCAGGAGAGCAGCTTCTGGCTCAGCGTCATCCAGTTGTAGTGAGGGGCCACAAAGAAGTATGGGATGTAGGTGAAGAAGTAGAGGAAGCCCCCGACGGCTGCCGCCATGTTGGCTGGGGAGGGAGAGGAGCCAGCTAGATCTACGCCTGGGGACGGGGTGCCTGGAGGCCCAAGCCCCTGAGGGGGACCAACCACCCGCCCGCCCACCATGGACACAGCTAGGGGCCCCACTGCAGGGCCTCCCCTGCCTGGTCAGGTGCGTGGGGTCCCCGCGCTGACCTCAGCCCTGGCCTGCAGGGGGCACAAGCCCCTGGCCCCACCCAGCCGCTCCCAGCTGGACATGGCCCCAACTGCCCCAGGCACTCCCTGAGCTGGGCGAGTGACCGGCCCCTCCCCCACAGAGCCAGGCGGGGACAAATTGGGGCCTGGGCTCCCCGAGCTGGTGTTTGACAGGGACAGCGCTGGGGACTGCCCAGTGGCGCGGGGGGCTCAGTGCTCCCGTGCTCGGAAATGGCGGTGGTGGTCAATTTTATGTCATGCGTGTTTCGCCACAATTTCTTTTCTTGTTTTTTAAAGAGAAAGGAGACGTGCTGGCCAGCCTGGTGCCTCCCACAACAGTCTCGCAGGAGCGGCCACGGCGCGAGCGGAAAGCGAGTGCTGATGAGGCCGAGAGAAAAGGATAAGCCTCGGCTCACTCTCATTCCAAGAAAAGCCAGCCCCGGACCCGTGGCAGCTGATCACCACGCCGTGCTCTGCTGGAGGCAACAGCAGGCAAACAGGTCCACTGAGTGTCCATCCCCAGGAACCTGCCATGCAGCTAAAAGGCCGTCCGGGGCGAGAGCCAGACACGGGCATCGCTAGTCACAAAGCCTCAGGGTCGGCTGAGAACTGGGGGTCCCAGCTACACCCCAGGAGTCCCAGCTGCACCCCAGGGGTCCAGCTCCACGGGAGGAGCCACAGAGCACCCCAGCCAGTGCTACTCAGGTGCCCTGCCCCTCAAGGGCCAGCCTTCTGGGCAGGAGTGAATGTGGTGGACGCCTCACCTCTGCTGAAGAAGGTGCTGACCATGAAGCTGAAGGAGATGGAGGCCACAGCGAAGCAGGCCAGGAAGACCAGCACCAGCGAAGGGTCACTGTGCGTCAGCACCGCCTGGTCCTTCTTCACCTGTGCGGCGCGGGGGTGGGCCGCAGGGACAGGCAGGGGTGGTGGAGGCAAACCAGGGCGTCTTAGCATGCCGGCCACAGACGGAGCCGGCCAGTGAGGCCCCGCCCCTGCAGGGAAGGCAGAGACCCCCACCCCGGTCTGGGAGCCCATGCTCTGTGGGGGCCACCCTTCGCCCCACGGAGCCCAGGGGCTGCGCTCACCTCCACGCAGAAGAGCAGGGTCATGGAGGCGACAGCGACCAGGAGGAAGAGGAAGAAGAGGAGGAACCAGGCGCCCCAGTGCAGCCAGCAGCCGAGCCCCATCATGCGCATGTACTCCTGGGGGGATAGCAGGCCTGCCACGCCCGCCCGCCACCACTGGCCCCCCGCCCGCCCCCCAGCCCCCGCCCGCCCCCGCCCGCACCTTCAGCCTCCTCTCCTTCTCCTGCACCACGGCGCGGATGATGGTGAGCGAGGTGTAGGTGAAGCTCAGCATGAGCAGCAGGGGCAGCTGGTACTGGATGGCCACAAGGAAGGGGTCCGAGATGTAAGGCGGGTAGGGGAACCGCTTGGCGACCACGGTGAGCCTGGCAAACAGCCGCTGGGCGGCAGCGTCCGCGTGCCGCTGCATGATGGCCCGGTCCACGGCGTGCTGCACCGCCAGGAAGCCCTCCCGGATGTAGCCTGGGAGGGGCAGGAGACGTGGGGCCGCCTCAGGCTTGGCCACTGCCACCCAGAGCGTCCCTCCCACCTGTGCCTGACACGGTGTCCTTCCCTGACCCTCGGCCTCCTTGTCCATGTTCAAGGGCCTGTGGTTACGTCGTTCCCCCCAGGACAGGCCACGAGAATCTCGCCGCGTCCAGGCTGCTGGTGAGCAGCCTGACCCCGGCCCGACAGGCCCATGGGCCTGTCAGGATGGGGCTGAGGGCGCCCCTGGGCCCAGGCTGGAGCCCCCATGTGCGCTTCTCCGTGCCGGCCTTTCTGGCCCCGTTGCGCTTTGAAATCACACTCGTGAAGCAAAGGGGCCACAACGTGGTTGTCAGGCTGGCCTGGGAAGGGCAGACACCGGGAGGAGAAGGGGTGCAGGGTGTGGGGCCCCGGGAGGTGGCGCAGCTGTGCTGGGAGCCAGCTCCCACTTCACAACGAGCTGCCGAGCAGCTGGCCGTTTCCCCTTTGGGCAGAGGGGGTCGGGGCGACGCTGAGGCCCCGGTTCCCGACTTCTAAGTCAGGGCCTCTCAGGCATGTCCCGCCTCCCCACGGAACAGCCCGCCCACTGGCTCATGGCCCAGGCAGGAGTTCAGTGTCCCAAGGACGAAGACCAAGGGCCACCTGTTAGCGGTCACTCGGCGAGACGGTCGTGCCTGAGCGCGGCCGCAGTAGCATCCTGGGGTGGGCGTGCGCCCTCTGGCTCACGCTGCCCCCAGGCTGACCACTCAGCGGGACAGGGGGCTGCGGCCTGACTGGGCTGCGCCTGGCGGGTCGGGCCCCCTCCTTCCTCTCCTGTGGCCCTGGCTCTGCCTGAGTCCTACGCGGCACAACGTCCACCTGCCGTCGGCGGCCGCACGCGGGGCCCCGGCCTCCCTCTGCTTTGAAAATCAGTGTCGGTGCAAACTGGAGCTTCTCAAAAACTGAAGCCGAGTTTCTGTCGGCAGCCTGTGTCTGAGGCCCGGGGGGCACGGCTGTCTGGACGGCTGCCCCGGCGTCCCCTGCCTTCCTAAAGCAGGTCACGCTTCTCCAGGAAGCGTCCCGCAGAGGCAAGCAGGGTGGGCGCCCGCTCTCACCAGGCGCCTGGGGCCTGGCCCAGGGCTCCTCACCTGGCTCCCCACCGTCGGGGGCGGCGGGCTCGCGCGGCCCCGGGCTCGGGAAGCGCGGGAACAGGGAGGTGGTGTGCCAGCCCTCAGTGTCCTTCAGGAACACGGAGCCCGCCCGGGTCCACATGTAGTTCCTCCGCGTGTAGCTGAAGCGCAGGTGGTATCTCACCTGCGGGAGGGAAAGCCGCGTTGCCGGGCCCGGGCAGGGCACCCACCTGTTCCCTGGGGGCTTCGGGGCGTGCCGCATGGACTCCCACCCACTCTGCCCCCACGACTTCTTGGGGTGCTGGGGTGCCAGACAAGCGGCTCTGCCCAGCGGGCGAGGCGTCCACAGGGCCACCCTGCTCTCCACACTTGCCGGCCCTCAGGTGGGCGGGAGCAGCTGGACTGAGGCAGGAGGGACCAGGCAAGCAAAGCCTTGGGTTTGGTTAAACACGGGCCTGGAGTTCTAACACCACGGTACGCGGGCGTCCCAAGCAACAGCTCCTTTCCTGTCTGTCCTGCCAGCCAGGCTGGGGATGGCCATGCTGTGCCTGGGAGGCCAGCCCAGCCAGCGTCTCCAGGTAGGAGCCACACGGGGACAGGGCAGGTCCCTTGTGGGGTGGATGGTGGAGAGGAAGGCCCGGCTGCTGGCCGGGGGCTAGGGGTAGGGGTGCGCACCGCCAGCGGCAGAGGGGCCGAGCTGTGGTTGAAGGTGTGCTCGAACACCACGGCAGCCAGCACAGTGGCGGAGCCGTTGCCGCGCCGCACGTAGTCCTCCAGGTCCTCCTCTGAGGGGAAGCCACGTGCTGTGGAGAAAGGGGCAGGTCACTGGGAATGGGCCTTCCTGGGGGCATCAGGGGCACAGCCTGGCCACCAGAGCCAGGGCAGCCTGGCCCTGGGTGCCCACCCCAGTGGGCAGCCCGGTCTCTTACCCAACACGGCGTCTTACAAACACAGGGGACATGGACGTGTTGCCAGGAAACGCCTCCCACCCTGGGCCTCTCACGCCACACAAGGGACACATATCCCCTGAGTGTCCACCACCCCGGCTCAAATGAGCCATGAAGGGACATCCCAAAATCAAGGGGGTGAGGGCTCCCCGTGGCATCCTGCAGGGCCTTCCCCCATAGCGCCGTCGTGGCCTGGCCCCGGCGCATAGGCTCCAGGGTGGACATCCATCCCACGGGGAGCCACGGTGGCTCTCAGGTGGCCCTGGGCCCTGCCGTACTCTGAGTGGATGTATGGGGCTGGGGTCTACACCCCAGGGCTCCACACCAGGCTGGGCAGCGCCTCACCTCTCAGGTCGACGGTGTCCAGCACCTGCCTCACCCTTTCGGCCACGGCCTTCACGGCCTCGCTGTGGGACGGGACGTAGGCCAGCTCCCACGCGCCCCCCGGGGGGGGGAAGCTGAAGAACAGGGGCAGCTCCTGGATGGACTGGTTAGGGTAGATGGTGGGGCTGGGCACGTTCTCTGACTGGATCTTCAGGCGGAGCCAGATCAGGATCCCAGAAAACAGCAGGGGTAGGAGCAGCTCCAGGACGGTCACCAGGACCTTCCGCTTCTGGGAGAAAAATCGAAACCGCCGCTGAACCGGGGCCTGGGGGGTGCACAGGGACCATGCCGGGGGGCACCACTGGAGCACGGGGGCCCTGGGGTGCAGAGACCATCCCTGGGTGGGGGCCGGCAGCCTCACCTGCAGAGTGTAGTTCTTCCAGAGGAGGAGCCCCAGCTGCCGGAGAGCCGCCATCCTGCCTGCAGGGACACCAGCCCTAGCCACGGACGAAGACGGGAAAGAGTGGGGGTGTGCGGCCGGGGGGCGTGGTCCGGGCGGCAGGGCGGAGCGGAGAACCAGGCCTTCTCTCCGAGTTCCTCCTCGCCGCCTCCGTTGCACCCTAGCTCAGTGGCCCTGAGAGAAACACCAGTTCCAGACAGGACGCACGCTGCTTCTCGTGAGCGCTTGGGCCGGGCTGGCGCCCCAGCTGAGCCGCGGCTTCCGTCACCAGCGCTCCTGGGTGCCCCTGACCTCCCCACAGCGACATAGAGAGCTCTGCGGGGCCGAGGGCGAGGGAGGGGCTGCAGCCTGGCTGGTCGGGGCCTGGGGTGGGCGAGGGTGAGGCCACCCACCCGAAGGAGCACATCTCCCCATTTGAGCTGCGGGTCCCCGGAGCTGCCATGGAGAGCGGCCACTTTCCTCCAGAGAAAGCAGCTGTGTGTGCTGTGTGCTGAGTCGGCCAGGCCATCGGACCAAGGTGCAGCAGAAGAAAAAGCTGGGGCTGACAAGGGGCCCCTGGGGTGGGTGAGAGCCATCTCCCTGGAGAGCAGAGACTCACCTGCTGGAGAAGGAATGGGCTCAGGCGGTCCCCACGATGCTTAGGACACAGAGGGAGCCTGCCCCGGAGGCTGCGGGCATGGAGGGGCGTGGGCGGCAGCTCCCACTAGCACAGGCAGTGTGGGCCAGGCAGGCAGGCAGGTGCCAAGGGCCCCCTGGTCATCGTTCACGCCGGTGCAGGGACAGCGAGAGCCCTTCACAGACTGGAGTCCTTCAAGAGGGGAGAAGCCTCCATGACGCCCAGGTCCTGAGGCCACTGGACCGGCGCAGGTCCAGGCTGGACTGACCCAGCCTGTTCAGGGGTCGGAACACTCCGGAGACACAAGCAGCCAATAAATGGCTCATCTGCGGCACGTCGCTGCCCAGAGATGCTGCTGGCACCCGTGGCCAGGAGCCAGGCCGAGGCAGCTTTTAAAAGGTTCACCCTCACTTTTAGCTACGGCTGCAGGTCATCTCCGTTAAAGTGCTGTACTTTTTAAATTAAACTCTCAGGAAAAAAAAGACATGGCTGTCCACATCTAATAAGTGGCTCAGAATTGTGCATTCGCGGGCGCCAACAGCAACCGTGGGCAGGACAACCGCGAGGGTTCTTTACAAAGTACCTTAAAACATCACTTTGAGCCCGTCGCCGGTAAAACACGGGGAAATTAAAGCCCACGTCACGTGAAGTGCTGTTAAGCAGCAACTTAATAAATGATCCACGTTCTTCTAAAATTAATGACGCGGGGCCTCCCCGGTGGCGCAGCGGTTGAGCGCTGGGTTGCGAAGCTGCCCGCAGCCTCTGCGGCGCCAGTTCGATCCCCGGCTGCTCCCCGGCTGCTCCCCGGCCGCCGGAGGAGGGTCCCGCATGGCGCGCAGACCTCTCCTGCCGCCCGCTGCTCCCCTCAGCAGTGGACTTCGGTCCTTCTGCCTGCTCTGCTCCCCGCTCTGGCTCTGGTGGATTCTCTCACCCTCCCGTGCTTCTGACTGTACCAGTGCATGTATGAACAAAACAAACAAACAAATAAATGAATAAAACATGCCTCTATAAAATAAATAAAAAACTTTTTTTTAAAAAATAAATAAATAAAATAAAATTAATGACGCAAAAAAGTTGTCTTAAAGTCACCGGGGTGGGCCTCCCTGGTGGCACAGGGGTTAAGACGCAACCTATGAAGCTGTCCGCAGCCACTGCAGCACGAGTTCCATCCCCGGCCAGGGAGATGCCCACAGGGCGCGGCAGACTCTCCTGTCTCCCCGCTGCTCCCCTCAGCAGTGGATCTCAGTAGATCTGCCTGTTCTGCTCCCCACTCTGTCTCTGGGGAGTCCTCTCACCACCACCCCCATCTCTGGCCTGTACCCCAGCTCTTGTATGCATAAATAAACAAATCTTTAAAAAAATAAAGAAATTACAGTTCAAAGAAGTCTTCTGGGTGGAGAAGTGGGTGACTTCCTTTTCTGGAAAAGTCTGACCAAGAATAGAAACAGCTCCGCGCTCGAGACTGTCCTGCCCAGGCCCAGGCCCGGGGGCAGGGCAGGCAGACAGACTGGCCAGCTCCAAGGCCAAGGCTGGACAGCACCGTCGGGGAACTGACCTGAGCGTGCAGAGGCTCCTGGCACCGGCTCTGTCGGGGCCACGGGAGGACTGGGCGGGAGGAGGAGGCCCCACGCAGAGCGCCGTTGGGGGGAGCGTGGGGGCCTCTGGAGTGCAGCGGGGTGGCCTTGGAGACGGCGCCTCCCGGGAGCTCAGGGGGCCCGGGGCTTGAGAGCGTGACTCTCTGTACCTTTGGGCAAACGGAAGGCACTTGAGCGTGATTTAGAAAAATATTCACCAACAGCTCCTGCCGAGTCAAGACGCAGATGCCAACGGGCGCGCGGGTTACTATAGCAGGACCAGGCGAGGGCAGAGGCGTAGGGGCAGAGGAGAGGGACGGACGGCAGGGGCAGCGCTGGGCAGGCACAGGACCTCAAGCCTTCCCACCTGCACGCTTCAGGAGCCTCGGCCCAGCCTCGGTTCTGATGCCACCTTCTAGAGACAAGGAGGGGGCGCCCGGCTCAGGGTCGCACAGCAAAGGGCGCGTGGCCCTGAGCAGCACTGCAGCACTGCCCCTGCCCCCACAGCCTGCTCCCGGGTGCCCGAGGCCCAGCCGGCCGCTGCTGTTCTGCTTTTTCTGAGCCCTTTTCAGAGCAAAAAGGAATTTAAAGACGATTCCCAGAATTACAACATCTGGAGAGCTTTCTGGTTGCGAAAGCCGGGCGCGAGGGGAGGAAGGCGGCTCCTTCAGGTACTCGCTCCCGGGGGGCCTGTGCTCCCCAAACACTTGCTGGCAAAGCCACACCCCGTGCGCCAGCACTTCCTCGGCTCACTGGGGCTCACTGGGGCTCACTGGGGGTGGGGGGGGAGCTTTTTTTCCTACTAAGAAGCTTATTTGCTTCCTGTGAACTATCAAGCACCAGGGCCTGAGAGCTCAGTGTTTGCTTTCCGGGGTGGGGGCTGTGGGGGTGTCTGAGCACACAGGCAGCCACTCACTTCTGAGAACTCACTTGACGAGTTCCCTGTCTTGGGGTGCCCCTCAGACTGCCTTTCCCGTCCCTCTGGCTGGCCGGAGAGCCTGCGGCCCTGGTGCCCCTGCAGCCCCGGCCCCCACCCCTGCTCTTTGCTGTGTGCTGCTCTCACACGACGGGCCAGGACACGGCCCTGTCCTATGGGCCAGCAAGGGCATCTTCATCCCATGCCGTGGGCAGGTGTGTCCAGGCCACTGGAGACAACCGACTGCCTGGTGGGCCGTCAGCAGGCAGCGAGCGGAGCCCAGGCCGGGGCCACGTGCTCCCGTCCTGTCCCGAGTTGGGGTTTCCCTTCCGTGGAGGCATGGGAGGGAAGGAAGGGCTTCAGCGGAGCCCCGGGGCCTCCTGACATCACCCGGAGAGACAGACCAGCGCGGGCAGCAGGCGGGACGCCTTGCGGTGGCCCGGCCAGGACTCGGCGCTGTCCTGAGGCCCGAGGTGGGAAGGCCGCTCGGCCAGGAGAGCGTCCCAGCAGACACAGGGCCCCGGTGGTCAGAGGGACAGACATCCATGTGCCAGTGGACAAGGGGGAGGTGTTTGCTTGACTGTGGCCTTTTAGGACGGACAAAGCCAAAGCAAAACAAAGCCTAGAAATCCGACATCAGAACTGAGGTCTGCAGAGGGGGAGGGGGCAGCACAGGGGGCGCAGGCCCAGGACTGGGGGGCCTGCTAGTGCTCGTGCGGGGCGCTGCGGCAATGGCTGTAGAGGACTGGCCCCACACTCCACAACACAGCGTCACCACCAGAGCGGCCCCATAAACGTGATTGAACCATCGCAAAGAAGAATCAGTGGCCTTCTCGGAGACACGGGACAAAGAGCCCCTGCCGTGCAGCGAGAGCCTGCAAGCGCTGGGGATGGACATGCGTATCCTGGGGCTTGGGAAGGAAGCGCGTGGGGCCCTTAAGCTGGGCCCGGTCCACGCCCACAAGGGCTTCGCACAAAGACCCAGGAGGAAGCACCCTGTGCCACGGGGCAGGCCACGCTGCGCCAACAGGTGGCTGCACTTGTCAGAGTGTGTGGTGACGCTGCCTGCAGGGCGGCTTTGCTCCGTCTCTTATCCAGTAGCTGATTCTCGGGGCCCACGGGCACCACTTATGTGAAAATGCCTATTTCAATGAAGCCTGGACAAAAAATGTCCAAATACCAATAAAAACTGTTAAAAAAAAAAAAAAAAGGCTGAACATGACAAGCATGTTTATAGGGTGGGGTCCCCGCCAGTGACCCCACATCTCCTTTCACGAAAAGCTCCAAATCTGGAGGCCTCTCCTTTTCAGCGGAGGCTCTCTCTTCCTCCCCCGAGGCACCCAGACCTGTCCCTTCCAGGAAAAGGTGACCGTGGAGAGGCACAGCTTTCGAAACCTTTGGTGACCTGGAGCGCTTCCAGGGCTGTGTGGCGTTGCCGTGGTGCCCACGCCTGCACCTGGCCCCCTGCCCCCCCCACCAAAGGCTTCGGAAACCAGAATTTCCACATTCCCCACTAGCCCCTGGACCTGTCCCAGTCCAGCTCATCAAGACGCCTTGCATGACTGGTCAGTGGGCTGAAAAACAAGCGCCGGCCTCGAGCCTCGGGGGCCTGCGTCACCAGCAAGAGCCCCCAGAACTGGGGGCTGCTGGACACAGAACCAGACCAGCCCCCCCAGCGCGGGGAATGTGGCTTGCATCAGCGTTTGCAAGTGGCGTGCAGGCCTGGCCGCCGCTGGGCACTGGCAGCATTCGTCCGGCCCGCCTCGCCCCTCGTCCCTTCAAGGTTCTCTGTGCTACATATTTCTGAGTCTGTGACACTAAGCCAGCAGGCGAGAGCTAGAATTTATAAATACATGAAACTCAGGGGGTACCAGCTCTTTGACACAAAAAGAAACGAGAAAAGAGCTCGGGAACACACGTGGCCTCGCGTGGAGGAGGGGATGAGCCTGCCAGAGTCCTGAGCCCACCAGGCGGGGTCTGGACTGGGGCCATTTGCACTGGGAGGCCCAGGCTGAGGCCCTGCTTACCGGCCCACACCCAGCACCCCCAGATGGAGGGGCCAGCCAACTCTCTGGCTCAGGGGCTCTGGGTTGGCTGAGGCCCCAGGCAGCGACTGTGTATTTTTAAGCTGAAGCTGTGGCCGCAGGGGGCAATGAGAAGAAGTTCTGCCAAATCCAAGTGGCCGCCTGCTTCTGGGCCCTGCTGCAGCTCACCCCGGCCCAGTCCCGCGAGCCCCTGCCTAGGGGGTAGGAAATGAGGTAACCAGGCAGTGGAGCCTCCCCGGGGGAGAGGCAGCCATGGAGCTTCCGTAAGGCGCAAGGAGCAAGCTCATCACTCAGCCTTGCAAAGGCGCCTGGCTGCCCGCGGCCTCCAAATCTCTTCCAGCACAGCAAACAGCTTGGAGCGTTCAGGGGCGTGGGTGCCACAAAGGCTCCCGGAACAGGGGCTGAGGCCCCGGACACGTCCCAACTGCGTGGCCGTCACCCTCCTCTGGGCTCCGACCGCTCACTTCCCAGGCAGGCTCAGCCCGGTGTGAAGCAGACGCGGGCAACCCAGTGTCCTCTGGGCCACAGAACAGAATCTCCCAAGTGCTGCAGACAGACATGGATGTCCCAGGCCCACCCTGGGGCTGTGGGGGCTGGTCTGGGCATGGAGCCTCTGCGGGGGGCCTGGGTCAGAGTGGAGACCTCCTGTCCTTGCTGGACCACCCTGACGCCTGCAGCAGCTTTCCTGGGTGTCTCATGTGTCTGAGGTCATAATCTTGTTGGTTCCATCCTAAGGTCCCCCAGGGTGGGGGCCCTAGCGCCTGGCCCATCATTTGCCTGGGGGCCTCGACGGCGCCCCCTCGCCAGACTCCGTAGAGCTGGAGAAGCCCTGGAAGGAGGGTGTCTCCTCGGGCAGTGCCAGCAAGGCTGAGTCAGAACAGGTCCCGCTGGGCCCGCCAGGCACCTGCGCTGCGCAGGCCCTGTAAAAGCAGGTGAGCTGCCCTCTCCTGGGGCAAAGGCGGTCTGGTCAGGTGGCAGCAGGTGCCCAGGAGGGAGCGAGGTCATCCTGTTTGTCAGCTAATCAGCAAGGGTTCAAATTTTTAAAAATTCTTTAAGTTAATAAAAGGGAGGGGCTCCCAGGGCACTCGCCCTCCCCCCCCCTACACCTTTGCCACTGTGCAAACTCTCTAAAGGGCACGGCCCCTCCTCCCCCTCCAGGCGCCGGGACTCCTCCCGGGGAGGCCTGCAGCGCGCGGGCACCTGCCTGGCGTGGCGGGGCCGCCCTGGCAGGTTCCCAGGCTGTGGGGCGCGGGCACCAGCCCAGCCCGGCCCGCGGCGCCCCCGCTCCGGGGCCACGGAACAGACAGGCCGCGTCGGGCGGGGCTCGCGGAGGCGCGGCTCGGGCAGGTGCGGGGAGGTGGGCCGCGCCCGGCCACGGACACCCGGGCGCTCCCGGGCTCCGGGGGTCGGCGCTGCCCTCACGGGGCGACCGGCCTCCGGGAGGCGCCCCCACGCGCGGCGCCTGCCAAGCGCAGACCAGCTTCCCTGCGCGCAGCCGGTGTCCCCGCCGCGGGGCGAGGGCGCGGGGCGAGGGCGCCGGGCGCGGGCGCGGGGCGCGGGGCGCGGGGCGAGGGCGCGGGCGCGGGGCGAGGGCGCGGGGCGCGGGGCGCGGGGCGCGGGGCGAGGGCGCGGGGCGAGGGCGCGGGGCGCGGGGCGAGGGCGCGGGGCGCGGGGCGCGGGCGCGGGGCGCGGGGCGCGGGGCGAGGGCGCGGGGCGCGGGGCGCGGGGCGAGGGCGCGGGGCGCGGGGCGCGGGGCGCGGGGCGCGGGGCGAGGGCGCGGGGCGCGGGGCGAGGGCGCGGGGCGCGGGGCGCGGGCGCGGGGCGCGGGGCGCGGGCGCGGGGCGCGGGGCGCGGGGCGCGGGGCGCGGGGCGCGGGCGCGGGGCGCGGGGCGGGGCGCGGGCGCGGGCGCGGGGCGCGGGGCGAGGGCGCGGGCGAGGGCGCGCGGGGCGCGGCGGCCTGGGGCGGCACCTGGGGCCGGGGCTCCACGCCGCGAGCCGGCAGCCCCGGGCCGGCCCGTGCACAGGCGGCGCCCGCAGGCCCGCTCCGGGGGGCAGCCCAGCGCGGGCGGGGGCCGCCGCCGGGGCCCGGGGCGCGGGGTCCGGGTGCACCTGCCGGGCCCGCGGCGGGCGCGGGGCCGCGGTCGGGGGAGCGCGAGCGCGGGTGCGAGCGGCACTCACCGACCCTCGGCGCCCGGGCGGCGGCGGCCGGCGCGCGGCCCTCCGGGGGTCCCGCCTCGGCCCGCGGCGCTCGGCCGGCAGCGGACACGGCCAGGCGGCCGCGGCGGGGAGGGGGCGCCGGGCACCCGCGACGGGGGACGCGCCGGGCTGGGCTCCTGCAGGGGGCGCGCCGGCCGGCCCGCGCCTGCGCACTGGGCCGCCCCTGCGGGTGCCCCGCCCACGCAGTGCCGCCCGCCGCCGCCAGGGGGCGCCGGGCGGGACGGGGCCGGGAGCGGCGGGTGGGGCGGGGCGGGGCGGACGGGGCGGGGCGCGGCGGGGCGCGAGGCGCGGCGGGGCGCTTCGGGGGGCGGGGCGCGGCTGGGGCGGGGGCGGGGGCGGGGCGCGGCGGGGCGGCGGGGCGGGGCGCGGCGGGGCGGAGGGGGCGGGGGCGGGGCGGGGCGGTCGGGGGCGGGGCGCGGCGGGGCGGAGGGGGCGGGGCGGAGGGGGCGGGGCGGGGCGGAGGGGGCGGGGCGGGGCGCGGCGGGGCGCGGGCTCCCCGCAGCCCAGCCCCATCCCCGCGCGCGCGCGGCCTTCGCGGGCCCGGCCCGCCTCCGCCCGCCGTCGGGGGCGCTCGCCTCCCCGCGGCTGAGGGCAGCAGCCTCGCGAGGCCCGCGGTCGCGGGGGTCGGCGGCCCCTCCAGGGGCTCGCGGCTGAGGGGGGCCCGGGGCCGGGCGGGCGCAGGTCGCGT